ATCTGCTACTAGCATTAAAAACCTTATTAAACCCCAGAAACCTTCCATAAGTATGAATTTGCACCACACCAGACAGAAGCGTCGCCAGGAATTCGAAAAGGGGAGCACAAAAAATTTTTTCATCGCAATTTAGGGGGTGGATAGATTTTTAAGGATTTTTCTTTAAAACTTTAGCGAAATGAAGAAATTTCTGTTAACGTAAGGCTTCTTGACAACCAAATCCCCCCCTCCCCTGGCTACGCAATTGATACCAGAGGTAAACCTATACTCGACCGAACCTCACCATGAATTTCAGGCATAAAGCCAACCATAGCTGGACTACCACAGCCGTACAATCATAAACCACCCTCTTTGGTCAAAATTGACATTAATCACCCCACCCAGCATTCAAAAAACCCAACATCAGACTATATTGACATTATTCCTAAACTTTTTACCAATTTCCATTCATACCTTCAAGTCCAGACAGATCAATACCCCTTAAAATATCCAAAATAAATTTGTGAAGCCATAAAAAAAGTTTTAAACTCGTCAAAAAAATAAACTTTTTTCCAAAATTAAACAAAACATTCCAAAAAAAAATATCCAGTCTACCTTTCATCTTCAAAATCTCCTTGTGTGGCTTGGAATTTGACTTTCTTATTGGCGACACGTACGACATTTTTTAAATTTTTTTTCACTCTGACTTTTCTTTTTTCACACCGAGTTTTTCTCCATTTGATATTTTTCCTTCCTCCTCAATTTTTTTTTCTTCACGCAATTTTTTTTAAATTTTCATCGTGTTTATTTTTCATTAAATTTTCTTCACTGTTTGGACTTTTTTTTCAATTCTTTTCTTACGAGGATTTTACAATAATAATTATGACGATGATGATGGTCGTTATTGCTCTGTACGTGAATTGCCACGCACGTCCTATTTTTATTTTGTCTTTTTTTTTGTGTGAATTGTTTGAACTTCCACGCGGATTAAGGGGTGGATTTTAATTAATTTTTATTGATTTTTTTGGAGATTAAAATTGTTTTTTTACTGTTACGTGTTGATAAAGTTATGATTTAATTTGATGCGATTGTTTTTATCTATTTTTTGGTGTAATCTGTGGTTTAGTCTTGGATATTAATTACTAATTGTGGTGTTGTGAAGCGGTTGGGGTGAAATTTGGTCGATATTTTGGGAATTTTTATAGATAAAGTTTAAGATAAAGCTGTGAGAAAATGTTTAAAATTGACTCGAAAAACTCTTTTAAAAAATTCAAATATTGTTTAAAAAGATTTAAGTTGGCTCAATTTTGCTAAAATAAAACAGTAAATGTTAAAAATTTAAACAAAAAGTTGAAAATAAAAGCTCAAATATTAAATTTTCGATTATAATCAACTCTATTTTGCGTATGAATTTAAATTTTGTGAGAAAAAAAAATTTAACATCAAACAAAAATTGAAAATCATTTCGAAACTTCAAAAATTAATTCTAAAAACTTAAAAACCAATTCAAAAAATTTAAATATTAAATGAAAAATATTGAAATTTGATTCAAAAATTTTAAATTTATTTCAAGAATTTAAAATTTATTTCAAGAATTTAAAATTTATTTCAAGAATTTAAAATTTATTTCAAGAATTTTAAATTACTCAATTTGTCTAGACTTTGATAAAATCCTTCAAAATCTATACAATTTAGGTTTTTTCAATTTTTTATAACTTTTCAAAAAAAATCCTAAAATTCTAGCCAAATTTCAATCACAACTGCTACACATTTGCTCACATTCTATCAAAAAGATTTTTTTTTCAAATTACAAAAATTTATTTTAAATTGCTTTTTTCATTTTCCCAGTTTTTCACTAGAATCACTTGACAAAATATTGTTTAATCTAATTTCATTTATTTTTAAACTCCAATTTTACAAATTTTGACCAGCAAAACTTAAAATTTTACTTTTTTCAATTTGAAAAATTATTTTCACTAAAAATTCTTCTCAAATTCCCATTTTTATTTGTCTATCCCCACAACAGAAATAAAAAAAACTATTTTTTCATTTCTTTTAACGATCATCACATGAAAGTAAATTGAAACACTACGCGAATGAAAAGCAGAAAAGTGAATGAGTGGAAAATATTTTGGTTTTTTCAACTCAACGTGAGATTTTTTTTTTCTTCTCTGTTTTAATTTTTCTTTTTTTTTCATTTCATTCTTTGGGGAGAATTTGTTGAGTTGGGAAAAATGTTTTTTTTTTTTGTGTTTCATGAGAGAGGATGTGATGGATGTGAGAAGTGCTGTGCGGATTGTCTGATGACATTTTTAACTTGAAAAGTTTTTTTTGAATTTTATTCGAATTTTTGGTGTTTTCTTGAATTTTTTTGCAGTTTTTGAATTTTTCTCGAACTTTTTGAATTTTTTGACTTTTTTTGACTTTTTTTGAACTTTTTGAATTTTTTGACTTTTTTTGAATTTTTTTTTTGATTTTTCTAAATTTCTGAATTTTCCGAATGTTTGTATTTTAAAATTTTTTAAAACTGTGAATTTTTAAATTTTTGAATATTATTTAACATTTTTAAATTTTAAAATTTTTTGAATTTTTATTTTCAAAATTATTAAAAAAAATGCGCTCTAACCTAAGTTTTTAAAGGACTTTCTTACTTGCTAGTTTTTCTCTCATTCGTAGTATTTCTTTCATTTCCATCGCACGTTAAACTGCGACATTCACGGCAATTTTACATATTCTCAAACTGTTTATATATCCGTACCCATACATAACCCCTCCCCCAACCTCTCTATATACCCATGGACTATATACCAAATCATTATTTTATGTAAATAATATCCTCACTAGTATTGGAGCCATAAAAAAGTAGGAAAATCGAGAGAATGTAAACAGAGCGGGAATTATAAGTGTAGATATCAAGGGAGACTCTCCGTACTTTTCATTTTCTTCTATTAAAGGTCATTTGTATATGATGAATGATTTTTATGATCCATTAAATGGAATATATGGCTTATTATTTTATATATATGTGTATTAGGGATGTACACAGTGCATACATATTTATTGGATGTGATGTAAAGTTGGGGAGCCAAACGAAGGTTTTGTAGCGGAAAATTTATTCTTTTGCAGTCATTTGACTCCTTTATGATTGACTCTGTGTAGTCACGACTATTAGAACAACAATTTTACATAAATTTGGGTTTATGATCACTAATTAACACAATTATTTTATATTCTCAGAACTGAATTATTGTTTTAATGAGTTTAGCATGAATTTGTTGAAATTAATCGAGGTTTTTGAAGTATTTGCTGAATTTTTTGGGAATGTTTGGGTCAAGTTAACTTCATATGTCTTTTTACTGCCAGTTTTTGAGACCTTTTGAGCCAAATTTGGCTCAATTTAAGTTACTTTGGCTGTCTTTGCCTTTTATTCTTTCTTTGTAGCTATGCTTTGCATTATCTGACTGCCGTTCAATCCCTTCTTACTTCCAGTGTCTTCATTTGACTTTTACTGGCTATTTTTATCTCCTCCCGGCTAAATTTGTCTAAGCTTTAACTCTCTTTAATTAATTTTTGGCAACATATGGCTACCCTTGGTCATCCAATTTGCCTTCTTGATTAAACTTGTCTACTTGTTTTGTCATCCTTAGGCTCCCATGAGCTTTCTTTGGCTCTGTTTTGTTAAGTTTCGAACTCTGTCAGCTACATTTAACTCTTTTCGGGTCTATTTGGTAACCTATGGCTTAGCTTGACTCTCTCTAGCTCTATTTGATTAGCTTTAGATAAATTTAGTCTTCGTTGGTCACTTTAAGGCCACCATCAGCTAAATTGACCTTCACATGACTCCTTATAGCCCTCTTCAAGCTCCTTTCAGCTACTTTTGACTCAACTTCATGCCCCTGGAACTCTACAATCCTCTTTATTCCTCCATACACTCCCAACTTAACCATTTATACTCAACAGTTTATTCAATTTGCCAGTATCAAATTCCCATCGCCCACTAAATCATCATCCAATCGATTAATATTCAATAATTCCATCCCTACCGATATTACATTTAATAGCTTCAAACCTTTTTATTTTCAATCAAGCTAACTCATTAAGAAAAATTTTTTTTCCCCATAAAATTCAAAAATCGATTTTTCTCAATTTGCATTCTTGTTTCAAGCCTCGTAAAACAAGGCACACAAAATAGCAGATGTTCAATTAATTTAATTTTTATTTCGTATAATGTTGTATAATTATTGCTATTATTGCACATCTGAGATAGATAAAATTAGAATTTAAAGCTAGCAAATGTTGCAATTTAACGTAATTAAAATCATTTATTTTTCAAAGAAAAAAAAAATATTGTTGTGAGGAAAATTTGAGGGATTTGTGGGGTTAGCTCGGGATGTTGATGGAGAATAAGCACTCGAGTTTGATAGAATGTGACAATATGTGATTAAAATTGCTATAGTCTGACAAAATACCGACAAAAATCCTACAAAATCCGCTAGAATTCTGACAAAATTCGGAAAAATTCTAATCAAGTCCAACAAAAATCTGACAACATCGGACAAGATTCTGACAAAGTCCGACAAAAATCCCACAAAATCCGCTTGAATTTTGACAAAATTTGGAAAACTTCTAATCAAGTCCAACAAAAATCTGACAACATCGGACAAGATTCTGACAAAGTCCGACAAAATTCCCACAAAATTTGGAAAAATTCTAATCAAGTCCGACAAAAATTCAGGCAAAGTCCGACCAAAAACCAGTAAAATTCAAACATTGTACAAAATCTGACAATGATCAAAAATGACCCACTTTCCCCCATTTATCATATTCAGACAAATGATCCCTTCATACCCTCCAAAAAAACCCATTCCATCTACCCACACCCATCCAATTGTGTTTCTATCTTTTCACAAATAAACTTCCACTAATATCGCTTATTAGAAAGAATGAAATATTGCACGGAAGTGATGCATGATGTGGAGAAATAGAAACATAAATAATAACAATAATGGCAATAAACTTACCGGATGGCAGAGCGTCATCCCATCCCAGCGTGTCTTCTTCCTGCTTTTTCGATGCATCTACGGAAATTAAAAAAAATTTACTTTTGTGAGTGAGTGATTGAGTTATGAAGCATATCATGAGGATGATGTGTGATCTAAGTCATTTAAAGGAATTGGCAATTAATTGGAGGATAAAATGTGGTTTTGGGAGGTGGATTGGAATTGAGGAATACTTGATAGGACTTGTGGAAAGATTGCATTCAAAGTTCGAAGTAAGGTTTAAGGTTCTTGAGGGTTATTTAGGGATATTAAGGGATATTTGAGGATGTTTTGGAATGTTGAGTTTTCTTGGGAATGTTGAAGCTTACTTGTAGATGTCGAGGGTTATTTAGGGATATTAAGGGTTATTTTGGGATAATAAAGGTTTTGTGGGGATATTAGGTGTTTTTAAAGGATATTAAAGGTTATTTAGGAATATTAAGGGTTATTTTGGGATAATAAAGGTTATGTGAGGATATTAAGTATTATTAAAAGATACTAAGGGTTATTTGAGGATATTAAGGGTTATTTGGGGATATTAAAGGTTATTCAGGGATATTTCATTCCTCAAACTAGTAAACAGGCAGTCAAAAGATACTCACTCTGCATTCCATGTCCCTTCTCACGAATCCTATCCATGAGCTTCGTAAATCGATCAACAGAGACATGAACAGGCCCCGGACACGTCTCTTCCAGCAATTTAGAACAGCATCTATGTACATTAAGTCCACAATCACCACACGCATATCCTTGCGGTGCAACACCCCATATCAAGTTGCCACAATGATTGCAATGCGTCGTCTCATAATACTGTCGTAAAATTAAGTGATGTCCACGTATCACTGACTTTCTATTCTTGCTCATTAGTCGTGACTTGAAGGACTTTTCACGTGTGACATAGTGATTGACACGTTCGGAATTTGGTGCTGCTGGTCCGCGCGGTAGGAAGATCTTGTAGACAACTGTCGATAATGCTGATGCTAATGCTATTTTATCGTCATTTTCTGGTACATTTTCAGTTTCATCAAGCATCGTCTGAAGTTTTGGCATCAGAAAGTCCTCGACAATCTTTTGCTCACAGATCTTTGATTTTCGTGCTGCAGCTAGTTCCTGTGCTGTTGGACCAAACATTGTACCAAGACCAGCAGTCCTTTTCTCTTGGAATTCTTCCATCTGTCGATTAACCATGTCTCTGGCCCTCGATCGAGCTTTTTGGAAAACAGTTCGAAGCAATCCAGCCATCTCAAAGTCTTGTGCACCGCTGTTCCTCTCAGTCGGCTGATAAGCCTTAGCATGAGCTAATTTATCATCAACATCACGTGCTATTGTCTCACACATGTTATCAGTGTCTGGAAGGAATGACAATGGTGCTGTTGGAACTAAAAATGTCGAGTGAATTTCATAAGCCCACTTCCGCATGTCCTTAATATTTCCTTTTTTGTACAGATCCGTTATTAAGTAGAATAAAATTGCTGACGGTTTCGAATTGCTCAATACAAAGTTAAGGAAGACAATGAGATATGCTGAATTTTCAGGTGCTGTAAGCATCGATATTGACCGAAATATTCCATCATCCTCGTCCATCACTTCCTCATCTGTCTCATCATCACATTCGAATGCTAAAATGTCTCGTTGCTCGATATTTGTTTGTGCTGCTGTAATTTGAGTTGTTGGACCATCGTAAGCTGGTGGTGGAGTTCCACATGGTGGTGGTGATAAGTCTGGATTGGATGCATTTCGATGGTGCTTCTTGGGCTTCTAAAATTGTAAAAAAAATATTGTTATTAATTTGAATTTTTGGATTTTGGAGACTGTATGATTGAATGAGGTTTTGAACTTCCACGCTGGGAAGGTTTTGTGAATTTTTTATGAAATTGAGGGTGTTGATTGTGTGATTTGAATAGTAAGTGAGGATTATAAGTGATTGGCTAAGCATAGATCAGGTTGAATGAGCAATTAGAAGCTGAAAATCAAGTTAAGCATATTATAAAAGGTAAAATTGTAAGAAAATTTTAATAAAGTTGTGTTGTTAAAAATAAAAATAAATATTCGATCCACTAGCATCAACAAAAGCACTGACGATTAAAATTGAATAGTTTGAAAGGATAAGGCGATCATCAGGATGCAGAAAGTGACCAGACAGGGGTTAAAGCTTTTGAAATGAATCTGATTTTCCTTCACACTTTGCTTCATGCTTGACAGATTCGGTATTGTGGTTCTTATTGATTTAGTCAAGGCTCTATAGTGGCCCATATCTAGAATTTAACCCAAGGGTTCAAGTTCAAGTGACCTCAAAGTCACCAAATCAACAAGCATGCACAATTTTGAAGGAAAATAAGCTCACATTAAGTTTACTAATTTACTTAACAATCAATAAATCAAATTTACAGGTGTAAATTTTAAAAGATAATATTCAATTGCTACAGATTACTTAAAGAGTAAAAAGAAGTTCAGAATGTGTGATTTTAAACCCAAATAGCTCAAATGATTGAGTTGATTTAGACTTTTTGTTACATTTGTACAATCAACTATCACATTTAAGTGAGTTGATTACAAAGAAGTTGAAAACTCTAAATCTACTAGAAGTAGGAAAGATCAAAAATTGTTTTTATGAAGGATTAGTTATTAGACTAAGTAAATTTTAGAATGTGTTTTAGTTGAATTTGATCAATTGTTCGGCTTTAGTTTAAAAATATTTGATCTTCTTACTTATTTGATATTTGTAAATTAATCAAACCTAGTTCAAATCTAGTTCGAACGTAGCCCAAACCTTAATCAATCCAAGTTTAAAACTAGTTCAAACTTAGTTCAAACTAGTTTAAACCTAGTTGAAACCTAGTTCAAATCTAGTTCAAATCTAGTTCAAATCTAGTTCAAATCTAGTTCAAATCTAGTTCAAATCTAGTTCAAAACTAGTTCAAACCTAGTTCAAACCTAGTTCAAACTTAGTTCAAACTAGTTTAAACCTAGTTCAAACCTAGTTCAAACCTAGTTCAAACATAGTTTAAACTTAGTTCAGCCCTAGTTCAAACCTAGTTCAAACCTAGTTCAATATTAGTTCAAACCTAGTTCAATACTAGTTCAAACCTAATTCAAACCTAGTTCAAATCTAGTTCGAACCTAGACCAAACCTTGTTTAAAACTAGTTGAAACTAAGTTCAAATCTAGTTCAAACCTAGATCAAACCTAGATCAAACCTAGTTCAAACCTAGTCCAAACCTAGTTCAAACCTAGTTCAAACCTAGTTCAAACCTAGTTCAAACCTAGTTCAAACTTAGTTCAAACTAGTTTAAACCTAGTTCAAACCTAGTTCAAACCTAGTTCAAACATAGTTTAAACTTAGTTCAGCCCTAGTTCAAACCTAGTTCAAACCTAGTTCAATATTAGTTCAAACCTAGTTCAATACTAGTTCAAACCGTTAATGCAAACTCCAAACCCAGTTTATAAGCTTTCAGCTGAGATCAAGAACTCCCACTCCTATCCCAAAAGTACTCCTAAAAATCTAAAACTCTTTACAGTCATGCAAACAAGCTCAATTACCACCTTAATCGCGTATGCCACATGGGTTCAAAATCCAAAACAATATCAATATTTAATCTACAACATTTACAATAACATTCAAAAGAAGATACTCAAGTTAGTTTAACTCAAAAAAAAGGATAAATCTGTGTCCATAAAAAATAGAGAATTAAAAAAATCATTGAAAATTGAACAGCAGAAGAGAAAAAAAAGAAGTGAAACCAAAAAAAAATGTCATGAAGAACTTACCACAACAGCTGGCAATTCAGGCGGTAAACTGCTGCTACTAATGTTCATTAAACTCGAATAAAATGCCTGGAAATTTACATGTGGTGGAATTCCATCGCGAACAGCGACACTTGTGGATATTAACGGATAATGCATCTGTGTCGAGCAGCTATTAGGAAATGGACGTCCATCAAGTGCCGTTGGTGAATTGTCTGTCGAGTCTTTATTTGTTATGCATTGTCCAAAGGCAGATCCATCATCAACACCAAAGTTATTGCATCCAATTTGCCGTGGTGGCAATGGTGGTGGATAATTTGATGCTTCCATCTGCATCATCATTTCACTTGACATTTTTGGATCTGAATATGCTTTTTGTTTATTTTTCTTCTTACTTCCACCTGGAATTTGTGCCTTAGCAGCCATTAGACTCGAGTCTAGATCACTGACTTGAGAATTTCCAGCAGATGTCGGTGTTGTTGGCTTTCGGATGATATTTCTCTGTGGCAATGGAGGTGGAACGTCTGCAGTCACAACTGGATGTTGATGACGAACTTTAACCTTTTGCTGATGACTTGGACTTGATATTGGAGTATTTGATGAGGATGATGACGATGGAGTTTGTGGTGAAGATGGCAATGGACGTGTGGGTTCTTGTGGAGATGCAACATTTGCTGACTTTCGCTTGTTGCCTAAATTCAATTGACTTAAGCTGCGCGGGAATCTTGCAAGAAAAGTTGGTGTGCTTGTTGGCGTTGTGACCTTCGTTGATGATGACATAATGTTCATTAATGGCGATGATGACACCTAAAACGTTTGATTTTTTTTTTGCACGATGATGTGAGGTTTTATTTTTTGTTGTAATTTAATTTTTTGGTATATTATTGGGGAATAATTGATTTTTGATTGAGATTTTTTTGCAGCATAAATTTGCATAAATTTGGAAAGATTTTAATTTTGGAGGTTGTAGGTGTGGCTTTTGTGGATGACAACGGGATAATATTGAAAAGGAAGCTTCGAGCAAGGTGTTAATTTATTAGTTTTTTTTTGAAAATTGTTTTAAAAAATCAATGTTTGGTTTTTATAGAATTTCAAAAAAATAATTTTGTTTTTTTGAAATTTAAAAACTTTAATTTTAAATAATTTGAATTTAAGAAATTTTTTAGAATTAAAAAAATTAATTTCAATTTTTTTGAATTATAAAAAATAATTTCAATTTTTTAATTTAAAAAAAATTTAAACTTTTTACTTTAAGGTTTGAAATTTCAATTTCAATTTAGAAAAAAATTTAAAAAACTTAAATTTTACTTTTTAAAATTCAATTATTATATTTTAAAGTTTTTAAAATTTGTGTTTCAATAAGTCAAGTTTTTTAATTTCAAAAATTTTTTATAATTTTAATTCAATTTTTTCCTCATATTTTCCCTATAGACTCCCTCTATGACTCCCCCTAATAATCCCAACTTATCTCATTTTCAAATTATTAATTTTCCTAATATTTAAAAAATAAAAATTCTTAATCTAAGTCAATAATAAAGAAAAAGTCAACAAATTTTCAACCATTAGTCGTCTACTCTAAATTCACGTCAAACAGAAACAGAAAAAAATTAATGAATGAATGAACAAATTTTGACAATAAGAAAATGTCAGACAAAAAAAAACACAAGAAGCAAAAAAAAATGTTTTAAAAAAGAACACATAAAATTTTTATTTTTCAGGGTCACTGTTGTAGTCGGACCCGAAAAAAAATATCAGTCGAATTGGCTTAGTTATTAGTAGCAATATTTCAGTAATTATCCATTATATCCACATCCATCATTCCACCAAAGGTTATCGATTTGAGTGACAAGATAATAAGTTTTTAAGATTGTACTTACATCACCCGTTGATTGCTTAAGTTGATCCTGCAATGTACGTATGTTGGTTTCGGCTCGTCCAATCTCATTTACATTTTGCGACTCATTCTCTTTCAACTTTTCTAAATTCTTCTTCTCTTGTTCTAGCATTAAATATAGTGTGTGCATTTTTGTGAATTCTACTTCCATTCGTTTCTGGTGCTAAAATGTAGTGTAAAAAGATTTAAAATTTTATGAGTTTATATGATTAAATGTATTGAATTGAGCTGAACAAGCTGAAATGTCTGAATTGAGCTGAACCAGCTGAACTAGCCGAATTGAGCTGAACTAGCTGAATTGAGCTGAACTAGCTGAATTGAGCTGAACTAGCTTCAGTGAGCTGAACTAGCAATGCTGAACTGAACCAGCTTTATTGAGCTAAACTAGCTGAATTGAGCTGAACTAGCTGAATTGAGCTGAACCAGCTGAATTGAGCTGAACTAGCTGAATTGAGCTGAACTAGCTGAATTGAGCTGAGCTAGCTTCAGTGAGCTGAACTAGCTTTACTGAACTAAACCAGCTTTATTGAGATGAACTAGCTGAATTGAGCTGAACTAGCTGAATTGAGCTGAACTAGCTGAATTGAGATGAATTAGCTTTATTAAGCTGAAGAGACTATATTGAGCTAAACTAGCTGAATTGAGCTGAGATAGCTGAATTGAGCTGAGCTAGCTGTAATAAGTTTAGCTAAATTGAGCTGAACAGCCAAACGAACTCAATTAAGCTATCAATATCCCTACACCAAAATCTACCATAACCTTTAAAACTTAAAAAGAACTTACATCAACTGGCAGTGGAGCCGTAATACTATTTCTTTGACTAGCTGATGTTGGTGTTGATGGAGTGACTGGTGTACTTCCACCTCCACCGATTGGAAGAGCAAAATTCCTCGCATTTCGTTGGACAGTCAATTCAACATTTTGCGTTGCCTTCATAAGCTGAACAACCTCAGCATGTGTTGAATATCTCACATTGTGTCCATTGACTCGTAAAATCATATCAGCTGCATTCAGACCTGCACGATTAGCTGCACCACCTTCTTTTACACTATCAACAAATACTGGATTTTCGCCTGACACTTTCATGCCGTAGCCATATTTATCTTTGTTGATGATCAACTCGAGGATCTGTGGCTTCGGCTTGTCTGGATTCTGACCATTTCCAGTCAATGATGGGAGATTCATGTTTTCGAGGAGCATCTTGCCAGAACGGGTGCGTTGATGGCCACCGTTCTCTGTCTTCTTTGTTGGGATTGATGATGGAGTTGGTGTTGATGTGCCGTTGCTTGATATTGGTCTAAAATTGGTAGAGATTAGTTAATATCTTAATGATCTTATTTAATAATAATAATAATAATAATAATTATTTTAGATGAAATAGCTTAATTAAGCCATGTTGAATTGAATGGAGCCATGTTGAGCTAAATTGAGCCATGTTGAGCTGAATTGAGCCACATTGAGCTGAATTGAGCCATATTTAGCTGAATTCAGCAATATTAAGCAATATTGACCAATATTGAGCTGAATTGAGCTAAACTCAGCCATATTAAGCAGAATTGGAGAGTTAAGATTTTATTTTGAAAGGTTCTTGATCTTAATACTGCTAATTAATTAGCAGACACACAATAATTGTCGGTAAATCACCAAACCAGCCAAGTAATCACCTCAGACACCTCAAAAAAAACAACAATCCAATCCAGTTTCAAAAATTAAATACCCAACATTAAACTATATCGCACATAATGAACGAGAGTAATTTGAAGCTCATACGTTACGCACGCACATAATCAATACACAAATTTATTGTTTATTTTTTTATCATTTCATGTTGATCTATGAAATGTAGGTCAATCACTCACATGTGAAGAAACTCTTTTTTTTTCTCTGTTGTTTCTTCTTTTTCTTCTCATGAAAAACAAATGAATGAGTTGAAGTGAATGAGCAGAAGTGCTTTAAAAGTCATAGAAACTTCAATTGTTATGTGGATGTGAAGTTTTATGATTTTATATTTTATCTTGGGGGCTTTTTGAGGTGATGATGGGGATTTGATGGAGATTTTTATGGATTTTCGAAGGTATGTGATCATGAATTTGTGGTTTTTGAACCGTTTAGCTTCAAATGATCCCTAAAAACTAAGTTTATCATCCTAAGCTGACTCAGGTACCTTTAGCCGCAATCTTACACCCGCCATACCTTAATACAACCCCATACTCCATTAAACACCTTCAAACACTCACAAAATGCCCTCAAAACTTCACATCATTCACTCATAATCTGACTCACATGTCCAATAACCAATTCAGTCACAAAATCAAACACAAATCTTATGTCATTCAATGTTGACACTGACGACTAATTATAGAATACTAAGAAGAAAAAAAATTATTGCAGAATTAATTTTTAATGGAAAATTATTAAGCAACTGATAAGGAGTGCTTGGCATCAAATTGAGAGCTGTACACACTTTTATTGTGTTTGATAAGATTGAGAAATATGATTATTGGAAATTTACAATTTGGTGGCAAGTTTGTCGATTGGCGAATTTTTGATGTGATTTATGGTGATGATATGGGATGGCTGGGAGGATGTGGGGTTAATCTTTGAATTCTTGAGAGCACCAAAAGAGGTTCTTAGGACTTCTGAACCTCAAAACCAGCACATATGATCAATAGTTTATGGTATTTTGAAGAGATTTGAGGAGTCAACCCCACTAGTCATGAAAAACAAAACCAAAATCACCAATTATCAATAAAAACTAAGCTTTTTAAGTCCTTGAAAGCGCAATTGAAATTATAAACAATTTTTTGCACGTCTTTGACACTGATTTGATCGGAAATCATTAACATTTATGCTCAAGAAAGTAAAATACAAGAACCTTGTAGATACAATTTAATGCTCAAAACACTAAAAAAATGAGTGAATAAATTTTTTTTAAAAAAAATAAATATTGAATAATGTCCGACAATTATGGATTTATTTACTAATAAATTACTACGTTTTGTAGTAAATATAGCAAAAAAAAAATAAAATAAATAAATGAACTTTACGTGTGTTGGTGATCAGTGATAATTGAGTATGATGTCTAGATTAATGGAAAAGTTTAAGATAAAGTTGGAATTAAGACGGTTTGGAGAGGAGCTGGAGGATTGGGACGACTCATATGAAGCTGGTTTCTAGGCTAATAGGGATATCTCATCTGGTCACAGTCAATTGTTAAGAGTTAAGTCCACCAATATTCAATTTTTGAGTAGAATAAACAAGATAGACTAAGTAATTGGAAGACTTCTTGGTCCTAAAAATAAGAATAAAATATCGGATGCTCTCAGACTACCAAGGAAAGATCTAAGCATCTTAATTGGTGCTTTGACAGGACACATGAGTATCAATAGTTTTCTTTTTAAATTGAATTTGTCTAACAGTAAAATTTGCAGGTTTTGTAATGTGAATGAAGAAACAATCATTCATATACTTTGTAAATGTAGGTGATTACGAGGACAACGTGTCAAGCATTTTGATGAGGACTATTTGAATGATGAGGATATAAATAAGCAGCATTATCAGGATATTATTGGCTTCATTAAGGACATCGGAATTCTAACATAGGGGACTTGGGATGGTACAACAGATCATCGATCGCAGTGCCGCTTTTGCTATTAGCAAAACCCTACATTACATTCTATTCTAAGTAATTGGACCTTGGAAACTAGGGTTGGATACTATTGTACTAAATGAGTTGTTGTGAGCTGGTTACTTGGAGTATATTTAGATTTTTGACGAAATCAGAGCTTGTGAATTCTGTTCTAGAGTGTTGTTTCAGTACGACAATAATATAAAGCACAGAAATGCCCATAAAGTGGCTAAACCTACACAAAACCAAGCCAAAAAATCATTATAATAACAAAGAGTTTAGCCATCATACCAAAGGTCCACTAAATCATTTTCTAAACCTTTAAGTTACTTCAACTTTGTAGAATCAAGCGATTGAGCAACTGAGTCAACACTTTCCTCTATAAGGACTCCCAATAGTGCCTCTAAGACAACCAAATCAGTAAAAATCTTAATTAAATCTTACTTTCAAGTTAACACACAAATCATCTAGACACCCATCCCTCTCACAATCAGTCCAGATCAAAACTCATCCAATTAACAAAAAAACAATTTTTATTTTTGATTCTCAGAAAAATTCTGTTTACACTTTTTTTTTCTCATTTGATCCAGATGTATTCAGCACATGTACACCCGAAATCTAAACAAAAATGTTTATTTATCAAAAAAAAAAGAGATTTTTTAAATTTTGTGCACATGATTGACCCAGACATTATGCAAAACTGATTATTTTCTATCTTATTTTAATAGCCAATCTAAAATAATAATCTAAAAAAATTATTTACGATGCAAATTAAAGTTTTTTTAACAAAAAATTCCTTCCTAGTTTTTATTTTTTAAATAAAATGTTTACACAAAAAAAAGAGTAATAATAAAGAATTGAAAGAAAAATGTTTACCCCTGTGATCTATTTTTGTCATCTGTTCCTGTCAACTTTTATTAAAAATGATTTGAGCTATTATGAAAAGAAAATTTATGAAACGAAAGGCTATTAAGTATGAATCTGGACAAATCTTTTCACTCAGCCAATTTGCCTCGCTCTTTTTAAATAGATTTTTTTTTTATTATGCAGGGAAGTGATGATGCAGATGGAAAAGGGTTAATGGTAGTGCATTATGGAGGAATGGGGGGCATGTTGGGTTTAGGTTGAGCCTTAACTTGGGAAATTTGTGGCTTTTTTGAAACTAAGATATTAGATTTTTTGTTATTTATGTTAACCTCCCCCCCCCTCCCCTCTCCCTTGGTAACAGTGCTGCTCAAACTATACTCCACGATACACCCAAGTGTGCGGAACTGATGAAATGATCAAACATAATCAAAATGTACCGCATTCTCGGATAGAAGCCAGAACCAATCCATCAAGGAGAAAAGATCAACATTTTCTAATATAAAACCGGTTTCTAGTGCTACCTAGATCACCTCCCCCCTCCTCAATCATCCTGCTATGAGAAATAGATGGTTCTTGTTTGAAATGAATTTTTGATTTTATTACATCTATTTAAAGCAATAGATGTATGCTTTAAGGGAAAACCTATGGTGCTGAACTGATAGAAAATGATCAAAATTGAGTTTATCAGCACCAAACTTGTAAGACACACAAAAGAACATTGCCATGGACTACACAGTTGGGCATACAATAAATCATATAAGAAGATGTGCTCTAGAATTCGTATTTTAGGAAAGTAGACAAAGAATCACCTTTAAGATGATGCTTTCTATCGGCACAGATTGAAATTTATTGAAATGTTTGTCATCCTGTAGCCGGGTTGATAGTACAATTAAATCCAGTTTGAAATTGCTTCCAAGTGGCTACCGCTTGGTTCTGATTATACTATGAACCCGGCTGCTGGGTGGCAAACATTTAAATGTGTGTCGATCGAGGCTTGGACATCTTTTAAGTCTTATAGTAAGTACACTATGAACTTCATCTCGATTTGAACAAACAAGAGCTTTCAATGATGATCTCTGAGATGCTAACTCAATAATCATCTAATCAAAGCCTCAAAAACCAACACAGACCCTCAAAAATTGTGCCAAATCATCAATGCATTGTCATAAAATCAAATAACAGCAAATATTCACAAATCAGACACAATGTATCCCTCCTTCATACCCTGACATCCCAGCCATTTCACTTCAATCAGCCTCAATCATCTCACAAGCCAGAAAAAGCAAGTTTCTTTCTACTCATCATTTCGTAATAAAAACAATGAAAATTTTCCTCGATAAAAATCGTCAATATAAATTTTTTTTTTTCGCAAAAGCTTTACAGTTTTCTGTTATTTTTTCTTCCTCCACCGCACTCCGTCTCCCCAACAATCTATCATATAATGCTTTGTAAAAAGCCAGCACAGTCCATCTGGCAAAATAAAATTAAAAAAAAATGCGTCATGTCATCCCCACTTTTACACCGACTGTATATGTACAACAGTTTTGTTTACATATTGCCCACTTTTATTATTTCTTTTATTTTTTTTTATTCTCTCACTCTCTCACTTGCTCACTCTACGCCGTTTAGTTCTGTTTATCTTTTAAGAATTTCTCGATTCTCGCCCGCTACACAATTAAGTCACCAACACACACACACACACACACACACACACACACACTAGCATGAATGAAAAAAAAAATTATATTTATTCATATGAAAAAAAATGAGAAATTTTCTTTAATCTTTTTAACAAACTTATTTTTTTTGCGCGGATTACGTCAATTACGTCACGTTAGTTGAAAATAACAACATGACGTCATGGTGAGAGGTGGATTTGAAAGGCTTATTGTGAGTTTTTAAATGAGAATTTGAGGTTCTTGGAGGAGATTGAGGATTGAATTAGTTGAATTGAGGTTTATCTAGTAGTGGCTTGGTATATGAGGCTGTGAGGAGACTTACAGGGTCGATAGATGAGGACATGATCCTTGTTGAAGTCTAAATTAAGAAAGTATTGATTTTTAAAGGTGCCAAGTTCATTAGCTTAGTGACTGTTAATGTCTATGACATCACAGATGGATATAAAGACAGTTAAAGAAGTGACGACTCATTTTTGCCATTCAAAAGCTAGTCTAGACTAGAAAGATAGATAGACTAGATAGATGATGATCTTCTAGTACCTAATGAAGTGAATTTGAGTAGCTATAAGGTTCATCTACTCAATTAGACATACAGGACAGAAATTGAGCAGCAAAGTCAATAATTGAATCTTTACTCCAAGAAACTAGTCGAATCTAATTGAATATTGTTTATTTGAGGTCTTGTGCTGCAGTTGAAGCTAGCTCAGCTATTAGAAAAGAGTATGAAGAAGATCTGAATGTCCACATAGTCATGGATGAGAATGTAAGACAATTCTTTGATTTTGTGGTCAATTTATGAATCTATCATCTTAAAATCTAATCTAATCTGAATTTATACAAATTATTAGAGGTCTTGAAGTAAGTTTTGTAGTGACAATAAGTGAGTATGTGGTACATCTAGTCGCTAATAAGTGAATAGAGCTCAACTAAGTCTCTAAAAAAAGCGTAAAGTTCAACTTAGTCTGTAAGACATCTAAAAAGAACATATTGAGTTGTTTGATCTTTTTAGGGCACCTAATAATGTCTGATTGTAGTGACTAGATCTGAGTTGGATTGGAACGTATTAAATCTGGCAAAATACACAGCTTTAAGTCTACTGCAGGATATCTGGATTAGTAAGTAGGTCAGATACTGAAAGATTATTGAGATGTGATTATCTGGAGGTGTATAAGGTGCCTGTAGCAGTAATTATGATAAGAATAGGTTGAAAAAAGGTTCCATCTAGTAGTTGCATCAACTGATAGTCAGCAAATAGAACTTAAGAACCCATAAGACACCCAGAAACACAAATTTTAATATATTTTGATTTTTTATGGATTTTTAATCACCAAACTGAACTTTTTGTACAACTTTGACTCAATTCTTAAGCCTTTATCATCCCTAAATCACTTGGAAATCCCAAAGACGTCACAAAATTCTTACCTATCGTTAGCCTTCTCGGCACTATCCTCATGTGCACTCTGCTGCTTTTTCATTTGGCACAAAACTTTATGATTTTAATTTTTTTTGGATGTAAAAAAATGTTTGTTTTTTGTTTCACTTTTGCATTTTTTTTTGACGTCGAGGAAGCGATGAAAAAAATAATTTTTTTTTCTTCTTCCTTGGAATTTTTTTCCACTTTTTTTTTCACCAAAAAGACCTCAAAAACTAGAAAATTTGATTGCAAAACTTTTACGGGCGATGCCCAACTTGAAGAATTTTTTAAAAGAGTTTTTTTTCACTTTTTTTTGTTGTTGTTGTTTCTCTCCTTTTTTTCCAGCAAAAAAAAATCTTTTTTTTACGATAGTTTCAATTTTCTGAACGATTTTGGTGGTTTGAGTGCGATTTTAAAAGGCACATAGCACATTGACATGATTCGCGAGATTGTATATAACACACATATTGCGGATTTTTTATGAGAAATGCAATTAAATTATGAAAAATTTGATAAAAATAAAATAATAAATTGGAGCACTAGCAAAAAGAAGTTGATAAATTCAGAAAACTATGAATGGAAAGTAATAAAGTCACTGGTTTGTTTGTAACGCATTTAATTTTTTAAGTTTGATTTTGAACTAATTTTCTTGATTTTTTACAATTTTTTAAATGCACATAACCTCAAAACAGCTTAACCAACTCAAAATCTATCTCAAACTAGCCAGCTACCTGCAAAAAAGTTTCAAAAATCACCAAAAACTCTCGTCGAGCACCGAAACTAGTAGAAATATTTGTTATGACAACATTGCCCATCTCTCAAGCCTGTATTTTGCCCAGCTGGGAACAGTTTTGTGCTAAAACCTTTCAAATGTTTTGTAAAGTTTTGAAAGATTTTTTTATTGAATTTAAACCGTTAAAAACAATTGTAAAAGTTGATGACAAATTTGAATATGTTTTGTTGCCAACGTAAATGGAAATTCCGTAATGTTTATCAATATTATTAAAATATAAGCTTCAGAATAAATAAATTTATATTAAATTGTGATTTAATTTTTATCTTTGTGACCTAATCGACTAACCTTAAGACAATTATTGGGTTTTTTTGATTTATAAATTGAATTCTTCGTGGATTTGAGAGAATTAGGTTGATTATGTGCAGCTGTTCTGGGAGCTTTGGTATGGCAGTAGATGTCTATGAACAAGGGCTAGTTTGTTGTCTTACTGGGGTCCAACATCATCTGTGGTGCCTTTGGATGGAAAATTGATCCTCTGTTGAACGACTGCGCAAAAAAAGTCAAATTTACACAAAACTCTTTCGGGTTTTTCCTCAATTTCGCACGTTCAGCCACTTTTTATTTAAATATTATCTTCAATATTTCCAATTTTTTTTTTATCAGTTGAACGTAATCAGCTTAACCTCTTAAACCATTGCGCTAATAAAAGGACTGAAAATGGACATGAATCATATCAGTATCAAGTTGACGTTTAGTAAGCAAAGATGGAGGTTCTGTCGACAATTGGTTTATTAATTGTACTTGCTGTGACTATTTATGGATTTCTGCTGCATCAATTTTCATACTGGAAGCGACGAAATGTTCCGTACATAGAACCACATTTGATTTATGGAAATGCCAAAGGAGTTGAGTCTAAATTTCATCATACAAAGTTTTGGATTGATTTGTACCAAAAGTTAAAGTCTAAAGGACCTGTTGCTGGGATTTATGTCTTTTTCTATCCAATTGCCATCGTCACAGACTTAGATCTAGTCAAGCAGATACTTGTTAAAGACTTTAATGTGTTTGTGAATCGAGGACATTACCTGAACCTCAAAGATGATCCAATTAGTGCTCATTTGTTCAATATTGAGGATGAATCATGGAAATTTATGAGGAACAAGTTATCGCCGGCATTCAGCAGTGGGAAACTTAAAGCCATGTTCCCAACCATCATTAAACTTGCTGACAAATTCACAGAAATTGCTGAAACCAACACTTCATTGGATGTCCGAGACTTAGGTGCTAGATTCGCTAGTGATGTCCTCGGATCGGTTGGCTTTGGAATCGAGTGCAATGCAATGTCCACAAATGACTCAGAATACCACAAAATAGCAACAAACTTCATGAATAATTTGAGATTTATGAGCAAAACTTTCTTGGAAAGCAATCGAAAGTTCTTCAATTTCATAAGATTCACAAACATTGATGACTTTACCAGGACATTCTACACAACAATTGTCGACAAAATTCTGCAATATCGCGAGGAAAATTCTGTAAATCGAACAGACTTTTTAAATTTTATGATTCACGAGAAAGACTCATCAAGACAACTGACTAGAATTGAAATGGCATCTCAAACTGGAGTGTTTCTTGTTGCTGGCCATGAAGTTGTTGTATCGCTGCTTTCACATTGTCTTTATGAACTGGCATTAAGAAAAGATTTACAGGAGAATGCTAGAAATTCAATAAAGCAGGTGCTTGATGAGTTTAATGGAGAGTTCAGCTATGAGTCGGTTTATAAGATGGATTATATTGAACAGTGCATTTATGGTGAGTAATTTTGGGGACTGTGGGGAGACAGGAATGCTTTATAATCACAGAATTGATACATTTGAACTGACTATGCTTCATATTGTACTCTTAAAAATGCCTCATATGATATCAAAGGTTGTACTTCGGATGAGACTGTATTGTGGTTCTTGAAGTCATGTGTCATATGGTTTAGTGAGGACATCCAAGCAGCTAACCTCCTTAATTGCATTAAGTCAATTTAATATTTTTATTTCTCAACAGAAACTGCCAGAAAATATTTCATCGCTGTTAGTGTTCGTCGTGTTGTAACAAGAGACTATAAAGTGCCAAATACTGACATTGTTCTAGAGAAAGGTAAGCCTTCCCTGTCTTTAAAAGACCTAGGTCAAGTGCTGACTAATTTTAAATAAATCCTAGAAAGCACAAGTCATAGGAAGGTCGGAGAACACTGTTAATGTAGCTTTATGCTAGCCTGTCACAGTATTCTCGGATTAGTCTGTACAGCGTGCCTATATTATCTTTAAAATCAATTAATTTTGATCATTTACAGGCACAGTCGTCCAAATTCCAGTCTACGCAATCCATCAAGATCCAGAAATCTACCCAGAACCTGAAAAATGGGATCCTGAGAGATTCTCACCAGAAAATGTAGAAAAACGACATAAATTTGCATTCTTAGCATTCGGAGAAGGTCCACGGATGTGCATTGGAAAAAGGTAGGCTGACTTCCTTTAAAAACTCTGCAAAATTAAGCAATAATCTCTCTCTAGGCTTGGAGTTTTCATCCTAAAGACAGTTTTGGCAAAATTCTTAATGAGCTATGAATTCAACCTTGATACAAATAAGACGACAGTTCCAATCAAGCATTGCATAAAGAAGCTTTTCCTTACACCTTCAGACGGCATTCATATCAATGTCACTAAGTCAAAATTTAATTAATAAAGAAAAGCTGTAAGATATGTAATTTTTCAAAATTGTGATAAAATTTAAAAAAATAAAAATTGAGATAAAAAAGTTATAATAAATTCAAAATGGGATTAATAATTTTTAAATTTCCTGGCACCAAAAAATTTCAAAAAATAAAATAAAATGTTTGTAGTGTCGACCTGCTCAAGTGACTTTAATCATTGAGCTGTGTTAAGATCCTCAAAAATTCAATGTTTAACATAATGTTCATGTTAAGGATCAAAACATTACGTTCAGTTCTTAATGTTCCCGCCAGATGGCACTTCAGGTTTTGTAAACAAAAACATTCAACTTAGTTCAATAATAAAATAAATTTAAGAATATTTCAATTAAAAAATGAACGGCTCAATTTGTCGATTGTGCGGTGACACAAAAGACTCTCAAAGCTTGTCAGCAGACATCACAGACACATCAATTAAATCACAATTAGAGACTTTGAAGATCAATCTTGATGATGACAAGTTCCTTCCAAATTCAGTTTGTTTTAGTTGTGTTGACACTTTGGAAGTTTGCTCGAAATTCGCTCAGAAAGTAGCAGAAGTTCAGGAAAGACTTAAGAATGACTTGTTGCAGCAACTCAATTCAGTCACTTACGATGACTTTGAGCATTTCGAGTTGAAAATTGAGCGACTTGATGAAAATTTCCCAAAAAAATCCACAACAATCGAGCGGAACCGCGGCATCAAGATGCGTAGGGAAGTGCTCAAGTACACAATGTCTGACTTATTCAAGGATGAACTTAGTCAAGGCAAATTCTCATCAGAAATCGATCAAATGCCAGTCCAAGACTCAACAGATGTCCTCAAAAATATTGGATGGTTCAATTACGAATGGAAATGCCAAGGCTGTAATGGGATCTTTTCAAATGTTATGGACCTCGAAAAGCACTCAATGAAGTGCATTAAGAAGCGCTGCATCAATTCCTGTCAATCGTGCCTTAAAGAATTCCCGTCATACTCAACATTCCTCAATCACATTGTCGACCGGCATCAAAGCTTACTAAAGTTTTCCTGCATTATTTGCTCGGAATTCCATTGGAACTTTATTGATCTTTTCCAGCACATCACAACCAGCCATTCTGAATACTCAACCTTCTTTTGCCTTTATTGTGGGAAATTCTTCTTCACTGGAGCACTTTTACGTGATCATTTGATGATCCACAGACCAGAACTTGAACTTCCTGAATACTTTTGTGATATTTGTGGAACTAAGACTTACAAGAAGCAGATCCTGCTCAGCCACATGAGTCGATTTCATTTAGAGAGGAGATTTACATGCGAGTGCTGTGCCTTTTCATTCAAATACCGAGCAGAGCTTATTCAACATCAACAGTCACAGCACAGCGACGAGTGCAATGAGGAATGTAAATTTTGTGGCAAAAAATTCAAGAATAAAAGGAAGCTGAGAAGACATGTGAGGAACATGCATGAAGAAACTGGAATTGTGCTCAATTGTGAGCATTGTGGGAAGGCGTCGAAGAACATGAAGGCACACAAGACTCATATGAAGGTAAGTTTGAGGGTTTTTGGATGTGCGTGGGGGAGATTTGGTGCTATGAACTAGACCTTAGCCTTCAGTGCCATCAGCTTACTTGTTTAGTGTTTTGGGATGCTATCTTGAGTTCTTGGTATCAGGCTTGGGTCCACAGCTGACAAGATCTTGGTATTGAGTCCTCAAATCTATTTGAAACCTTAAAATCATCAAAAAATTCCAAAAACATTCAATTTAACTCATTTACAGATACACAGCGACAAAAGCTGCTTCCAGTGCACTTACTGCTCTAGAACCTTCAAACATTCATCTGGATTTAAGTATCATTTGAGGATTCATACAGGTAAAAACCTTGAAAGCTCTTAAAAATTGATCAAGACTAACTTAAAATTGACTTAATTCTAGGTGAGAAGCCCTACGTGTGTCCAAAATGTGATCAAAAATTCATCGACTGGCCGAACTGTAAGAAGCACATCAGATCGAGTCATGGACTGACGGATGTCAAACCAATTCAAATTCAAATGGGAAAATAGACTTGTTCCAGCAAAGGATGATAAACGAATGTGATGTGAAGCAAAAGTGTGGCAACAGTGTGGCTGGTTTGAAGCAGAAGGAAGTGATAAAAACTGATAAACCTGCTTAGTTCTAGCTGTATAATAATATTTGATATTAATTTCAAGCTAAAATAAAGATCAACAGGTTGATTTACCTTTCAAGTTCAAGGAAAAATCGCGCTTAAACTGAATTTTAAATCCAAAATTCTACAAAAATATGATTCAGCCTACAAATACAAGCAGAACCGATCACCTGTAGCTTGTTGTAGTGTAACTGTATTGGTGAGAAAGTTAAAAGTGTAGTTTAGAATTTGTTTGTGACAAAGCGCACTTTTGGAGACATATGTGGAGTAATAACAAGGCTATGGGACTGACTGGCTATCAAAATAACTGTGACTGCTGTCAATTATGTAGACTTGAGTCAATATGTATCTTCATTCCGACAAGAATCAACTAATATCAACTATATCTTTGAATATGCAACCAAATTGGACTTAGGATCCCTTAATCTAATTAAAGCTTGACTAAAGCATCTTTTAGCATTGACTAAAGTCCAAAAAAGCCTTCTCATGAACCACGGACATGAAGACAAGCTAACGCCACCAAATCCACACTTTACACAACAACCTACACACCCATAATCATTCTGTTTACAGTCTTTGAGTTCCTTCGTACACTTCACATCGTTCTTTTTCATAATCTTCAATAAATATTACAAATCTCAAAGTTTAATTAAATCTCAACGATCCCAAAGTAACAACAAAGCAATGCCAGTTCACGAAAGTTTCTTTGACAAGCCAGCAGTTCAAATTGCCGGTGCAATTATAGCACCAAATATTGGTGGATGGATATCCGGTATTCAAACTAAGCCACACATTAAAAACTGGTATGAAAAGCTAAATCTTCCAACATTTCGTCCACCAAACTACATGTTCCCGATTGCATGGACAACACTGTATTCGGCTATGGGATATGCTTCATATCGTGTGTATAAAGAAGGTAATGGATTTGACGGCGATGCAAAGATCCCATTGATTCTTTATGGTACACAGTTGGCATTGAATTATGCATGGACACCGATCTTCTTTGGAATGCATGAGCTTAAATGGGTAAGTTGGGCAGATTATTGTCAGAATTTCAGCAGATTTGTGTTATATTCTGTCAAAATCGTGGACGATTTTGTTAAACTTTGTCAGATTTTCACCGGATTTTTTTAACTTTTCTTCACAGAGTTGCGTCGAAATCGTTGCCTTAACAGCCGCAGCAGCAGCAACTGGCTATTCCTTCTACAACATTGACAAAACTGCCGGATTACTCTTCATTCCTTACCTTGCGTGGTTGTCATTCGCTACATTCTTAAACTACTCAGTTTACAAGATGAATCCAAAGGCAATCGAGGACAAGAAGCCAGAAGAAGCCAAGAAATGAACAAAATCTCTTCCAAAATGTTGTGAATTAAAGTTTTTTTAAAGAATAAAATCGAATTATAGAAATTTGTATAGTTAACAAAAAAAAGTCGGAATTTTCATATTTTCACAGCCTTACGTCATGCGTACACTAATTGATTCCTCTATTTGTCACGAATAGACTTTGTCAACTTATTATCTTGTTGTAAATTGCCGGTTCTCTATTCTTCTAGAATAGAAAGAAGAAAACAACAGACAGGTCGAATAAAAAGAAGATTTTCGTCAGTCACAATACAAAATAAAGAAAAATTGTGTGTGTTTTTTGGTGAATTATCAATTTGGTGTGGCTGCGTGTGGCTGTATGTGATTGTGTTAGGAACAATTTATTATTTTGGATGTGTTGAGACAGTTCAACGTGTTGGAACTTGAAATTTGATTGTATTTGAACAATAAATGCATGATTTCTCAATTCTAGACTAATCTGATTAGATTATAGCCTACATACGACACCTTTGCCTGACAAATGTGCCTGACAAACGCTTTGCATTTCAGTGGGGTGGGGGGGTTTCAATATCACCCACCCCCCCCCCCCCCCCCCTTTTTCAATTTTTTTTAAATCTCTAGCAATGAAAAAAATTTTAAAAATGAGGGGGGGGGGGGGGGTTAACCATGAAAGACCCCCCCCCCAAAAAAAATTTGGTTGCTCCTAAATCAATGAGAGCCACAGAAATAGAATTGTGATTAACATAGACTTAAGTACAGGCCTGAGTGTCATTCCTGACTACATCTTCAACTTGCTAGCTTTTAAAATGTGCGCTGACGATTCTTGATTTCAATCTAGTAATTGTATAGTAAAAAGTACAAAGTTCAATCTAAGAAATAGAGACATTTTAAAGCAAACCTGTTGGTCCCAGTTGATGCATGTCCTCTTAAATTTTATTCAAAATTCATCTTTTGGTACAAAATTATTTTGACAATTTTTTAAAGCATTTTCAACTTTGCCGTCACTTATATTAAAATTCCGATCAATGCAAGAGTTTTTCTCAACTATAAAAGTTCTTAAGTATTTAAATTTGGTAAAATCTATCAAAATGGTCGACAAATTGTTAAAGGAAATGTCCAAGTAGTCCAAACAATTTGATTTTAATATTGTTAAGTTGATTTCTGTTAAGTTGTTAATTTCGATGTTTAAATATTCTAGATTGTTCAAATTTTGGAATATTTTAGGATCAACTTTAGTCAACTTATTGGAATTCAGGAACAATTCATTGAGTTGAGATTGATTTTCTAGAATTTTTGGATCATTCAGTTCGGTCAGCAAATTATTGTCAAGTTTCAAGACTTTAAGGACCTTTAAATTCATAAATAATCCAGAATCAATGTTCGAAATTCGGTTGTGACTCAAAACTAGCTTTTGAATCCTAAAATTCTCAATAAATGTGTCATTATTTAAATGATCAATTAAATTGCAACTTAAGTCTAATAATTTCAAACTTTTCAAACCAAAAAATGCACTTTTATCAACAAATGAAATTTGGTTTTTAACAAAAATTAAATTTTCTAAATTTTCACAATTTTTCAACATTTTTTCATGCAAATTTTCAATCAAATTCAACCTTAAGTCAAAGTTTTTGAGGTTTATGCAATTCTTGATTCCATTTATGTTTGTAATTGAAGATTTCCAAAGGTTTAAAGTCGACAAATTTCCATAAACCTCAAAAATTGAATAGACTTCAAGGTTCAATGGCTTATTCTTGTTGTAAATTGACATAACCTCACTTTTAGATGCCAAACTTGCCAAGCTATTGTTTGATATTTTGCAACTTAGACCAAATTTTTCATGTTTTTCGAGGTCACAAAAGTTAAAAGTGTCAAAGTTTTGAAAGCATTGAGTGAAATGAGCTTTAAGGTTGACTTGCGGTATTGAGGCTTGAGTGCAAAGGTTTGAGGAACCAAAAATTGAAGCATTAGAGACTGCATGAAAAAATCTGGGACTAATTGTTGAAATTTGATTGTGGCTGAAGTCAATGTTGATCAAATTTGGATAATCTGGTGAGAATAGCAAGCTTGTCAGGTAGTTTCTGCTTACATCCAGGACTTCTAGGCTTTCCAGATTAATTATGCTGCTTGGAAGGATTTTGAGGTTGCAACTTTTGAGGTTAAGATGCTTTAAATTCTTCAAACCCACAAAGACATCAAAATTAAGGTCTTTGGACAGTAAATTCAAGCTTATGTCTAAATTTTCTAGACTTTTAAGACCAACAAAAGCATTTTTCTCAATTTCTGTGATTCTATTCGAAGCAAGCGACAGCATTTGCAATTTTTCAAGTGTTTCAAAATTATTTTCTGAAAGTTTTGTTATCAAATTTAAGTCAAATTGAAGGATTTTTAAGTTTTTTAGGTTATAAAATAATTTTGAAGGTAAGTTGCTGATTTTATTGAGGTTTCCAGCACCGATGACTAAGTTTTGAAAATTAATAACCTCAATGTTTGGTGTATTTTGGAATATAAAGTCAGGCAAGTGCAAAATATTGCAATTTTCCAAATGAATTTCTAGCAAATTTGTGAGATTTTTGAAAATTTGATCATTTATGTCTTGCAGATTATTTTTATTTGATTTCAAAATTTTGAGGTTATTTTTGGAATTTTGAAAATTTGGGAAATTTTCAGCAGTTATGCCTCGATTTGAGATGTCAAGAACTTCTAAGTTTTCCAGAAAATAAACTGAATTTTTGTCAAAATTTTCATTATTCTCAATACTCAAATAGTCATTGATGTAAACTTCCTTTAACTTAACTAAATTCTCAAAAGTTCCAGCATCAATCGTCAATAAATTCAAAGATAACCTCAAAATTTCTAAAGAACTTGGAAGATAAAAATTCAATTTTGTAAATCTTGAATTTTCTAATCTTAATTCTTTGAGATTATTGAGCTTAAAAAATGCTGTAATCTTAACTGTTTTTAAATTGACGTTACTGACGGACAACCCCTTTAAATTCGTACAATTCTCAAAATTTCGATCACCTAAGTCAATCCCAAAATTATCATCCAAATTTAAATAACTTAAATTCCCACATTTTTCGAGTTTGTTTAATTTTGTCAAATAAACATTTTTGGCGGTCAAAATTTTGAGGTTAGGCAGGTCTTGGAACAGAATTGGCGGGATAAATGAAATATTTGTGTATGCAAATTCAACAATTTTGATGTTTTCTTTTGGAATTTCATCAACTTTAACCTCAAAATCGAATTGTTGTTGGTTTTGGGTGATTTTAAGGTACTCCATGATGCACTTTGAGTCTGTTACGTTTTGGGAGTCACTGGAATTGAACAAATCTTGACTAGCATCAAAGCTAGTAACTCGGCAATCCAAAATAACAGCCTTGCACTTCTCAAAGTCCTTAGAAACATTGAAATAAGCTTCTTTATAGTCATTATTAATGCACACATTCCCAGTAGCCAGGAAGTTCCAAGGAAAGACTTTTTCGAAGAAATCGGATGAAATTTTATTGATTAAATTGTAACTGACGTCAATTATGTTGATAAATCCGCTAAATTGGGGATATTGAGAATAGTCGATGAACATGGATGCTGAGAATGTCTTAATTTGATTGTATTGAAGCTCTAGAACCTTTAAATTCGGGATTAATATGAAGCTTTGAGCCTCGATTGATTGAATTGAGTTTTTAGACAACAAAATTTCTTCTAAATTCTCAAAGTGAAAGCTGTTAAAAGATTGAAAAGATTCGGCTTTGATTGAAGTTAACTTGTTTCTGGAAAAGTCGATTTTTGACAATTTTTTTAGATTTTCAAATGTTTTTGGGGGTAATTTTTGAATTTTGTTGTCGTGAAGTTGAAGGTTTTCAAGATTTGTTAAGTTTTCGAAGATTTTTTGGTCAATTATTGAAATTTTGTTGTAATTAAAGTTGAGAGTTTTGACATTTTTGAGGTAACCAAAAGATTTTGAGGTTAAGTTTGAAATTTGATTTTGTTCGAAATTTAAAATTTCCAAATTTGTGCAGTTTTCAAGTAAATTTTCTGGAATTTCAGTTATTAAATTCTCGTTTGCGTGGAATTCGAGAAGATTTTTTGAATATTTGAGTAAATTTTCGTCAAATTTTGAAATTTTGTTGTCGGTTAAAAATAATTTGACTAAATTTTGCAGATTTTCCGTCAATTTTCCATCAAAATTTTCAATTAAATAAATATTTTGCAGAAACAGAAACTTTAAATTTCTCAAATTTGTGAAAGAATTTTCATGAATTATTCCAATTTCGCAGTCTCGAAGGTCCAAAATTTCCAAAAATTCAAGATTTTCAAATAATTTTTCCTCAATTTTCGTCAAATTATTTTTCATCATGATCAATTTTTTCAAATATAAATTATTTTCGAACATTTTCACCGAAATTGTTGAGTTTAATTTTAAGTTTTGCATCTCGAATTCCTCAAGATTTATCAACTTTGACAACAAATTTTCCTTCAATTCAAAAATTAAGTTCGTGTGGATCGTCAAAATCCTTAAATTCCTCAAAAAACTAAAGATTTTCTCATCTAATTCAGCAATTTTATTCGAATTTAACCTCAAAACTTCCAAATTTTTATTTTCATCAAAAATATTCGAGTACAACATTTGGATGTCATTTTCAGCTAGGCTTAAATTACTCAAATTTGGCAGTTTACTGAATGAATCTCCAGAAAGCTTAAAAATCAAATTATTCTCAAAATTCAGAACCTCAATCTTTGTACAATCCTCAAAAAGCTCTTTAAAGACACTCGATATCAAATTCCCCTCCAAGTTGACAACCCTAATATCACGACAATTAAAAAATTCCTCCAAAAATGTCATTTTGACTCGCACAACATTCAAAATTTGGAGGTTAGGAAACTCAATAAAAATCACAGCAGGCAAAAATTCGAAATGTGAGTCAGACCTAGCTGAAATAGCTTTCACATCCCTAGAATCATCATTGCCAATGTGAATTCCATCTATAAAATAGTCAACCAATGGGTCCAACACCAATGCCTGCCTTACAACACACTCGTAAATTGAGTTTGAAAAATATTGAAAAAAACATGAAATTTTCGGATTTTCACGACAAGTTGCTGAATTTAAGCAGTCCATGTTGATCGCTGTGGATGACGGGAAGAAGGATGTAAAGTTTGTTGACATAACCTCAATATTATTTTTGGATATGTCGAGGATTTCAAGGTCTGTGACATATCCAAACTTTGCACTACTGAATGAAGTCAGTCCATTTGTTGATAAATTCAAATTTTCTAACCTCAAAATTGGCTCAAAAATTCGATTTTCAAGGACTTGCAAGTTGTTGTTGGAAATTGACAGATTTTTCAAGTTTTCCAGGCCGGAAAATGCGTTTTTGAACAGAATTTTGATTGAATTAAAGTCTAGCAAAAGATTAGTCAAGTTTGTGAGGTTTTTGAATGAATATTCAGCCACAGATTCTATAAAATTGTATCTCAAGTCCAAAACCTCAAGATTCTTTAGTTCCATAAAACTTTGAACCTCAATTTCTATCAAAAAGTTATTAGAAGCAATCAATCTGGTCAAACTTGCCAATCCATCGAACTTCAAGACTCCAATTTGATTGTGGCTCACATCAAGGTCTTCTAGCTTTTGGACATCCTTAAATGCTTCAATATTCAAGAACCTCAACTTATTATCATTAAGTTTTAAAACCTTTAAACTTTGCAGCCCCAAAAATGCATCATTTTCGATAATTTCAATCAAATTTTTCTGAAGTTCCAATTTGTCTAATTTCTGCAAGTCATCAAATACGCTATTTTTGATTCTTACAATCTTGTTGCTGCTTACTTGAAGGGTCCTTAAGTTAGTTGTGTTGGTGAATATTCCGTCCGGGAAGTCAATTAGCGATATATTCTCAATGAACATATGTTGAAGATTTCGCTTATTTGCCATAAAGTTCGGAGGTAAAATTCCATTTAAAGTTGGATTATTTTCCATCGGAAAGATTATCAGCTTTGCATTATTGACCAACAACTTGTCTGGGATTGTTCTTAATAAATTCACATTTAACCTCAAATGATCCAAATCAACTGACTCGACAAACAATTTTTCAGGAATGTCAACAAGTAAATTATTGTCAAATTCAAGAGTTTTGATTTTTGGAAGTCCATAGAAGGCATCCTCACTGATGACAGAGATTTTATTGAACCCAAACTTTATCCCGACAAGATTTTGGCAGTTTCGCAAAGTCCCACTGGATATTTTGTCCAAATCATTATGCTGCAAGTCAAGCCACTCAATTTTGTCGCAATTTATGAAATTTTTATCCAATTCAGTCATTTTGACAAAAATCATTTCGACATACTGGACATTTGGGAAGGTCTGGAAGATTTCAATTGGAAAATTTGATATTGTTTGAGATTTTGTGGCTGAAACTTTTTGGACGTTGCTGTTTGTGTGGCCAATAGTGTGCGTTATTGTTGGTTTGAATTGATAATTACTCGATGTGATGTTAAAGTTGAAGAATTTGCAGATGTAGTCATTGTTGTCTAGCTCGCATGCTATGATTGAATCATCCACAGCTGATGCTTTTGAGGTTAAGATTGACAAAAGTGTCAAAAATTTTAAAAACTTTATTTTTCTCATTTTACATAATTTTTCACAACTTTTTCATTAAACAATTGAACTGATAATGGTAAAACTAGCTGTGATTATTGAACTTTTATATCAATTATATCGAGGCAATTAACAATTAATCAAGAATTGATAAAATCATAAAATCATAAGTATTTATCGGAATTTAATTGATAAGGTTTATTGTCAATCGAGAGAATTGTATGACAGAGCTGACATCTTACTGTATGGATTAGGTTTTCTATCGTCAGTGGTTCCTGCTCATACCGACTGCAATAACTGTAGACTGCATTTTATAAAAACTGCTTGAGTTTAGGTCCCTGCTTTTTTTAATCTACAGGAACGAAGTAAAGTGACCTTAACCAAGCAGAGGTGTGGTCAGGGGGATTGTGGGGGAAGGGGGGGGGGGGGGGGGTTGGGAGACGAAGTTGGTGATTTTCGGGATTTTTTCTGTGAAAATCAAATAATTTTTCCACCATTTATCCTGGGCCCGCACCTAAAACCTAATAAGAAACATTTATCAAAGACATAGCCAAAGAGTGGGAGTGTCGTTGGGTTTTATACGCGCTTGGCTTTGTACTTGAGCTCAGTTGAAAAGTAACAAAAAATTAAAAATCTGATTAAATAAGACCAAAAATTCTTGATCAAGGCGGGGAAACTCAGAATGAATCCTGAAAGATTCCCAAAAAATCTTAAAAAAATCCCTGAGCCAATAAAGATGAAAATGTGAAATCTGGGTAAAATCCATTTTGAATCCCTGATCCATTTGATGAACAATTTCAGAATTAAAATGGAATTTCACATTTTCATGTTTTTTGACTCAGGGATTTTTTTAGGATTTTTCGAGGATTTTTCAGGATCAATCCTGAGTTTTCACGCTTTTTGCTTAATTTTAACAAACATTTCTTTTCTATTTTACTCTCTTTTATAACACAAAACATTCTCAATGGCTTCATATAAAATCAAAAATAATAACATCATAATTTTATAGCATTTCCACCAACAATATCAAATCATTTACATCCACTTTTATCCACTAGACAAATCACAGCAGCACTGAGAGCTCGAAAATCCTCCAATTAATTTGATTTGGTTGTAATATTCATGATCACAGACTAAGGAGTGACATGGTGCTGTGATACTTGATAGATAAGTTCCTGAAATCCATCGACAAATTGGGTAAAATGCTCCTCCAGCTTGGGATGGGGACACGTAAAGAGCTGAAATGTGAAAATTTAATTTTTGAAGGATTTTTGATTTTAGATTCTTGTCAAGGATGCGGAACTGATAAATCACATTTTGATCATTTTTGATCATTTTATCAGCACCGTACCTTTGATTCTTTAATTAAGATGCAAAGGGGGATAACAACATGATGGGAAAAAATATTTGTAAGATTTTTTCCTTATCAATTTGATTTCCCCTTGATTAAATTGGCTAATATTTACCACTAAATGCCACAAAAACTACAAACAAAATTTTTAACATTTTTAATTAAACAATATTCACTTTAAGGACACCAAAACTAGTCTGTAAAGTCCTCAGACTAAACCAAATCTTTTTATAACAAACTCAAATGACTTCTCATTTCAGTCAAGAACTTGCCAGTTGGGAAACACATCGTGACTCTTTTTAAATTAGCTAGATAAAGTTTAAAAGGACACCGACAAACTCATTTCTCCTATTGTGCAGTAAATCATCAAGTAGTAATAAAAAGGCATCAAGTTGAGTCATTTTTTAAATATTTCCGATGTTTAATTGCTAAATTTGTTTTGCATTGTTGAAATGTGAAATGGTTTTGGTTGGAATTTAGTCACGAGATTGTTATGAGGATTAGGTATCGTGTGCTTAGTGATTTGGAAGGTATTATTGATCAGGGGTGTAGTTTTAGATAGGAGGAGTGGCGTTACTTCTAAGTTGAACCTAGGATTGACTTGGGGTTGTCCTAAGGATTACCTAGGATTGACCTAAGGCTGGCCTAAGGTTGAATAATCTTTTAACTAGGATTGAGTAAGGACCATATTATGGATGACCTGGGGATGATCTAGGAAAGACCGAAGATGGACAAAGATTGACCTTAGGCTGGTCTAGAGTTGATTAATGGTTTTAACTTGGATTAATTAAGGATTGAGCTAGAGTTGTTCTGAGTTGAGCTAGTGTTGATCTAGGGTTGTCCTAATTAGGACCTAGGAAAGGACTAGGATGTAAAAATCAGTCGATTAAAGTCGCTTACTTCAACATTAAACCACATACTCCCTGCCATACCGACAACCTCTCCAAAAAATTCCTAAACTGCCACAAAAAATTGAAACTTATCGACAACATTTTTGCAAACTATCCAAAATCCCAAATCACTGACCTCGGATCACACTTTATTTACAAATAGTCTTTGTGTCGAAAAAGAGATTGCAACAAATTTCCAAAAATAAAAATTAATTTTTTTCATAACTTTCACTTAATTAAATTAAATTTACAGCATCAAAACTTGTTAATTCGATAGACTAGCAAAAGTACAACAACAAAGTTTTCATAGTTTTTAAGTCACAAGATCCAGTTGAAGTGTAAAAAAAATATTTAGCAATAAAAAATGGAAAATTCAAAGCGATTTTGGTATGCCTTGTCGTTATTAGTGCTGTTGATCCTCACAATATGTATTTTAAAGGTGTCTGAGTGCAGGTAAGTCGCATTTTTTACCTGCAAGTTTTTTTGCGGACTTTCGGATAAAATTATTAAAATTTTCTGCAGCAAGAAGAAGTGAAAAAATTTTGATTCAAATTATGCAGGCAATTATGAAGTTGATGGAAAGATTTGTTGAATTTTCCTGATTTATTTTTAAATTCTAGGGCATGTTTGTCATGCAAAGTAGAGTCAAAGACCAACTTGTGATCTAGTTTAAGTTCTTAATATAAACTTGGTGAAAGACATTCTTCGATAAATGTAAAAATAGAGACGATACAATTAAAAGTAAAATTGTATCTTGTTCGTGGGAATTATTTTGACTTGAAGGTGTAAAATTGCAAGACTAGCAAAAAGTTAACTGTCAATTTTATGGTCTGTAGTATGCAATTAGTTTACGTTCAGTTGACTGAGTTATGAAATTTTGATGATTTTTGTAAACATGAATTAAATGCTAGATTTGTGAATTTTGAACATGAACAACGTTCTTGTTAAGTTGACTTTTTGTTCACTGTTGGTTAAGAGGTGTTGATTTGCGACTAGATTTGAGTAGATTAGACTAGATTGGAGTAGATTAGACTAGATTAGAGTATATTAGACTAGATTGGAGTAGATTAAACTAGATTGAAAAAGATTAGACTTGACTGGAGTAGATTAGACTAAATTGGAGTAAATTAGACTTGACTAGAGTAGATTAGACTAAATTGGAGTAGATTAGACTAGATTGGAGTAGATTAGACTAGGTTGGAGTTGATTAGACTAGATTGGAGTATATTAGACTAGATTGGAGTAGATTCGACTAGATCGAAGAAGATTGGACTGGACTGGAGTGGATTAGACTAGATTGGAGTAGATTAGACTAGATTGGAGTAGATTAGACTAGACTGAAGTAGATTAAACTAGATTGGAGTAGATTAGACTAGATTGGAGTAAATCGAAGTAGATTAAATCATGTCTGACAGGATTGGAATAGATTTGATTTTGAAATTAAATTTATATTGCCCATTGTCTTACTCTGAAATGCTCTTTTTCACCTTCTTATCATCAAAAAATCCTAGACTCCATTCCTTCATGTTGTATGTCATAAGTGAATGACCTCTGATTAATTTACAAAATTGTCTCATTGCTCCTTATCAGCAATCAAAATATACAAAATCACATCCGCTTACATGAAACTTATATGCAGCACACATGCTCAATAATAAAATCTAATCTTTTCTATATTTTCTTCTTTTCCCACCCAATTTTTCCATTTCAGCAGACGAAACCTCGAACGAAAGCTGCTAGCAGAACGTCAACTAGCTCTTCGTGCACTTAAAAAAGACTTTTCATTTGACATTTTAATATTCACACAACACTGGCCATATACAGTATGTGCTCAATGGATGGAACATCATAAAGGCAACGAATGTATACTTCCGAAAGTCAGAAATAGTTGGTCAATTCATGGCGTGTGGCCTACAAAATATCACGAAATCGGTCCACTATTCTGCAATGACACTTGGACATTTGACATGAAGCAGATAGCAGATATTGAGAATGATATGAAGGAAAAATGGATAAATATTGAGAAAGGCACGCCACTGGATGGCTTGTGGAAGCACGAATGGGAAAAGCATGGAACTTGTGCGGCGCAGCAAATTCCAAACATGAACACTGAAAATAAATATTTTTCAAAAGGCCTCGAAATGTTTAATAATTTTTCAATTACGAAATTACTTCAAGAGACGTACATCAAGCCTGGCATCGATGCAACATACAAATTAGATGAAATTCATACAGCAATCAATCGAACAATAGGAAATAATTTTGCAATAATTTGCGAGAAAGATCATCAAACGAAGCAGCAGCTTTTATTTGAGATTCGAATGTGCTTCGATAAAGAATTTAAATTTCACAGTTGTGAAGGAATTGTAGTCAAAGATGAGGTCCTGCTGGGACATACAAAAGATGAAATTATAACAAATTGTAAGAAGGATGTTGAGATTTTGTATCCATCGTCATCGTGGGTTGCTAAAAAGGAATGGTTGATGAAGATTAAGGAACATATGCCACAGGAGAAGAGTTGGTTGTATCAAGTTGAGAATGTTTATAAATTAGTAAAGTTGCTGCAGTGGGCGACTCTGTAAATAGATTTTCTGGGATTGATTTTGTAGATTCAGAGCTGGAACTTCTTAATTTTATTTTTAAAACAATATTTAATCTTTTTAATTTTCAATAATTTAACGTAATAGCTTTTAATGTTAAAACAACGAAAATAGTTCAGCGAATCCTCCATTTGTATGAATCATTGGTGGTCAACCTGTGTGTCACGGCACACTTTGGTGGTAAATCATGACTGAATCAACAAATAGCTTATGGTTCGTTGTTACTGGTGCCGCGGCACATGAGTTGACCATCACTGGTATAAAAAATAACATTTTCTTTGAAATAGTCTTCCCATAAGTAGAGCTTCACTTAGTTGATTATCACACAATTTTGATGAGTCTTATTAGATTTATTTTGACCAGTTGACACTCCTGGAAGCCTTTTAATTGTCAGGCTTATTTTAATAAATACAACGAAAGCTAGGATTGACTTGGGGTTGACCTCCAGATCCAAAAATAATATTATTTATGACTTACTATTTATTCAGGCTAATCAATTTTGTACCTTATACCCAAAAAAACCTATCGGATAAAAACTTTAAAGACTCACTTTTGTCCGATTATAAATATTTCTAGATTTTATGAATTTTATTGCTTAACTTAATTTGGCTCTGGATTTTGATAACAAAAAAATACTGAAAATTTGTGATTGGATTTTTTTAAATTTTAATATTTGCAGTTTATTTCAACATTCCGGATAAAATTTGAACAAACAAAAAAAAAAAAGCAGCCAAAAATTCGAATAAACTGCAAAAAACAATTTGTAAAGTTTTTTTCGGGTCTCTTGAAACCCAAATTCACTACAAAAAAGACACAAAAAAACATCCAAAGTAGAAGAAAAAAAAAATTGAAATTATGAAAATAAAAAAAATGTGCCTATAGACTTACACAATTTTAATCTAAACAAAATAATAATAATTTCACATGAGTGACACCCGTGTGGATTTGATAATTAATTGCATTGTAAAAAATTTTAAGCAAAAATTGTCTCGAAGTAAAAAAAATTGAAGTCAAATTGAGGATTTTGTTCTTGAATTTGATTTTAGCCAAAGATGTACAATCATCGTCACTTGTTCATAAATAGTAAAAAAAAGAGAATAAATGAAATAAATGATTAAGATTAAATTATTATTAATAAAAAGCGAGGAGTTTTAATTATTTTGGGTAGATTTATTTGAGATTTTAGTATCGACAGTATTGCATTTGGTATAGGAAATTGGCAGACGATAGCCAGCGATAGAGCCAGCTTCAGGCGCCATGTAAATGTGGCCATGGATCTCAATTGATCTGGACAGCCAGCAAAGAAGAAGAAGATTTGAGGTTTCGGACAAGTTTTTAAGGTTATGAAAGATTTTAGGATTTTTTGACCGAGTAGTGAACTTTAATTGAATTTCTGTATACTTTGGATATCGTTCTAAGGACCAAATAACAATTACTTGATCAATTAGTCTGAAAATTACCAAAAAAATAATCAAACTGCTTCTATTGTGGCCAATCCGAGTAGCACAAGTCGGTTAATTGAATAGGAATCTGGCACAAAGCTGGCGTCGTACTGGCTTCGATTCAAATCCAGTCCCATGCCAGAGTAACAACAGATTGGTGTTCGATTTCCATTCGATTAACCGACTTGTCCTATACTTACTTTACTTCGTTGACCGTACAGATCAATTGTGATCCATGGCCTCCCTCAAATGTCGCCGGAAGCTGGCTCTATCGCTGGCTACCGCTTGCCAATTTCCTATACCAAATGCAATGCTGTCTCTATCAACAGCCTCCTTCCACGAGTTCTTTGGTCTTCCACGTGCTCGCTTGCCATCTACAAAGTCAGACTTGAAAACCTTTACTAATGGAGCTTCCACAGGTCTCCTTAATACATGTCCTGCCCTTTGGAGCCTGTTTACTTTGATTCGTTTTACGATATCAGCTGACTTGTCCTATTCAGGCATTAAATTCACTTAATTAAAATACAAATTCCATCACTTTCATCACGATTCCTTTCATGACTGTCCAAACATGTCCGATGAATTTCTTTTTTCATCACGATTGTCTGGATTTTTGTGTTTATCAGTTTTCTAGCTTTAAGTTTCATATCTTGAAGTTGTTGAGGTGCAACTATGATTGTCAATTTTTTGAGGTTTGTGGTTTGAGATTTTAAGGTATCAAAGGTGTCTGATGAGATGTCAAGCTTGTCTGAATATGAATTGATTTGAAGTTGTTCTAAACTTTTACAAGAATTCACAATTTTAATCAAATTTTGATCCAATTTCGCTCGATTTGAGATTAAGTTGAGGTTTAAAATTCTCAATTTTGGACAATTTAGTAGAATTTTTGTCAAGTTTTTAAGTTGAGATTCGTTGTCGACTCTTTTAATTGATAGTTCCTGGAGATTTGTAAAATAATCTGAGGTGTTTTTGGACGACATAAATGTAAACAATCCAGATTTAAAATTCGAAAGTTCTTCAAAAATTGATCTTGATGATGGCAGTGAAGATCCTGAATCATAATAAGAAACTGATAAGGTTTGAATATCTGAAAAGTGAAAAGACAGCAAAGTTTAATTTTCAACCACAGCCAAGGGGAACATAATATTATGAGGAAAAATTTTGATGAGAAATTGTCGGGAATTAATAATTTTTTCCCCATCATGTTGTCTTCCTCTCGATCATTAGGGCTCTAACATGAGGAGTTAATGACTGCTCGCATCCCATCTTTTATTGGTTGAATTGTCAAAAATTGCAACCCCCCTCCTAAATTATACGAGCCCCTTAAAGGACTAGGGGAAAAATGAGCCAAATTTCCACAGTTTAAGGGGAACCTCATTTGATTAAGCTTCATTTAAATGAGTCCTTAGCTTTAGGAAACATTCCACAAACTACTTACTTGAAAAGGAACTAGCAGCATTTAAAATGAAACTTTTGTAAGATAAATTTGGATTCTTAAACTTCAAAGTCCTCCAATGTTGATCTTTAATAATGCTTTGATTAGCTTCAACTTTGTCAATTTCCAACTCAATTTTAGTCAACTTTTCAAATGTAAATATTTCTTTAATAAACTGACTGTCGATAGGAACTCCAGCTATTGATAATTCTTTCAAAAACTTATTTTGGCTAAGAACGAAATTGTACAAAATTTGACATTCCTTTTCATTGAGATCAGTTGTTTGCTTTAATTTAAGTTTGAACGTTTTAAGCTGGACCTGAAAAAAATATTTTTATCAAATTGTAAAAAACATTTAATTATAATTTATATTTACAGTTTGTTGCTTAAAGTTATTGATTGTACTTAAAGAACCGATGTTGAGAATTAGTTCAGTTAAATTCTCAAAACTTGATACAAACTCCTCATTACAGTTGCTAAGAACTCTTAATTTCGATACATTTTGACATTTCTCAAATAATTTTTTATCACATGTAAAATCTTCAAGAATCAAATGCTGAAAATTGTGTCCATACTTGTGCAGAAGATCAGTCAACTCAAAATAGTTTGAATTATTAATTATTGGACCTTTGACGTGAAGTTTTCTGTATTTGAGGCCATCAATTGGAATGTGAATTGAGAGATTTTTATCATTTTTGACTGATTCTTGAACTTTTATTGTTAAATCTTTAGATAGCGATAAGGAGGATTTGATTATTTCACTCCAACTGGAATTGTGAATTTTGATGAATTTTACATTTTTTAAAAATAACTGATTTATTCACCTTTGACAAACATTTAAAGCAGATCTTAAAGAATTCTCATCGAAATATTGGAAAATCTCAATCAAAACATCATTTGGAAGTGAATTGATTGACAATTTTCTGTGATTTTGATGAATTTCCAGCTTTATCTTCTTCATTTGCATGATTTAATGATTCTTTAAAATCTTCATTTTAAACTAATTAAAGTAAATAGATAAAGACAATGTTGAAACATTTTTAAAAGTTCATTTTATTGAAAACTATTTATACACATAAATTTTAATTGTTTTGTAAACAATAATGGAAAATTCGTATTAAATTTATTTAAACGGTAAAATAAATTTTAAAATATTTTTGAAATTGTTTTGTTCAACTAGATTTTTTAAGAAAAAGCGTTGCCATTGTGAATTCCCCCCCCCCTCCCCCCTCTTCCCTCTTTTTTGAAAATTTTCTTCGATTTTCTGGAGTGTTTTGAGAAAAAAGAACAAAAAACCTCTTAAAAATTTTCCTGTCCTCTATCCCCATCCCCGAAAAATTTCAAGCTTTGCTCCTGATTTTATGCATATTAACTACATTATAAAAGTTTAAGTGGGATTAAGGAGGGTCGAGTTTGAGAGGGCTTGTGAAGCCCTGTGAAGTTCCCGTCCTCTCCTAAATGTTCCCATACAAAATATTTTTTTGCACCCCTTCCCCACCTCCCACCTGCCCCCCCCCTCCTTAAAATTCCCAACTGCGCCCCTGAACTTTCTAAATCACTGGTTAACAACATAGATCAATGTAAAAATCTATAAAACTAACATTGTTGTCATCATCTTTAATTTTAATGCCTGAATCCTTGATTATTTTAAAATCTGGGAAAATCTCTTGAATAACTTTTAGATAACATTTATTTGGATTGGATTTCTTTAATTTAAAATCAATAAAAAGTCGATGATAAGAATAATTTTCAGCTGTATGCCAAATTTCAAATTTTTTAAGATGTGAGCAACTTTTTAGATTATTAAAGATATAATTCGGTATAATTCTATTATGCGTAGCTAAACGTTTGATTTTGATTTCTTTAATTGCCGGAAAATTTACCAAAAAATGTTTCCAATTATTTTCATTAATATTATTCTTAATAATTCCAATTAAAAGTTCTTTTAAATTCAAAAATTTAATATTTTGAAATCTATCCAAAACTACACGCTCTAGTTCCAAAACTTTAAGATTATTGAAATTTCCTGAACTGTCCAAAAGCTCTAAACACTTGAAAGATTGTAAATTTGGAAATTTTTCACTAATTTTATAAAATTCTTTGGAACTGCAACCGACATCCAGACGATGAACAGACTCAAGACGCAAATTTGCTGGCAAGTTACGTGACAATAATTCCAAATTTAAATAACATTGCAATTTTCTTAATTTTTTACATTTTTTGACAATAATTTCAAATAATTCTGGATACATGGAAGCTAAGTACAGTTCCTCAAAATGTTCAGCCTGGGATTCAAAAAAATTGTTAAAGTTTTGATCTTGAAAATTACATTTTAAGGTTTTTAAATGAAATTTTACATTTGTGGTTATGTCATTGGATATAAATGTTCTTGGATATCCATTATGGAGTTGTGTGGTCCATACAATCCATGTGCTTAATTTTACTTGACGTGATAAAAAATTAATTAACAATTCATGCTAATTTTTTGACAATTTTTCTGGTACAGTTGACGTCGAAAATTCTAAGGTGTCGACATTCATCATGTTTTCCATTAGTTCCTTAAAGTTATAGCATGTAAAGCACAAGTTCTTCAATTTTGTCAACTTTGGTGATTCTTGAAATGATTTAAAATTACTAAACTTAATCAACTTGTCGAAATCTCCGTCTGATGAATTATGATTAATAAAACATAACTTTTCTAAATTTGGCACATGATGCAGCATAAATCTCATCAATTTTTCACAGCATCCATTCACTATAACCTTAAGACATCGTATAGAGTCACCGTTATAGGCTAAAAACTCAAGTTTGCCACTCAAAAAGTCATTTTCACAACGAAAGACAAGCTTCATTCTTCTCATGATTTTTGAACTGTTCAAAATTGCATCACGAACCTTCTTTGATGTCAGCATGCAATTTTTTATGTCCTCAACATCATCCAAAAGTGAGATTGTTTTCAGTATTATTTCTATTGGAAGTGATGAAATCTACAAATACGAGGAAGTTTACGATGCATCATAAGCAGTTGCAATAGGTCCTTGGATTATCCAGTAACAATAAACCGTTAAAAGTAAGTTTTAAGCAAACTTTAAGCTAAGCTATATAAATTTAGACTTGCAATAAGCTTGCTTAAAACTAATCCTTCTGAATCCTTAAGATAAAAACAGCCTGAACGGAGATTGATGCCAAGGAGCTAATTGCTAAGGCTACACAAGACACTCTTATCCAAAAAACCGTCCCTTAAATGTCCCATACAATATCCCTACTACATTATGGTCTCACTCATATTTGCTCATTGACATTTTGAGTTTCTTGACTTACCTGAGCATTAACATCATTTTGACTCATTCGTCTGCAAGCTATCATCTCTGACATGCCTTTTATTGACATTACTGAATATAAACTGTTTCAACTGAAAAAGATTAATTTTATCTAAAATGTTTTTATCTATTAGTCATTCAAATTGTCCAATCAATGTTTCATAACGGCCACAAAAAATTTAAACCCCCCACGTCTACGTCTTTACGTAGCTTCATCAACCTTACGTATTCTGTCGTGTATCTTTTAATCGGCAAAAAATCACACACAAAAAAAAATTGAAAAATGTTGGAATTACTGTACAATATCCCATTTGTGGTCCTCGAGCCACCAAATTTGAAGCTCAAGAGGATCTCCGTTCCAGTTCCATCGTCCAAAACAATCTTTTTCATGGTCCTGACTTCATATTTCCTAGTTTGTGCTGGTGAGTTGTTTACTTTTTATTGAATTTGAAGTCAAATTAATGAGAATCTTTGTAGGAATCATTTACGACATAATTGTGGAACCGCCGTCCATTGGAAGTACAATGGAGAATGGATATTCAAAGCCTGTTGCGTTCCTTCCTTATAGAGTTAATGGACAGTACATTATGGAGGGTCTTGCGTCGTCGTTCTTGTTCACTATTGGAGGTACTTTACTTACTCTTCTGTTCCTTAAAGTCAAGTTAATAATTGGTGTCTATTTCAGGTCTTGGATTCATCATCTTGGACTTGGCAGGTGAAGGAAGTCCAAAACTCAACAAACTTCTTCTTACCTCATTAGGCTTCATCTTTGTCTTGGTGTCGTTCTTTACAACTTGGATCTTTATGAGAATGAAGCTTCCTGGCTACTTACAGACATAAGTTTGATATATTTTTAAGGGCTACATGCAGTATCCATTTCCAATTCGTCTTTTTTAAATAAAGTCAGAAAAATAATTGCTTTTATCACAAAAAAATGTCGGGTTTGAGTTTGATAATGAAATGGTTTTTGAATTAATAGCAGGAAATGGAAGAGTTATGGTATAGACAAGACAGTGGAAGCTTTTTACATCCATAGTTATGGACCAGCTGGTCAAGCATACTCTATACCAGTGGTGTAGTACAAAGTAGACTTAAGAAGTACTTAAAGTTAAATTATTGAACGTATTCTTGGATATAATGGATATAATCCAATAATGCAATATCCAGCTTGTGTATACTAAGCTAATGAGTCCATAACAAGTTTGCTGACTAAAGAACAAAACATTTTTGATGATTTTCGATCATAAAGCAGGACATGTCCTGATTTCAGCTCTGAAACAACGGGACAGACCAATTTTCAAGCATTTTTCCAAGAAAAATAAGTTCAAAATAGCAGTCCCACTTTTAAGTACGCAGCTGGACAGCCTACTTAATTCATATCAGTTTCAATTCACGACCTACGATCATGAGATGTCTAGCATCTAAGTTTATGACTCTATAAAAATATTGTAACGGCTAAATAACATTCGAATCCATTGTTTTGTTGTCATAAAACATTCAATTTGTTGTAATTGTCTTCAGTGATATTTTAAAACTGTTTACAAACAAACTGGAACATTATAGGCTGTGAATTCTATGATTTTGGATTAGCATTTGATACACAGACTTGGATTTTCTTATTTTAAATCAAGTCAATTCGAATAAACTAAGTTCCATAAAATTAAACAAAAATGGATCAAATTCCAGATCATGTTTTAATTGAGATTTTCAACTATTTTGGATGTTCGTCATTAAAAACTTTAATGAATGTTTGCGTCAGGTAATAAGATTGACTAATATTTAACAATTCAAGACCTTAAGCTCATTACTAATACTCCCAGATGGTCAAACCTCATCAAAACATCCAGAAAAGTAACAAAAAAGTTCAATTTAACTTTGACAAATTCTGCAAATGGTGTCATAAAAATCGATGATCCTCTCCCAGATGGAAGTCACTCAGATCTTGTCATTATTAGCAAAGATTCACAAAATAAATCCAATCCAGAATTCATGAAAGTTCTTTCAGAAAATGTTGAAAATCATAAAAATTCTCTACAAAAATTGAATCTTCGTGGCTGTTATTATGTTCATGCTGAGGTTGTAGAACAAAAGTTAAGTTTATTTTGTGATTTTATAAAAGAAGTTGAAATCACTGACTGCATGGTTAGCAACAATGAGAACTTGAAGGAACTAAAATGGAGGAATTTAAGGAGTTTAAGGATTGACAAATCATGTGCAGATTTTATGTTATTTTTTCAGAACTCTCAGGTGAGGTTATGATTTAAAAAGCATGCATAGAAGCTTCAAGCACAAAACTTTAAGCTTAAATATTGTCAAAGGAACTAAAATTTAAGATTTTAAATAATTTTTTCTACAGCTCCAAAAACTAGAATTATCATCAGCTAAGAACACTCTCGACACCAATTCAAAGCTAGCAACATTTTGGAAAAATCAAAGAAAATTAAAAGAATTCAAAATTACAAAGACAGAAATTCCATTGGACATACTTTTAGATGTATTAGGGCATCATAATTTATCAAGACTAGAGCTAGACATTAAAATGATCTCGCTTAACTCAGACTTAATCATTGAGCTAGCTAAAGATAGCCATTGGAAGAAGTTATCATTCCTTAATGGACCCTGTAGAGATAAGGCTTGTATGACTGTGAAAAATATTATTGCAGCACATCCGTGTAAGTATTTAGTTGTGATTTATCTGCTTTCATTTGGGTTTAGGTAACAAAAATTCGATTTAGGACAGTGGTGCACAACCTTTTTTGTGCTACGGCACATCTTGGTAGGAAACCATGACAAAAACAACATTCGCCACACGTTTTGTGAGTTTTCTTGGTTTTTTTCAAGTGTGCCGCAGCACATGAGTTGGCCACTACTTAGTGTGATCATATACTAAAAGAAAGGTTTTGTAGTCATTCAAGTTACATCTGAATAAATGTTTGTCTATCTTTTGACTTTCTCCAGGCATTGATGAGCTGGAGTTCCACAAAACGTCCTTTAATGAATCAGATTTTGTCATGTCTCACATCAACAATCACCTTCCACACATCCAGCACCTCAGATTACCATTAAATTATGGATCATTAAAATTCAATGAAGTTATTAAATTTGAAAAATTGGAAGTTCTAGAAATTGAAGGCATTAAGTATAGATTATCAGTACAAAAATTGTTCAAGATCCTAAGAATGAGCAGGAATTTAAAGGTTTTGAGAATTTATTGGGTTGGACATCATGCGAGGGTATCGAATGACTTTTTTAAGAACATCTTTGAATCTCTTGAAGATCTACAGGAACTTCACATTGGCTATAAGACAGACACATTTGAAATTACCGATGAATTCCTTGATGTCATCAAAATCAATGGCAAGAACCTCAAAAAGCTAACAACATATTCTGACAAAGTTGAGGATTTGCAAGACAAAATGAGAATTTTTGATGGAAGCAAAGTCAAATGTGTAGTTTTGGACAAGAACTATGAAGACATGATGGACCACAAAGCTTCATTTTTCAAGTGTAATGAATTTAAAACAGCTGCAACTTGTGTTTGGAGCTCCTGAATATGAAATAAACGATTTGATAAAAATATTTTGATTTTAACTTTATTTGCATATTTCTGAATGGTCTTATCGCTATGAGGGTAGGGACAGGAGCAAAGTCAGGATGGAGACGACCCTCATAACTTGGGATGGGGGAAGGGGGCAGGGGGAGTGTCTAAAGAGGGGGGTGGGGATTTATCAAAAAACTAGCAAATTGAAGAAACTTTTCCTATATTAAGCGGAAGGGTCGCCCACAAAACCCCTCTAATATACTTAATCCGTACTACATCAACCCGAAAATTCAAACTGATTAAGAAGGTCACTAAAGTCACATCTAACTCTCGTCATGAGAGCCTCATGTAAATTTTTTTGGCATCTTATCAATTTTTTATGGTCATTTGTTAATCAAAGTTGAAGCAGTAAAGGTTGAAAATGAGCTATTTAAGCTTTTTAAGGTGAATCAATAATGAAAATTTCAATACTTTTTGAATAATTCAATTTATAAATTAGGAAATTGTTCATAATTTTCTGCATTGTTCAACATTCTCAACCAGCAACTCTAAATTGCAAATATGAGCAACTTTACAGAGTTTATTTTGGCTACGGCTACCATTGTGAAGTGATAAATCTTGAAATTTTCAGCAATTCATCAACTTTCGATGCAGAAATTGGAGATCATAAGGATGGAAAGTGCAACAATGACGTAGTTTGGGTCATAATGGTTGAAAATTCCGTAAATCAACACTCAATGCTTTCATTTCCAAAAGGTTTTAAAATAATTTATCCAAATTTGATCGCAATTTCCATAATGAACATGGGACTGAAAAGAATCACAGCTGAGGACTTGAAGCCGTTTCCGAATTTGCAGCATTTGATCCTCTGGAAAAATAATTTAACATTTATTGAGGAAGATTTATTCCAGCATAATCCAGGATTAGAGTCATTATCATTATCTAGCAATCAAATTTTCCACATTGATCCGCAAGTTTTGAGTCATTTGGGAAGTTTGAAGTGGTTAAGACTTGAAGGGAATAGATGCAATGGAACGGTTGAGATTCAAGATGCAACAAGAAGAGACAGAGTTGTGAATTTAGTGAAAATTATTGAAGATGGCAATTGTGTCAATTATCCAGTAAGGATTCAAAGTTTGAAGAAGGAAATTGGAATATGGAAAGGAAAATTTGAAGAATGTGATGAAAATGTTTTGAAAAATTGAAAAATTTTTATAAAATTTTAAATTGAATAAATGCAATTTTTAAGTTTAGGTGCCTTCACAATTAAGATTTTAGTTTCAGGTGCCTTCACACTAAGGTTTTTGGGTTCAAATTCCTGCACACTAAATTATTCAGTTTCAGGTGCCTTCACACTAGCGTTTTAAATTTCAGGTGTCTTCACACTAGTCATTAGGTTCAGATGCTTTTAAATCATTAAAAAAACCATATATTTGTTGATTTTCACTGAATCTTTATATTAATTTGATATTTTTTTCAACAATTTTTCAACTTTAATTTTAAACTAACAATCATTGGATATCCACCTTGATTTATCACATTTTCGCTCAACTACAACTTATTAATGATGATAACCATGACCAGCATGTCCAATACGTTCAACATGAGCAGTAAATCCAGTCTTATCATCAGCATGATACTTGACAACACGTTTAGTTCCATCAGCTTCATCCAATGTGTATTCACCCTTAACAACATCTCCATCACGATGCTCCCATTGACTCTTGTGGTCATGTGTGTGTGGATCATTAACTCCATATTCGAATTTGTATGATGGATGATGATAATAATCCTTGCCTTCATGATGATCGTCATGATGATGGACTGCAACTACTGGAACTGCATGATGAACAATTGGTGCTACATGATGATGATGAACTTTGACTTCGTAAGCATGTCCGGCATCATGATAAGCACAAGCAGCTCCGAAAACTACAAAAACCACGAAAATCGACTTCATTTTTTTTTTGTTAAATTGATTGTTTTAAGCTTGAACTGAACTGAACAACTGACATACCATTCTGCATTTGCATGACTTATTTATACCACAACGCATGGGCTCAGACTCGATTGCAAGATTTCCTCGATCATGGCAGTAAAAACTTCAATTTTCATACAACTTTGATTTTTTTTTTATTTCTTTTTCGTCGTATTTTCTACTTTTGTAGGCTTTTTTGTTTCATTTTTTCACAATTTTTAATTGCGTTGACATTGAAAAATTGGATTAGCTTGTAAAGTTAATCAAGCATTTTTAAATTATTACTATTGGAAATTTCTTCATGAACCTGTGGTGTCGATTGTGAAAAAAAAATATTGTTTAATGTGAGAAAAGTGGAGACAATGAGGCGTTGATAATAGTGAGATTGAGAAGTATTTCAAGTTTAGAAGGTGAACTTGACTTCGATTGAGTTTATGATTCTTGTGGTGTGGCTGGAACGGCCTCTTGAAAGGGAGGTGATCCCTCTGAGTGCAAAATACCAATAAATGTTCTGAAGATGCTCAACTAAAATCCACATGACTTATTAATGCCTTAAAATCATCTCAAAGACTCTCTTAACTCTTCAAACATCAAATAAAATTCAAAACTTCAACAACAAAGCACACGAGAAGCTTTTCAGAATTTTTCACACGCAATATCGCTGCATTTTCACATTTCGTGGCTGTTATTGCAGCTTTCAGCACCGAAAATGTTACAAGAATGTTTTACTAATTCAATCAAAATTGAATGGAGTTTGAGGTGAAAATTGATGTAAGAATTAATTAATTAATAAATCAATTAATTTACAAATCATGTGGAATTTTTATAGTTGAGTTGGTGCTCAGAGAATGGGAATTGAGGAAGATGGTGTGGTATAAAATAGCTATCGAATGTGCTGAATATCATCAGTTAAGTTTCAATTCAGAATTTGAAAAGTTAACAATCAATAAAATAATAATAATTTAAAATGAAATTCTTTGTTGTGAGTGAAATTTGAAATTTTGTGAAATTCTTTTGAATTTTTCTTTACTTTTTTAAACTCCTTTCAACTTTTTAGAATTTTTTTTAACTTTTTTGAATTATTTTAATATTTTCAACTCTTTTCAATTTTTTTGAACCTTTTGAAATTTTATTTAATTTTGTTCATTTTTTAATTTTTTTTTAAATTGTCAAACATTTTTCAAATTTTTTTGAATATTTTTTTATTTTTTTAAATACTTTTTTTCAAATTTCTTTAATTCTCAATAATTCTTAGGTTTTTGCATCAATCGTTGCCTTCGCCGCAGCCAGTAAACTCGCCCATGACTACAAATTCGAAGTCAAGCACGACCATCATCACATTCCAATCAAGCATGAAGCAGAATCATACGTAGCTGCAGGACAATACCAATCTGATGATTCAGGCTTATGGAACGGTGACATCAAGGGCGACTTATATGCCTACCCAAAGTACAAATTCGAATATGGAGTTAATGATCCACACACACATGACCACAAGAGTCAATGGGAGCATCGTGATGGAGATGTTGTTAAGGGTGAATACACATTGGATGAAGCTGATGGAACTAAACGTGTTGTCAAGTATCATGCTGATGATAAGACTGGATTTACTGCTCATGTTGAACGTATTGGACATGCTCATCATGATAAGGTTCTTGGTGCTGGATATTAAGGATGTTGGGGATTTGATTAATTGCAGACGATATTAAGGCTATGATGGGAAATTATTTATGGAATTTAGATTCGAATTATATTGAAATTCTAAGTCATTGTTTGTAGGAAACTTAAGAAAAATTAAGCATGCAATAAAAAATATTACAAAAAAAATTAATTTTTGAATTTTTAATAATTTTTCCAATTATAACCGTTAAAAAAGCAAAGCACATAAAAGCTCATAAACGCTTAGACGAACACCAAAACCTCAAAACTACTCAAATGTTTCAATTCACAAGTTTTTCTCTCACATAGTGCGCATCAATGATCATTCAACTCTCTTTCACACCAAACATAATCTCTCAGTCCACAAAAGCCTCGTCCGCAGCATTTTCTTCAACATCACAACTTCTAACTTCCTTCAAATGCCTCACATAATGCGCATTTCGACTTAATTCTCTCACAGAAAAAAAAAATTAAATTTCATTTACAATTACTCATCGCGTTCTGCAAGAATGAAAAAATATTATTTAATTGTAAATTCAGCTTGTTCAGTTGACGGGCGAACGTCATTACGGTCAGACGCTTTTTTGGGATCAAATTGAGAATTTTTAAATAATTTTTATTTTGTCGGCTTTGCTGCAAGCACGTGAAATTATCGTGAGTTTAATCAGTGAAGGAAGTTAAGTTTGAAGAAAAGTTATCTCAAAAAAATTTAAAATTGAAAAGTAAAAAACTGAAATTTTTTAAAAAGCTAGAATCAATAGAAAAATTTTAAAATTGGTTAAAAAAATTGAAATTTAAATAAAAAAAACTCAAAAAAAGTTCATAAAACTTATTTTTTTCTTCAAAAAAAGTAAAAAAATTAAAAATCCTTAAAAAGTGAAACTTTAAAAAAAAATAAAAAAGTTGAAATTTTCCAAAATATTGTTTAAAAAAGAAAAGATTGTGAAAAAACTAAATTAAGTGAAATTTTCATGTTTTTGCTGTTTTCAACAAAGACAAAATTGAGATTTTAATCAAAACAAAAATCAGCACATTTAGCCATAAACAAAAACAAAACAGCATTAAAAGTTGCCGACTCTCGTGGTTTTTTGTCACAAAATAACATAAACAGACCCAGTCAAACCACAAAGAAATGCAAATTTTGTGGATGCATCGCGTGTGAAAATTGAAAAAAAAGAGTTCAAAAAACTGAAAATCTGATTTTTAAAAAAAGCAAAATTTTAGGAATTTTTTGTTTAAAAAATAATTTTTCAAGATAAAATTGTAAAATTTGCAAGAATCTCAACAACTCAAAAATGTAAGTAACATTCATTTTCAATAGAACTTCCACTACAAAGAGCATTTCACAGTTTCTCAAATTAGTCGACATCTCGACACACAGTGACACACATTTTCTCCGCACACGGAATCGCATTTATTTTCACTTTCGTACAAAGTTATTTTCTCTGTGTCATAATAGATGTAAACATTATTTTTTGTTGTTGTTATTCAATCGCACGTTAGACTTAGTGATGAGATCCATTCTGAGGCGCAACAATAACCGTAATTTATGTGACACGGTTTAGAACAAATATTCAGGAAATGACTTAAAATTGGCTATTTTTGTGTGCGACAAAATTTGTTGAAAAATTGGTTGATGAAATGATTTTGTTAATTTTTGGATGTTTTTGAGGTTAAGGATGGGTGTTAAGGAGGGTTAGGGAGGGATAGGGAGGGTTAGGGAGGGATAGGGAGGGATAGGGAGGAATAGGGAGGGATAGGGAGGGATAGGGAGGGATAGGGAGGGATAGGGAGGGATAGGGAGGGATAGGGAGGGATAGGGAGGGATAGGGAGGGATAGGGAGGGATAGGGAGGGATAGGGAGGGATAGGGAGGGATAGGGAGGGATAAGGAGGGATAGGGAGGGATAGGGAGGGATAGGGAGGGATAGGGAGGGATAGGGAGGGATAGGGAGGGACAGGGAGGGATAGGGAGGGATAGGGAGGGATAGGGAGGGATAGGGAGGGATAGGGAGGGATAGGGAGGGATAGGGAGGGATAGGGAGGGATAGGGAGGGATAGGGAGGAATAGGGAGGGATAGGGAGGGATAGGGAGGGATAGGGAGGGATAGGGAGGGATAGGGAGGGATAGGGAGGGATAGGGAGGGATAGGGAGGGATAAGGACAGTTTTATGATCGACAGAAAGCGATGAACTGGATTTAGGTCTAGCAAAGAAGCCAGATCAGCTTGTTTGAGTCTTTTATACCTTAAAAATCATTACAACATCCAAAATTACTTTTATTACCCGCTTTAAAATGATTATTATCAGCTAATTAATCCTCAAATTGCTTGTAAGCTCCTAATACATTTTTAAAACAATAATTTCAATTTTGTAGGAATTAAAACAATTAATTTATCTTATTATATTATTTTTGTGGCTTTACATTAGACACTCATGGCCATATGTCAGTAATTGCGCTTATTTTGTTTCATTCTTTAAGATTTTTTTATTATTAAAATTTTTATTGGACTTTTGACTGCTGAATCTTTATGTTGAAGTAATTATTAGTGGTGCTGTGTGGTTAAGTTTGAAGTTGTTGTACTTCCGGTATGCAAGATATCCGCAGAAGTGCTTAGTCTAGTAAAATGTTATTTTTTTATTGAAATATCAATGAAATGCTCGAAATTGAGTTAATTTACAAACTGTCCAACCAAAACCTCCACACCCTAGCCACCCAACATCAAATCCACCTGTCATTCTATGCCTTATAACCCAAATCGATCCATATTAAATACAATTGACTATAAATTCATTATCATTCGACACTTTGCGGCGATAAACACGTCAAATGGAATAAATTAAACGTCAATATTTTTTTTAATGTGTATTTTTTCACTTCGTTGAGTTCTTCAAATTTTGTAAAATTATTCAGTGTGAAATGCAAATTACGAATTTAAATCGAGGAGAAAAAAAAAGTGAAAATGGAATCAATTTATTTGAACTTTAGAATTCGACTGACGTGATGGAAGTGATAAGGGAAGTTAATTGAATTGTTGTTTTGATAATTTGTTTTTTATACGAAGTTTAATTTTTGAAAAGATTTGAGAAATGTTAAATTTTTTGGTTTTTAATTTTTTTTTGATTTTTTTCAAAATTTTTGAGTTTTTTTTGAATTTTTTTGAATTTTTTGAATTTTTTTAAATTTTTGAGTTTTTTTGAATTTTTTCAAATTTTTTGAATTTTTTAAATTATTCGAATTTTTTTGAATTTGTTAAATTTATTAAATTCCAAAATATTGATATACATCGAAATAAACAAGAAAAACTTAATAATTTCAATCCTTGGAAAACAAAATTATTAGCATCATTAATGTTGCTACATTCTAATTCTTATTAATTAACAAAATCATGATCCAAGAATCTTAAAATCTCAAATTTTCATCATTAAGTGGCGACATAAACAAAAACTTACGTCACAATCGATCATAAAATTCTTCAAAATTATCTAACAACAATTCTTCGAATTAAAATAAAATAACAAAAAAACATAAAAAGAACCAAATGAAAGAAATGTGAAGCAGCGAGCCAATCGAATGTGGAAATAAAAAGCTAATAATGACCGCGTTGCGTGTCTTTTTAATTTTTTAATATAAGCCAATAATATTTTTGTTTATTCGCAATTTCCTTCTGAAAAGAAGTTTTGAAATTTTTTCGGCATGTTAGGAAATAGTTTGCGAATTTTTTGAATTAAATTTCAAGTTTTTTTTTCATTGAAAAAATTATTTGAATAATTTATTGGTAATTTTTAATTAGCTTTTTTGTGACATTGCGATTCACCAATTAGGTTTATTTGGTAAATTATTGAAATTATTGTCAGCGGTGGTTAACTATAGTGCTATGGAACACAAGCATGTCTAAGAGCAGTGGTGTCTAGCCTGTGTGCTGCGGCACACTAATGTACCGTTGATTTTTTTCGGAAATTACACGAGCCGTGTGCTGTGTGTGACTTTGGTCATTGCTTACCACTAAGGTGTGCCATGGCTCAAAAAGTACGAGCAACACTGGTTAAAAGCAGTGATGGTCAACCTTTTTTGTGCCACGGCACACTTTAACGGTTAGCCAGGACTAAAACCACACACGCCATGCGGTTCGTGGGATTTCTCGAAATGTTTCATGTACCGCGGAACATAGGTTGATCATATTTGTCACAGAGGATGAACAGAAGGTTAAGTTCCTTACAGAAAATACATCAATATTGAGTCAATCTGAACTAACCCACTTCACACCATTATTCAGTACCTTAAGTCTCTCAGACTGCACACTTTTAAGCAAGACAGTTCCGATTATTGAATAAAAACCGCTGGACAGCCTTCCACAAAAATCATTGAATTTCGGCAATTTTCAATACGTCCTTGAAATTAAACTTTTCCATCGATTTTACTGAATTATTCACAAAATTTAAACAACATTTAAATTTATTCATCAAAAAATCCTCACAAAATATGCCTAATCAACCACAAATTCTATCAGTTGATGCCTCAAAGATTCCGCAAATTCGCAAACAAAAATTCTAAAAATAAGAAGACACATCATGTCAATTTCGCAGATGGCAATGAGTTAATGAACCAGTTTCCGATAAAGATTTTTTTTTGTAGGCACAAAAAAAAAGTTATAAAATGCAAATTTTTTGCGAATATTCTGATTGTGTTTCTGGTTCCGAAGTGATTATTAATTAAGTGCCTTTGTGTTTTGATGTTCAAGCTGCCTTGTTATTGGTTGAGATGAGAAAAATGTTTTTTCTTGGATATTCTTGGGTTATCTAAAGCCGATCGTGGTTTTCTGAAGAAAATTTATTAATTTATATTAATTTACTAAGATTGCAGTCTGATAACGTGAATTTATGTATTATTAAATATTAAAATTATTAAAATTAAATATTGGAAAAATTCATCAAATCTGGTTATGGGCTGTTCATAAATGACGTCTATCAAAAATCTGATTTTGTATTAAGAGTAGTTTGACAAAAAGGTGTAAATTAGGCTAGGAGATTAAGCAAAGGCAGTGATGTTCAACCGATGTGTTGCGATAAATAATACGAATTGTATTTCACGTATGGTTTCTTTAAAAAATGTTGTCCACTACTGTACTAAGCCATTCTATTGAGAGGACTTTTCAAAATTAACCCCAATGGCACAAGTCGGTTAATCGATCAGACATCCGGAAACAATTCGATGTTACTGTAGTATAGTGCTGGATTCAAATCGAAACCAGCACCCTGTCAGAGTCGTTCCAGCCGAATTTCTATTTAAATATCCGACTTGTGCTCTTCGGACTAATTTAAGTAATACAAATTTCACTGAGTCATGAGCTCCCGACAAAACCTACTCATTTTGAAAGTAATGACAATGAAATCATTCTTACCAGAATCAAACAAAGTGCGATAAATAAAAAAAATAACAATAGTCATGAATAATGAGAAGCTGATAAGCACAAAAACACAAAAAACTGTATTTTTGAATTCATTTAGAATCGAGAGAAAATAAATAAAATGAAAAAAATCTTTGTTCTTGTCTGAGACTTTGTTCGATTGATCATATGGCGGGAATGTGAGACTTGGAACTTATTTGTAGACTAACCAAAATTTCAGTCGAGTCACTTGCGCCACAGAGGACTTGCTCCCACGCTAGAATAATTGCCTATATATGACTCGATCCTCAGATTCAACCACAACCCTGGAAATCAAAAATCAACTCTGAACCCAAAAATGATTCAGAAACACTTAATTTAGATCGATGAACCATTCATGTGTCATGATCATCTCAAAGAAACTATTTCAATTTACAATAAAAACTGTATTTAAGTATGTAAATCATGTGATTAGTTTGGAAAAATATTTGGGATTAGATAGTTCAAGGTTATTAATCAATAGACCTAATGTGTCTGTAATTCGTTTCATGTAAATGAGTTTTTTGACTGTCTCAAGTCAGTCTAGCTCAGCAACCTTATAAGAACAGAATACAATCTAGAATTGCATGGTTTCGCATGAATATAGTGAACAGCGACCGGGTTTGTCCGTTTTCTGCACAAAGAACATTTACCAAACCAAGAAACTCTAAGTACGCGGTTTATCCAGACATAACCCCCCCGCCTCCCCAAAGCAGAAACTCCCCGAACAATATCAAATCAAACTCTCAACTTAAAACTCATTTATGCAACATGTGTTGTTGTGTCACTCATTGCAATTTCCATGTAGCACACTATTATCTCACATAAATGCAAAAAAAGAAAAAGAAAAACGATTTGTAATGAACTGTTTACTCATAGACATGAGATGACTTTCACTGTATTACAGACCGTTTATCTTCGATGTTGTTGTTGTTGTAATTTGCAGCTCGTGCTGCGCGTCAACTCAATTTAGTTTACTGGTTCTTATGAGAGAATAATGATTAAGATTGTAAAGCATTTGAAAGGGATTCAGGTTGATTTTGATGGTTTTAACTTGAAGGAGGTTCAGATAAGCAATTTTGGGGCAACCCTCTGGTTAACATCAATTAGCCACTCTCAACCGGCTAGTTCCTTATTTTTCTAATGCTTTACAAGTGCGTCATCAAGCTGACCATCCATTTTTTGATTAAATCCTATCAAAAACTGTCCAAACTCCCACAAATCACTCCACAACACGTCAAAAATTTCACACACCAACCAGAAGCAAATTCCAATTTGCAACTCATAACACAAAACTCGTGCAAACTTGCGCACTTATGCATGAAATAATCGAGAGTGTAATTTTCAAGCGCAACACCAAGTCTATCGCTAGACGTTCCACACGAGTTGCTGAAAGCTGAAAGAAATCAAAAGTTATTTATCATAAGTAGGACATCGGTCATTAAGACGTAGAAACAACTAGAAAAATAAGAGTGAATTAAAATACTTTTTTGTTTGAATGTTAAGGCTCGACATTGACACAACGATGATGCCAATATGTGATGGCTGTAGTTCAATGAGATGAATTGTAAATCACGACTTAATTGTAACCAAATGACATTTTTTTTTTCTGTTCTGTTCAATATGAATAAAGTTGTGCATTAGAGACTCGGCAATAATGGGCGCGGGAGATAAAGTATATAATTAGGAATAATTTAGTGACTTGAGCTTTTAAATTGACTGCAAATTATAGGAATTTTGTGTTAATTCGTGATTGCCGTTGATTTATTTGAGAATTTTCTGGAAATTTTTGTATATCTAGTTTGAGGGCAAATTTGCTGTGGTTGATACGAGATGTTGCAATTGAGTGTGATTAAGATTGTCAGAGTTGTAGCAAGGTCATTGAATTAAATTGAATATTTTTGGCTACAGCAATAACCTATCCGATATCCTATCCCATACCCTATTCCATACCCTATCCTATACCCTATCCCATACCCTATCCCATACCCCATCCCATACCCTATCCCATACCCAATCCCATACCCTATCCCATACCCTATCCCATACCCTATCCCATACCCTATCCCATACCCTATCCCATACCCTATCCCATACCCTATCCCATACCCTATCCCATACCCTATCCCATACCCTATCCCATACCCTATCCCATACCCTATCCCATACCCTATCCCATACCCTATCCCATACCCTATCCCATACCCTATCCCATACCCTATCCCATACCCTATCCCATACCCTATCCCATACCCTATCCCATACCCTATCCCATACCCTATCCCATACCCTATCCCATACCCTATCCCATACACTATCTGAGCCAAAACAGCTACACTTCTCCTAAGAATTGCAGATCATTCACATCGTGAATCCCCGTGTCCATTTCGAAACAGAATCAATTCAAAGAAAATCCCAAAACAACTTTCAAATAATTAATGTCTTTTTTACAAAAAATATTCAAAAATATCACAAAACAAATTGTCATCCTCATCCTCACACCAATCCCTGGAATTCCCATCAGAAAAATCTTACCACTTCATGTGACTTGGCACATTTGAATCCACCTCAAAAAAATAACATCATAAATAATTTGAGTTTACATTCTAAGGCACGCAACTAGTTCCATGTTATTTCCACTTACAAGAAAATGACCTTCAAAAAAATTCCGACCAACCACACATGGGAAAAAAATACAAATTTTATCGCTCTTTACATTACAGAATCTGTGCTTAGACGTTACAAGGTCAGTCATCAAACTGTACAATCTAAATGATCACATATGTGCAGAACTGCATTTCATTCAACAGAATTGGAACTGAATTTTGCTAAAGTCAATGCTTAATGTTGTGAAATATCCAACTTACATGCATTATTCGCAAGGCTAACTTTATCGACATGATTCAAGTGCAAGAAAAATCTTAACTGTCCAATTAATTTCTTTATTACCGTTAATCAGGTTGTTAGCTTGGGATATGCAATTATGGAATTGAGGACTGAAAAGGAAGTCGGTTAAGGTTGATTTCTGTTTATTTCCTCTGCAGCTGTGGGGTTTTTGTGGTGTTTAATGTGAGATTTGGTCAGAAAATGTTGAAATTTTGAATTAATTTATAGTTTTGGACAGTGATGGAGAACCTATGTGCCGCGATAAAATTCAAGAAATCCCAAAAACTGCGGGCGGGACATGACTTACCACCAATGTGTTCCGTGATATAGAAAAGGTTGTGCAGCACTGGTTTAGGAGGATATTGGGTTAATGACTGTTTTTTTTATGGAATTGAGATATTGATTTGTTGTTTAATTACGACTTACAGGTTCAATCCACTCACCCAGATCATGAATCTTCAAAATGTTTACTCAAAACTTTCAAGCTTTCCATTAGAATCATTCAATTCCGAAAGGCACACGGAGTGAAAATGACTGTCAATCTGCCATTCAGAACGGCATGAACCTTGTCATTATGACGGATTTCACCAAATTCTTCATAGTACCGTGTTCATGCCATCCTGGATATCATATTGATAGCCATTGCTACGCCGTGTGCCTTTCGGGATTCTTCTTTCAACTTATAATACACGTTAATTGCGAGAAGTCATTGAAAAGCCCTTCAGCATCCAAATTCTTCGTATACGAAAATTAAATGTTAATTATCGAAGATTCCAGACTCATTAACGTCCATTAGCTTGCGGCAATAATTTAGCCAAACTCGAGAATCATAGAATTATCTTTGTATTGCATAGAACAGTGCTTCTCAAACAATGCTCAGTGGAACTTAAGTGCTACGAAAGCATAGAACAAAAACATGGCCAAGCTTGAAAAGTTATATAAACACTGGGATAAGTTGATGTACGCTTAGCTTAATGTCGAAAGGGATGAACCAATGTGCGTGTTGAGAATGTTTGGCGCCAGAGGCTGAATTAAATTATTGTACCTCTCTTACTATAGCATTTGGATCTAAAGATTTGACTTAACCTTCTTGCCATGCCACCAACATGAGAATTGAGGAATAAATGAAGCTTTCTACCCACAACTTCCTGTCTAATTAAAGATTAATAAATAACAATGTTGTTCCTATCAAAATCAATCGATCATCAACCATAAAACGTGACAATTTAGTCAAATAAACCTAAAATGAATAGATTGTAAGTTAGATTAAGTCAAACATTTCAATTCTTCCTCATTATGAACATTGGTACCAGTGTATCTTAGAATAAATACATGACAGTCATTCATGAAACCTCAAGTCAGGAACAATGTTAAAAATCTGGGAATTTTTGACCATTTTTCTAGCAATTTCAACAAACTGTAAAGCAATCATGAATTTAATAATCATAGACAATGAACTGATGACAATATCAACAGCAATTCACGAAGTTGTTGAGGAGTTTTTCATCGAACGTGACGTCTGGTTTGATATTTTTGTGATTAATGAGTTTTTGGATGCCAACTCTGCAGAATTTGATCCAAAATCATCAGTCAATAAGTCTATAATTTCAGCAGCAACTTACTATGAACCAGAAACACTGCAAATACTTTCAAAATTCTTCTCACATCCGTCAAGCTTCACCTACCGACTTAGCACTAATCAAGCCTTAAGATCGTATTTTGAGATAGCAAAATCGATAGTTTTTTTCGTTGATTCCTGCACGAACTTTCAGGACATCCACTACAACTTCATGTTGGCGAGTAAATTCTCCCAAAACTTTAAATTCCTTACGTACATCCACAACTGTATGTATTCGTACCTAGAACAGAATATTGAGCATTTTATTCAGCACAAAAGTCTGCTTGTGAATTATGGATTAATTGAGGATTTTGAAATATTGCTCGTCAATGATGGTGACTTGCTATACTTAGCATCAATAGAGTGGTTCTCAGAGTGGGCTTGTAACCGTCCACACCTCAAAATCCTCAACATTTACAACAAATCAACTCAAAAATGGAACCGAAAATTGACAAATTACAAAAAGCATCAGAACTTCCATGGCTGCGAGCTTGTCATGCTGCTGTACCCAAGAACTGGAGGTGAAAAGTGGGGATCTTACCGAACAATTCCAACTACTGATGCTATCAAGCCGTTTGGCTTAGTTCCTGAAGTATTTGAATTGATTGCAACAAGATTTAACTTCAAGCCTTACTTCCAGCCAGGGAAACTTAACCGATCTGTGAGCATTTTTCAGGAATTCAATGAAGTCACTCTAATTCCAATCAACGGAACTGTCAAGTCACCAAATGTCTGCTATGAGATTATTAGATTCTCAGACACATTAAAAGTAACGACGCAGTCCACAACAAGCTTTTTGGAGATTCGTGACATCATTCTAGTCACTCCTGGTGATCTTTATTCTCCATTTGAGAAGCTGTTCCTGCCTTTTGATGATTGGACGTGGAAGCTGATCGTTTTGACTTTTCTTGGTGCTTTTGTGGCTATTTTTGTGATCAATCGACTGCCAAGCATTTTTAAGACGATTATTTATGGTGAAAATGTGACAACTCCGGTGCTGAATGTCGTCAGTTCCTTCTTTGGAATCTCACAAGTCAAATTGCCTGACAAGAACTTTCCACGATTTATTCTTATTATGTTTGTGATGTTCTGCCTGATTTTCAGGACCTGCTATCAAAGTAAATTGTTTGAATTCATGACAAGTGAACCACGACGAGCGCCACCAAAAAGTGTTGAAGATTTGGTCGAAAGGAACTACACGATGTATGCAGCATTATATTTTGCAGCTGGTGAGGACCTGACAATAGATGAAATATGGCCAAATATGAAATATGTTGATGCTGACACTTACCATGAGATCTTTCGGAGTCAATCACAAAACTCATCAGCTAGAATTGCTGTTGTGATGCAGTCAATGATATTAGATCATTATGAATGGAGAACAGGAACGACGAAGAACTGGTTGCAGATTAAAGACTCAGTCGTTCAAGTCAGTCAACTTGGATTTTCATTTTTCGTCAATAATTACTTTTATCGTGGCGTGAATGAAGCAGTTCAGCAGCTGATTGCAACTGGAATAATGACAAAAGTTGTTGGGAATCTAATTGGTGTAAAAAGGAAGTTTGTGAAGACATCGGAACCGAGGATCTTGGGAATTGAAAATTTAGACTTTGGATTTGTCATTTGGATGTGGTTTTGTGGGATTTGTGTGATTGTGTTCCTTGTTGAGGTGTCTTTATGGAGCTTTTCACAGATGACTAAAGATTGGGTATTTAGTAAAAGAATTGGGAACCAGGAGAATAAGCCTAAAAGGCAGAACATGGCTAAACTGTTTAAGGATCGTAAAAAATTGTACAGCGAGTCTGTTGTCAATGTTGAAGCTCAAAAGGAACTTCAGAAGAATATATTGTAGATGTTATGGAAGTTGCTGATGTAGATTAGGTCCGTTCAACAACCCAAGCTTTAATAAACATCAAAGATTAAAGAATATTGATAATTTTGACATGCTTAATAAAACTTACAAAATATATTTCAGTTGTCGTTCAGAATTTGATTAAAAATGTTGAATCTAAAGCAGCTATTTGTAATAATTTGGATGAGTTTCTCATTCAATGAGGCACTGCGAGCTGTGCTTGATGATATTCAGATTTCTGTGACTTCTAACGCGATTCTTGAAGTTGTTGATGTATTTTATGTGAATCAGTTCATTCCGTTCGATATTTTTGTATTTCATCGGGATGATAAGGATGACGACAGTGCTAATGTTGGTCTAATTGATGAGAATCCATCCAGGTTCCCTCAAGATCCCTCACATTTTGAGCAAGTCATATCAAAATTCCTGTCAAAATTATCAAAACTTTCTTATCGTCTCAGCACAAATCAGACAATTTACGACTATAAAAGTTTCCATGCTACAACAAAATCGATAATATTTTTCTTAAATTCCTGCTTAGACTACTTCCATATCCACTATGAATATGCACTTTTTAATCAATATCTGCATCCATTTAAGTTCCTAATCTACATCGAGAACTGCAGCTTTTTCCAATTATTCAATAATATAGAAAACTACATCCAATTAAAGAAGCTATTCCTTCATAAAGGATCGCTGGAAGTTTTCGAGTACTTATTTATCAATGATGGAAATTTCCTGTACCTGACATCACTTGAATGGTTCTCTCAAGGAGTCTGCAACAAAGCTCATCTCAAGCTCATCAACACCTTCGACAAATCCACACAAAAATGGCATAAAAAGTTGAAAAATCACAAAAAGTTCCAAAATTATTATGGATGTGATCTTGTCATGCTGCTGTACGAAAGAGAAAGCAGTGAAAAATTAGGAACTTTTATAATCGATGATAAATCCAGCAAGATTGTGCCATTTGGATTGACTCCTCTAATATTCACATTAATCTCTAAAAAGCTCAACTTCAAGCCTTATTTCCAGCCAGGAAAGTTAAAGCTCAAAGTAAGCGTGTTCCATAGTTCCAATGAAATGACACTAATCTCAGTCAACGGAACTATTAAACCTCCAAATGTTTGTCTTGAAGTCACTCGATTCGGTGACTTGAGAAAACTTGTCGCGCATTCTACAACAAACGTTTTGCAGATCCGTGAGATCATCTTGGTAACTCCTGGTGAGCTCTATTTGCCATTTGAGAAGCTGTTCCTGCCTTTTGATGATTGGACATGGCAACTGATTGTTTTGACGTTTCTGACTGCTTTTGTGGCTATTTTTGTGATCAACCGACTGCCAAAAATATTCCAGATAACAATTTATGGTGAAAATGTAACAACTCCGGTGCTAAATGTCGTCAGTTCCTTCTTTGGAATCTCGCAAGTCAAATTGCCTGACAAGAACTTTCCACGATTTATTCTGATTATGTTTGTGATGTTCTGCCTGATTTTCAGGACCTGCTATCAAAGTAAACTGTTTGAATTGATGACAAGTGAGCCACGACGAGCTCCTCCAAAGTCTATTGAAGATCTAGTCGACAGGAACTACACGATGTATGTGCCAGTAAATTTTGCAGCTGGCAAAGACCTGACAGCGAATGAACAGTGGCCCTACACCAAGTTTGTGGACATTCTGGAGTATTCAGACATTTTTGATACACAGTCTCAAAACTCATCAGCTAGGATAGCAATGACTATGCAGTCAATGGTATTAGATCATTACGAATGGTCAACAGGAGATTCAAAGTTTTGGTTACAAATTCCAGACACAGCAGTTCAAGTCAGTCATGTTGGATTTTCAATGTTTAGCAATAATTTCTTCATGCAAGGATTAAATGAAGTCACTGAGCATTTGGTGATGTCAGGAATTATGGATAAAATTGTACGAGATCTGATGGGAACCAAGAGGAAGTTCATTAAAGGTTCAGAACCACAAACATTGTCAATTGAAAATTTGAGTTTTGGTTTCATCATTTGGATGTGGTTTTGTGGAGTTTGTGTGCTGGTTTTTATGCTGGAAATTTCAGTTGGGAACTTTAAGAAGTTGTCAAGCTATTCAGAAGTTTTTAAGGTTTTGAGGGATGCTGTGGTGACTTTTGCGGATGTTAAGAGATTCAGGAGATGGTTTGAGCATTTGAAAAGTCAAAAATTGTGTAGGAATAATGATAAAATGCGGAAGACAGTCAAACATGCAATTGAGAATGTTCTTGATATTCTGTAGACAATGTCCAACATGTTAAGGACTTCCTAGGACAGGAAAGATAAAGATTTTGATTTTTTTTACATTTTTCTTTGTATTATTAATGAATCTATTATTGACAAATATTCAGTCACTGGACAAAGCCTTATAATGTCAAGCTTAAAGACACTTTTGCAGTTATTATTGATTATTTCTCACTATTCTGAGGCAAAATTAGAAGCAATTACTGATAACAAAGAGAATTTAGCAGCATCTGCAGCTATTCATGATGTTGTTGATGTGTTTTTTGTGAATCCAGGCATTCTGGTTGAGATTTTTGTGTTTCATCGCGAGAATGAAGACAATTTTGATGAGAATTCTGAAGAAAACAATTCAAGACCTTCCACAAAAGATGTCAATTCTCCAAAATACCAGGAAGTTGCACACAAATTCCTTTCAAAATCCACAAACTTCACCTACCGACTCAGCACAAACCAAACTAAATACGTAAATGTTCAACTCTATGCAGCTAGAAAATCAATAATTTTTTTCATCAATTCCTGCGCTGACTTCCTTCATATCCACTATGAATTCATACCTTTTAACAGATACATCCGTCCAACTAAGTTCCTAGTCTACATCGAGAACTGCAGCTTCAATTATTTAACTACAAATCTTGAAAAACTCATCCAACTTCAACGACTTTCAATGCGTAAAGGAGCAATCGAAAATTTTGAATATTTACTCATCAATGATAAAAGTTTGCTGTACCTTACATCCATCGAATGGTTCTCGCCAACAATCTGTAATAGAGCTCACCTCAAAGTCATCAACACCTTCAATAAATCCACACAAAAATGGAACAGAAAATTGGAAAATCATAAAAAATTCCAAAACTTCCACGGATGTGAGCTTGTTATGCTGCTGTATAAAAGAACTGGCGGTGAGAAGCTTGGAACTTACGAGATTGACAGTCATACCAAATCAATTATTCCAGTTGGATTGACTCCAACAATTTTTAGAATGATCGCCAAAAAGTTCAACTTTAGACCTGACTTCCAGGCTGGAAAACTTCACAAGCCAATGACAATTTTCCATTCATCCAATGGAGTTACTTTAGATCATGTCAATGGAAGCTATAAGCATCCAGACGTCTGTTTTGAGGTCATTAGATTCAAACAAATGAATTCAATGTTCGCACAAACAACAGTCAGCTTTTTGGAGGTATGTGACATCATCTTGGTCACTCCTGGCGAGCTTTATTCTTCATTTGAGAAGCTGTTCCTGCCTTTTGATGACTGGACATGGCAGTTGATTGTAATTACATTTGTAACAGCTTTTGTGGCTATTTTTGTGATCAATCGACTGCCAAAAATATTTCAGACGACAATTTATGGTGAAAATGTAACAACTCCGGTGCTGAATGTTGTCAGTTCCTTCTTTGGAATCTCACAAGTCAAGCTGCCTGACAAGAACTTTCCGCGATTTATATTAACTATGTTTGTGATGTTTTGCCTGATTTTCAGGACCTGCTATCAAAGTAAACTGTTTGAATTCATGACAAGTGAGCCACGACGAGCTCCTCCAAAGTCTATTGAAGATCTAGTCGACAGGAACTACACAATGTATGTTGCACTTGACTTTGCAGCTGGTGAGCCACTAACAGCAAATGAGAACTGGCCGAACATAAAAACCGTTGACATTTTCGAATATTCAAATATTTTCAAGACACAGTCTCAAAACTCATCAGCCAGGATAGCAATGACTATGCAGTCAATGATGTTAGACCATTACGAATCAGTTACAGGAGATGCAAAGTTTTGGCTACAAATTCCAGACACATCAGTTCAAGTCAGTCAAATCGGTTTCTCGATGTTTGCCAACAATTTCTTCTTGCAAGGATTAAATCAAGTGACTGAGCAGTTAGTGGCATCGGGAATCATGTGCAAAATTGTTGAGGAAGTGATGGGAAGCAAGAGGAAGTTTGTGAAGACCTCGGAACCACAAACATTGTCAATAGAAAATTTGGGATTTGGATTCATCATTTGGATTAGTTTTTGTGGATATTGCGTGTTGATTTTTATGTTGGAATTGACTATTGGTAGCTTTGTGAAGTTGTTCGTTGATTCAGAGACTTTTGAAAATGGATGTGCAAGGAACTGGATTAGAATGAAGATGGAAATCGTTTTGAGACTTACTAAAAGGATTTTCAAACAGTTACGAAAAATATGGTCAAGGTTGATGCAGCTGGTTGGAAAGAACTGATCGTTTGAAGATCTTGGAGCTGAATTGAGCTGTTTCTTAGTAAATACTTACTTTGGTACACATAGAAGGAAGTGTATGGCTCTGAATCAAGTCTTTTGTGGCTGACTTAACTTTTTATAAGTCGCACAACGTTGAAGCCTCCTTGCCCAATTCTCTTATTCCACGTCAATGACTTGTAGCTAAGCTCCACATCCGCAAACAAATGAACCTTCACCAAGTTCCTTTAGTCTAACTTCCAAGCAATTAAAAATCAAATAAAACATAAACAAACAAGCTCAATAAATAAATAGAAATAGTCGCGATGCATCAATGATAAGAATAAACAGCAACGGATTTAAATAAAAATTGTAAATTGAGGTTAGTCGTGCGATCGATCATTTTGTGTGTGAAGGTCAATGGCAATTTTGTGTTTATTTTTTCTTCTCAGCGCTGCTCGCTCAATTTTTTATGTGAGCGATTTTATTTTTTGTGGTTTTTTCGTCGACTGTGAGATGAACGATGGCATTTATGAGAGGAACGGAGGGCAATGAACCGTGAAATGAATGAAATGTTTATTTAATGCTTGGTTAAAGAAGAAATTTGTGGGTTGTTTTGCTGTTGTAATTGGGTTTACAGTTATTTTTGTAAATGTTTGAGGATCAAGTTCATGATAAAGATTTAATTGAGGTTACATGTTGTACTTTTGAGGATCAAATTTATCAAATATGGGTTTCATGATTAAGTTCTGGGTTGTCTAAAAGACAAAGTCTTAAAACAGTGAATGTTGCTAGATAGGTGATCAAGGGGAATCAAACCTATTCGATATATAATCTCTTTAACAAAAATAAACGAAAAATCAAATGAATAGCACCAATATCTCATATATCCCAAAAATATTCAAAATAATCCTTGAACTTGTATGCATTAGAACTGAGATATCCCATCATATCTTGAAATTACACGTCCAATAACTTTATTATCGTGCACACATGCTCAGAAATTTTTTGAATATTTTTGGGATATGAGGGATAAATATGATATTTGGGATAGTTTCCACGACTTGAAAATAGCTCAGAAAATATTATCACGCTAGTAAGTGGACAATGCGTAGCTTGATCCTGACGACAGTGTTCTCAATCATTGTAGGATCAAATCAGTGTTTTTCAAGCTGTGTGCCGTGGAGCACTATTGTTCCGTGAAAAAATTTCAGATGTGCCGCAAACGATTTTATGTAAAAAAATGTACCGTGGACCAAAAAAGTTTAAGAAACACTGCACTAAGACATAAAAAAAAGATGAAGTTCCGTTCCCTCTCAAGAAGTCAAACTCCATCTAATTAAAAGCTTTACTGGCTCGGTCCCTAGTTTCAAACAATTAATCAGAACTTACACTAATTTACTGACCGCTTAGGTAATTATGCAGTTAATATCTGCCTTAATTAAGTTACTTTCTGCTCTCAACTCACAATTTCCAACTTGAAGTCAACTTGATCCACATAAATCATTTTAAATGCATACTTTAAATCAACACTTTACATTTTTACGCTTCATAAATAAGAATTAATTTTAAATTGCAATAAAATAAACAATTGAAAAGAGGAAAAATGTGAAGAATTTTAATTAAAATGAAGTTGCAGGGTTTTGAGATTTTGATGAATTTTGGGATCAGTTGGGGTTCTAGGAAGGGTTGTTGTCATTAATGATTATCAGTACAGTACGGATAATCATTTTTAACCTAAATTCAAGTAAATACAAACTTGTTCAACTTAAATTCTTAATATTAACTATAAAGAATGTCAATCTAGTCAACATATGATCATAGCTAAGGTTCTGACTCATCCATCTCAATCATTCAGCATCAATTCTTGTAACTTATCATCAATTTATTATCATGTCGCGACAACAGAGTCTCCAGCACCAATAAAATCATGATTTTTAAACGATGAGCTACTCAAATTGTTAAAATCTTACAAAAGCTGATGATAATTAATATTTATGACTTAACTGTCTGAGCCTATGACTTAAGGTGTCTGAGATAAAATCCAATAAAAATTCTTTTATTTTTGAAAAATATTCTATAAATAAAATTCTAGCCGAATTTGTCAACATAAAAAAAAATAAACAAATTCAAAAGAATTTTTTGTCGTCATTCAACTCTCAACACCGGCGCCTAAAACTAGATTTTTTTCTTATGTTGAATCTTTTTTTTTTATTTGAATTTTATTTTAATTGAGATATTTTTGGATGTTTAATTTTTCGCTGAGTGCCCATAAATTCCTGACCTTTCTTTATGCTTTTTGTTATCAAGAATTCTTTCTGGTTTCTTAATTTGTTTTTTGATAGTTTCGCAATAGTTATGAAAATTTTGTGAGACTTCTGTTTTGTGGATTTTTATGATGTTTACTGCAAAATGGAGATTTTTTGGCTAATTAACGCGGATTATATGGCAGATTTAGAGTTTTATAGATAACAGCTTTGATGGCTTTGTTGTTTTTTGCTGAGTCTTTTTTAACAGGATGCGAATTTTTGGTTCTGATGCAATATTTGAAATTTTGGTGTTATTTTGACACGACTTTGTGTTCCTATGTTGTGAATTCGGGCTAGATGTTGAACTAATGAATCAGTCTACTAAATTAGTAGACAAGTTTACTAAATTAGTGGTCAAGTTTACTATATTAGTAGTCAAGTTTACTAAATTAGTGGCCAAGTTTACTAAATTAGTAGTCAAATGTACTAAATTGGTATTCAAATGTCCTAAATTAGTAGTCAAGTGTACTAAATAAGTAGTCAAGTTTACTAAATTGGTAGTCAAGTTTACAAAATTAATAGTCAAGTTTATTAAATTAGTGGTCAAGTTTACTAAATTAGTAGTCAAATGTACTAAATTAGTAGTCAAGTATTTTGATATAAATCTGATCGTAAAAATCAAAGACTTAAAAAATTGACCAAAAAATTGAAATAGAAAATTTAATACTTTCCTGAAAAAGATTTCAGCAAATTATCACAAAAATCTCCAACCAGCTTCAGCATAAAGAAGTCAACATTGTAACTTTTCATTTCCTTCTCATCTTTCCGCATTTAAAATTGTTTATTTTTAATAAAATCAAATTAAAATCTAGTTAAAATCTCATGAATAAATTAAAAATGATAAATTCATGCGCCGAATTCTCACAAAATAATAATCTTAAGCTAGTCTGGTTTGAACATTATTGTTTAATGAATTAGATTTTTTGGTAATAAGGTTCAGTCTGTGCTTAATGAGTTGACCTACAAAAAGAATAAAATTATTGCGAGCACATCGAGGTCGAAAAAACAGGAAATTAGGCGAGAATGTGAAATTTTTCTTTAAAACTTGGCGTTGGATACAAAAATTATGTAAAAACCCCAGAACGAACGTTGAAAATCTTGATAGATTCTAAAATAAACATTTTTAAATTATTTATGACATTCCTATCAATTTTATTTTATCAGAACTAAATGCAGGTGTTTTAAGAACATCGCATTTTATTTGATAAAAAATTTAAATAAATATTTTCATTTTAAAAATAAATTTTCTGTTTTTATTTATATTTTTTTATCAATCTAATAAATTTGAAATTTTTTCGATTTATTTGCAGAATTTGAACGCATTTTGGGACACCTGAGATCGTTAGACATCTAAAATTAATACAAGCAGAATCAACAAGTGTGCAACTAGCTTTGAAATCTGATAAAACATTGAAGTAAAAATTTTAATTTAAAAAGATTAAAGAAGAATAAAAAATCGGCGATTCTGACTGATTAAAAAAGCTGAAATTGCAATTAAATATCCTGAATGTTAAAGCAGTAAGACAACAAAAATGACGACCAAGACAGTCAGCTTTGAAGATGTTCTTTACGAAGTTCAGTCAAAGAGGAATTTCAGTAAGTTTTTAACACATCATTTTGAATTTTGCGGTTTTTTGGGGCAACAGTTCCCATTCCTCACCTCTAAATCACATTTTAAGTCCAAAAACATATACTAAGGGGGGCTGTTTAAAATGACGTCCGGAAGCGTAATTTTTCCTTCTCCAGATTGCAATCTCCCTCTCCCCAACCTCGGAACTCGAAATTCGGGATCCAGGGATTGAAAACCCCAATCATACGTCATTTACGAACAGCCCCTTAATCAATTCCGTAATCCAAAAATATTCTTCTTCAAAAATCTGCCAAAAACCATTAAACTTCATCAAATATTTCCTCATTGTAAAACCACAAAGCTGATGACTCATCCATCTAATCTGTCCAAACATCAAATATTGATAAAACTGATCACATGACTTGATGTCCAAACAATTTAGTCAACAAAGAAGCTTGATTCTTCAAATTCTTAAATTGTCAATATTGACTCAGATTGTTCCTACATGCTTGTCTTTTTTTTTTTGTTCGTGGTCAACTCTTTGTACTTGGCATTATTTCTTGTGTTTGGTGAGCAAATTTGTATATGAAATAATAGTGAAGAAGATAAGAAGGCTTGTTGTTGTGGAAGATTGATGAAGGTTGAAGGTTTTTTGAGTGGGGATGGTTAGTTTTGGTGGGTATTAATGTCATTAACGCTGTCTTAGATTGGATGATTGGTGTTTTCTGGATTAAACACTGTGTCAGCCTGGATTAAAGCAGTCTGGCCATACCTCTTAGTTATGATGCCCTTTTAGTGTTTAAGATTCGGGTTTACTAAGCAGCTAGACCATAATCCGAGCCAAAGTCTGATTTTGATAATGCCATGCTATGGATATGGACCTGCTGGCATTTAACAGCTGTGCTTTTCTATACCGCAAAGCACTTAACATTCTAGAATGCTCAATAATATCAATTCATAGTTCCATATTCCACAACCATCGATAACTTAACTGCAATTTCCATTTGCAATTCAATTAAATTCAAAAAAATTATTTAATAACTGTCGAGCAATTTTTCAATTAAAGCCCTATTAGGGATCATTCATAAATGACGTCAGAAAAAAAATTGTCATTTTTAAAAAATTTCCTAGAACTTCTATTGTTTTAAAACCATACAAAGGCACAACATAAAAGTACTTTTCAATTTTGAAAATCATAGACGTCGGGGAGGGTTTTAGCGGGCCCCATATTTGCAAAATTTCTTCTTTAGCTGTGGTTTTTTTTGACGAAAAAAATCCCAACCCCTTATCCTCTAAAATTTTTCCGTCCATACAAAAAGTTTCCAAGCCCCTCCATCAAAATTTTTCTAGCCACGCCCCTACAACCCTCTAATCTGTGACGTCATTCATGAACGACTTCTTACTCAAATGACAGCAATAAAAATGTCATTTCGAATGCAATAATTAAGCACTAATGCAACAGGTTGTGAGAATCGCACGAGAGCTTCGGAAGCTTTTAGCATTAAATTTATTGTTGTGTAATTTTTAAAAAGTCATAAATATGGATGAACATTTTTGTTCAATTTGAGGAAGACTATTAAATAATTTATAATAAGTTTTAATCATGTTGTGAATTATGAAGTCTTGACAGCTGGCATTGGCATTGATTTGAAATGGGGGAATTAGCTTTGATGACTTTGAATAATTTGAGATCGGCTTTGGATGGTTTTTTGGAGGCTCTTCTGTAGAATGGTTTAGTCAAGGGTGTCGGGAACCTTCTTAGGAATCATTTTTGTCAGAAGCTACGTCAGATTGTTTGTGAATGCAACTGATACTTGATTTAAGTGTTGCTATTGATGCCTTAGACATAAGAAGTGGTCTTTGGCCAGATAAGTAGTTTGCACTATCCAGGAAGCATGTCTGGGAAAAGGTTAAAGTTATGCAGTGTCTGGACCTTTAGCTTAATGTCAATTATCATAAAACTGAATGCAAAATCAATCACATTCAAATCCAAAACTCATCCAAACCCACCTTCCTACCCAACTAAACCATAACCTGCACTTCTAGCCGCATTCCTCACTCCCCTACTCAAGTTTCTCCATCTAATCCAAATTTATCATTAATTAAGTGCAAATAATTGTGCAAATGTCTTCATTTTTGAGTGCATTTGACCAAAATTAAGTCATTCAGTGTCCACAAAAATGCTCAAAAGAAAGTGAAAGAAATTCTTTTGTCGCGAATATAAACTTTATGCTGATCACGTCCATCACGCGGCCTTTCTTCTTCCTCCACCTTTTATTTACTTCTGTCCCAACAATCATTTTTCGTTACTGTTTTAAAAACAAAATCAATTGACGAATTTTTACTTAGTTTAATTTGAGTGATCGACTGTGACTGATCAATAAGTTTATTGTGCTCCTAATTGTGCTGCTAATTAAAAAAGTTTTGATATTAAAATGGCAAAAGTTAATCAAATTTTGTGTGCTGCAGTCATCGTTTTGTGCTTGCTTAGTGCTGTGATGTGTGATGATAATGAAACAACTGTTGAAGGTAGTGAAGCTTAAGTTTTTGATGAATTTTGTGGTTTTTGAGGGTCGAGCTAGTTTGATTTTGAATATAAAGAGGTTTAAGAACCCCAAAAAAGTCAAATTGACTTCGAAGTGAACATCAAAAAAATAACAAAATTCATCAAAATTCACATCAAAAAAATTAAAAATAATAAATTAACCTCAAAAAATCCTCACAGAAGCCAGAACATTTGGACATCATTTCTTAAAGAGAATCAGCTTTGCAATCATCCCTGCTGCATTTGTTGTTGGCGTCATCACGACTCTTTTGGGAGCATTGACTGTTGTGTCGATGAAGAGTTTGGGAGTTGGTGTAAGTTGACCAATAATTTCTTGATGCTTGAGCTTTTCAACATAGTCTCTCACAAGTAGCATTTTAGCTTTGAGGTGCATGTCTTTTAGTGTTGCTTGTTGCCGTTATTCTAGCTAAAATGGTGCTGAGATCTATGGTTCACTACAAAGTAGACCAACATGGTTAAATGAACTGAATGGCTTGATTATTACACTTTCAAGATGCATTTGGAATACAAAGAACATCTTTTTGCACCACTAAACTATCCTAAAAGCTAGAAAAAGTCTAAAACTTCTGCAAAAGCTCAAAACCACCGAAACTTAAACTTAAATCTCCAAAAACTCATGAAATTCCCTTCCAGGTCGTTCTTCTAGTCCTGACCATCGGTCAATTGATAGCAAGAAGTTTGCCTGCTGCATCGCCAATCGCTTACTCTGGTCCAGTTCAAGTCTGGTAAACAAAAAGACTTGAGGATGAAGTTGTGAAGTTCCTGGATGCACTGCCACCATTAATTGTTAATAATTTATTTATTTATTTATTTTAAAATGTTGAATTTTGTGTTTGAGCTAGTTTGACAAGAGATTGAGGATGTTTCTTAACATTGAGTAAGCAACTGATGTCTTTGGTCAAAAGCTCAAACAACAGAAGGTCAAAATCATATGCAACTCAAACTAAGGGTTCGGATTTAATCAGTTTATGGTCATTTTTGTTGATGTTTGATCATCTTTGCACCCATAACTTAAACCAAAAACTGTAAAATTTAAAGAAATGTCATGAAAATAAAGAAAATTATCATTAAAAACTCACATTTTTAAATTATTGCAAACTATAGAACCTTAAACCTCCACTTCCTGTTAAAACCAATAATCATGTCACTTTACCATCCAACAACATACCTTCAAAACATACCTTCAAAACATAATTACCCATTTGACTGCCCTAAATTGCCAATTAACTTACAAATTCTACCCAAAAATGGACACAAACTTACATGAAGTACTACAACAAACTTATTCTAAATGCATACATTTTGGCGCGCAAAAACTAACGCTTATGGTCATTCAAAACGAAAACACAATGGAAGTGTCAACATTTATGTTAAGTTGAATTGAGGACAACATGCTCACGATTTTTTAGAACAATTGAATTTAATTTTGGTGAATTTTGACTTTCTTTTTGATGTTTTCATTTGGGCTATGTAAAGTTATGAATAAGTAAGTCAGATCCAACATCAAGCTTTACTTAATGAGCATCTCGTGATTAGCTCAACAAAACTGCAGTTATCTAATGAAAAACCCAATAATCATGAACACCTAGCTCCCTATAATCACAAAGCACATGCACCGCAATTTAATAACTTGAATTAAAAAAGTCTAGAACAATAAAACTTAATTATTGACGTCAAAAATGAGTTATTTGCAATTTCTTGAATTTATTTGCACTAAGCTACAATTTTAATTAAGTTGGCTGACTGCAGCTGGTCAGCAACAACTGCATTAGAAGATCAAACCAAACCACCAACCACACAGCTGTCAGACCTCTCTCCTGGCTGTTTAGCTAAATCAGCATGATTTACTGCAATTTAAATGATAATTTTCAAAGCTTTTTTTACGGAAGTTCCTTAATTACTGCCTGACAAATTAACTGTTAAGCTGCAAATCAGCGTCAAATTTAAAATACACATCCAATAATGCACAAAAGCAGTCATGAAGCTTCAATTGTGAGTCATAAAAACACCGGAAACGCCACCTTGTCTACATTTCAGCCTACTCACTTTCCCTCGTGCATAAATTTTACATTGTTTTTTAGCTCAATTTTAATTTATACAAAATTATTGAAATTAAATTGAAATGAAATTGAAACAATTTACTCCGGTGATGATTTATTGCAGTTGTGCATGTTTTTGTGTCGTTCAGGAAGCGCTGTGATGCTTTTGTCAATGTCAGGTGGAGATGTAGATTTTAAAATTTGTAAGATTCGTTCGAAAATTAGTAAACTTTTAAAAATTGAAAATTAAAAAATAAATTATAAAAAAAATTAATAAAAATTCAAAAGAAAAACAAAAAATTTGGAAATTTAACAAATTCAACAATTAAAAAAATATAAAATATTCAAAAATATTGAAAGGAATTTCAAAATTTTAACAAAAGCTCAAAAATTCAATAAATTGTAAAATATTCAAAAAAACTCAAAAACTCAAAAATTCAAAAAATTCAAAAACTCAAAAATTCAAAAAATTCAAAAACTTCAAAACTTCAACAAAATATAAAAAATCAAAAGATAAAAATCATTAATTTTTAAATTTAAAAAACAATTAGTCCAGATTTCTAATTAGAACAACATTTATCCTCAACATTCTCTCAACATGCTTGATTTGAGGCTTCATTGCAATAATTATAAACATTCCTTATGTTAATCTAGTTATGATTTTTGAAACAATTTATTAATTACAAGCTTGATGCCTCATTCATATGCAAATTAAGCTTCAATTTGTAATCTTATTAAAGTTGCACGCGATTTTAAACATTTTACAGAGAAATGTATTAAAAAGTTTGGTTGGAATTGTTACTCCTGTGCATTATTAGGGGTGTGAATGAGGTCAACATCCTTCAAAAAAAATCTTACAAATTTTCCTAATTTTCATTATTTTACTTCCAGCAAGCAACACAAAATCCTCAAAAATTCAACTCCTCCGAGGTGTTTCCGGAGTTTTCAGACATGGACAGCTTTCAGTTATTATGGGACCATCTGGTGCCGGCAAATCCAGCCTCCTAAATGCTCTGTCCGGTTACAGGTAATAACCTCATTAACCTTTCAACATTAAAGCACGATTGTATGACGCGGAATATTTATTGTGGCAATTTGAAGCGTCAAAAAAATTAATTCTGTACAAAATTGCGAATTTGAGTTAAAAGGAACGAATTAAAATCTTTAAAATAACCTTGGGCTAATGTGAAGCTAAATGGCATTTTTAAGAAGACTTTGGAGTGCTTTTGAAGAATTCTTGAGACTTTTAGGAACAATAATTGCAATTAAGAAAAAAATATTGGGGATTGTTGGAAGTGACATCTATAAAAAATTAGATTTTGATACTCCTTTGCTTATTTGCCTGACAATTTTTATTATTTTATTGTAATTTGAACCTCAATCAATCATGATTGATCTCAAAATTGTCATTAAAATTGTTATTTGAGTTAAACCTGCTGCGCAAAAAACAGGTGTTACAGCGACCGTACTCAAATTCCTGCTGAATGTTGTGTTCCTCAATCAATTCTTCTCAATTATTTCACTGTCCATTCTTCCTCAACATTCAGACACAATTAATCTCAATTTGCAAAGTCATGACTTAACAATGAGTATTATTTGCAGATATTGCCAGAAAAAAAATCAATTCTCATTCTGCTTAATTTGAAATTTGATGGGGTTTGTTACCAATTAGGTCAATTAATTGCTAAGGTTAGCTTTAAGGGCTACTTTGGGCCCTTTACCAGATGATCAAATTGTTACAGTCTGGAAAAAAATGTTGGTGTTTTGGGCATCCCCAGAACATAGCGCCCCCTCATAAACAATATCAAATGGACATCACTGACGTATGCTCCAAACTTTACTTGATTGAAATGAAACAATAATTTATAAAATCCCAAGAACCCGAAAATTTTTGTTTAGCCGTTTACTTTTTTTGGCGACTGTACTCAATTATTTGTTGTTACTTTGAACACTTCTGTTGCTTACCTCATTACCTTTTGCGTTGGACGTCATCGCGGATGTTCATTGGAATTAATTACCCTAAATTTAAACTTTTTTAATGCGAGAATAATTTCGACTAGCTTTTGGAGCTGAGGAATAAATCAGTTCTGGGTGATGGATTTAAGTTTGTGGGGTCGGTTTTAGAAGCTATTTGGAATCCTCTGCCTTAGTAATTATCAAATTGAGGTTAGATATCAAAAGTTGGGACTTAAGTATCTTATCCATAGAGAGGGTAAGCAGAGTAGTCTTAGATATTGAACCAACTTCGTCCTTAACAATTGTGAATCCCAAAAGTAACAATCAATTCCTACTTCTTCTTTATTTTCATCTATGAATCAACCTTAACAGTTACAAGCAAAGCAAGCAATTCTGTTTTTAAATAATAATCAGATAAGGGGCTGTTCACTTATTACGTAACGCGAAAAAATGACTTCTTAGACACCCCCATCATAACAAAATTTGTATGAAAAAAAATTTCCTTGTTTGAATCGTAACAAAATCTTAGACCCCCCCCTAAAAGCGTTACGTAATAAGTGAATGGCCCCTAAGTTAATCACGATTTATATTAACAATTATAAAATTCAGAGTAAATCTAGTCTCAAGAATAAATGAATTTATTGAAAAAAATAGTCAGTCGTGAATCAATGAATTTTTCAAGCGAACATTTACACCATTGACGTCATGAGAATGTTACACGAGTGCTGTTTACTGTTATGTAATAGAGATTGTATAATGACTTAAGGTTAAGTGATTGATTAGGATTGATGTGGGGTTGAATATGGTAGCAAGGGTGGTCCAAGGGGGTCCAAGGAGGTCCAAGGAGGTCCAAGGAAATTCAAGGGGGTTTAATGGGGGTCCAATGGGTTCTAAGGGGTCCAAGGGGTTTCTCTAAATTGAGTTTTGAGTAAAGTCGTTCTTTTCAAGAAATAAGTCAACAGCTTTGAATGATTTTTAACTAAACTCCTGAGCCCTTATGGCTTTTCTTGAGCTTTTGGAGTAGTTCTCGAGTCAAAATCATTCAAAATGTAAGAATTCTGTATCTTGGACATTATGGATATTATTTGGGAGGACCCAAAAGCTTCAATTCCATACAAAACATTTTTTTATTATTTTCATCAATCAGAAACTCATCAACAAAATCTCCCAAGTCACCAACCTTAGCGACACTAACTCTAAAACTTCCACATAAACTTTAAATCGATTAAAATATTAATCTACAAATCTTAAAATAAAAATGAACCAAAAACAATTAATTGACTTAATTAATGACTATAGAATATCTAATTAATTGCTCAGTAGCATGCAAAACGCACATTTTCATTTAATTTAATATTTATTAGCTTATTATGCATTTAAATTTTTTGCTACTTAATCGATTTGTTTTTCTGCTATTTTAAGATGATATTGTTTTGATAAATAGATGTTTTGTGAAGTGTCACTTGAATTGATTGATTAACTTGATTGATGAAGAATTTAAACTTTTTTAATTTTTAACGGCTTTTATAAATTTAAAATTGTAACAGCTTTTTAAAATTTGAACTCATGCGGATTTTTTTTAAAAATTAAAGTTTTTAAAATTTTTTTAAAATTCAAATTTTTTAAAATTTTGCAAATATTTCCATCTCAATTTCAGAACCGAAGGTGTCAACGGCACAATTCTCATCAACCGAAAGACATCATGTTACATCCAACAAGAAGATCATCATCACACACTTATCACAGTCTATGAAATGATGATGATGGCTTGTCGACTTAAACTCAAACATTCTTCAATTGAGAACGGTTTCGATGATTATCGAGCGAGAATTGATGAAATTTTGGCAGGTCTTAATCTAACACACCGAAAGGAATCAACGTCAAAGACCCTTAGCGGTGGTGAAAGGAAGCGACTTTCAATTGCATTGGAACTTGTGACAAATCCTCAAATTATGTTCCTAGATGAGCCGACGAGTGGATTGGATGAAGTCACAGCATCAGCATGCATCAGATTATTGAGAGATTTAGCTCATAAAGATAGAACAATCATTTGTACGATTCATCAGCCATCAGCTGCAATGTTTGATCTATTCGATAATATTTATTTATTAGCACAAGGGCAATGTGTCTATTCCGGGTCACCAAAGGTTCTCATTCCATTTTTATTAAGCAGAAATTACACATGTCCGAAGTATAATAACCCTGCTGATTATAGTGAGTATTTATTGTGAATTATTAATTTGATTTTAAGGTTAATTGAGTTGGTGTTGCGGTAGATTGTAGCTAAATCCAAAAATTGTCCAACCTAACCTCAAAATTCAGCAACTTAACCTCAAAATTCAGCAACTTAACCTCAAAATTCAGCAACTTAACCTCCAAATTCAGCAACTTAACCTCAAAACTGTCCAACATAACCTCAAAATTCAGCAACTTAACCTCAAAATTATCCAAATTAACCTCAAAAATTGAACAACATAACCTCAAAAACTCAAAAATAATTGCAATTTTCCTAATTTTTCAACAGTAATCGAGCTGTGCGACCTTGAACCAGACTCTGTAATCCCACAATTCTCAGAATGCTTCAGCAACGGCAAACAACAATGTCTTCCAGTAAATACAATCACAAATGACACAGCAATCAGTCAATTCCAAATGAAACAATCAATCAATAGTCTACAATTGGATACATCGAGACCCAAAGAAAGCACATTGATTCAGAAAATGAAGCTATTGACGAAGTTCTTTAAGAGTGAATATGCACTGTCGAGTCTGCAACAATTTAGTGTGCTGTTCCAAATGATGACAACAAAGATATTGAGGAATAGAATTGTATTGTGGATTCAGTTTTTACATCATTTGGGATGTGGACTCTGCATTGGACTGATCTTCTTTAACGTCGCGAATGACGGAACGAGGATGTTTGATCATTTAAAATTTTGCATGGGATGTGTGTTCTTTTCGGTATATACGCAGATTATGGTGCCGATATTGAGCTGTAAGTTGAAAAATTATCATCATCCTAACCACAAAATTAAGATTACTAATCTTAAAACTAAGATTCTAACCTCAAAATTGGGAATCTAACCTGAAAAAATTAAGATCCAAAACTCAAAATTAAAACCTTAACCTCAAAGTTAAGACCTTAACCTCAAATTCATGTTTCCTAACCTTAAAAATCAAAAATTCTAACCTCAAAAATCTTCATTTCAGATCCACAAGAACTACGAATAGTCAAAAAGGAATGCTTTAATCGCTGGTACGGACTGACACCTTACTATCTTGCCTTAACCTTCTCACGAATGCCACTTCAAATACTTTTCAATATGATATTTACATGCTGTGTTTACTTCTTATCGGGATTGCCACTGGAACCGGAGAGATTCCTAATGTTTTCTCTAGTTAGTGTTATTGTGTCTTTTGTGGCTGAAGGACTTGGGTTGGCTATTGGGGCTACTTTTAATGTTACGGTAAGTTTGATAAATTTCAAAAAAATCGAAAAAATTAATTTTTTTTATTCCGAATTTCTAGAATGGCTGTGCAATTGGTCCAGCACTCATGGCTCCCTTCCTCGGACTGGCAATCTATGGTTTCGACTTTGCAGCAGACGTTCCAATGCTTATGTATGCAGCAATGAAGTTCTCATTCATCCGTGGTGGAGTCGTGTCACTAGTTCTAACAGTTTTCGGATTCAACAGACCCAAACTAGATTGTAAAGAGATTTATTGTCACTTTGATGACCCAAAAGTCCTGCTGAGATATTTAAGAATCGAAAATGTTTCACTTTTTAAAGAAGTATCAATTCTTGTTGGTCTCATGTTCCTGTTTAGGGTGCTGTTTTATTTGAGTTTAAGAAAAAGATTTTATAAATAAATTTTCAAGTTTGGACTTTGACGATTTGTTGAGCTCAAAAGTATCAAAAACTAAAGATTTAAGGACTTTTTTCTGTATAAACTTCAAAAAGTGATGTAGAATTTAACTTTATTTAATAGATTTTAAGTGAGTTTGCCTCGAATATGATTTATTTTAACATTATTCATGCTATAAATTATGAAATAAAATTATTTGGTGATTTTTAAAGTTGAGTTTTTGAACTTTTTGATTTAAATGTTGATTTACTAGTTGACTGGAATGATGTTGAGTCTTGTTTAGTCAATGATGAGCCATTTTGAAGAGCTTATCATTAGTCTGGTGTGATGCTAGTCCTGACATCGGCTACAATTATCAAATCTTCAGTTGTTTCTTATTTAATTGAAAAATTCACTAGTTGCAGCTGTCAAAGGGGTTTAAAAAAATGGTATTAAGCTGTCTAAAGCTCGGAAAGCTTTCAAAAAGCTCACAAAAGCTCTCAAAGCTTTCCAAACAATCCGTTGAAAAAGCTGCCACTCAACAATTTCCACAAAAAAGCTTCCTCATTTCAGAAGCACCCAAAAGATCGAACCAAATTAATTTACGTAAAAAAATTGATTTCTCGCTATGAATTAAATTGTGTGGATTGTTACGACTAATTGTGCGTGGAATTTATTTGGGCAATGTGTAGGCATAATGTAAAGCTTAAGTAATTGAAACATTTCTTTTCAAAAAATTTCATTTACTTTTTTTGTGTAATAATGAAATGTGAACTCTCATGGTCAATATCGATATTTGTGTTTTTAGGATGTTTGGTAATGATTTGATGATGGGTAATGGACTGGAAATGGAGCAAGTTTTTTTTTCTCAATTTTTGAATTTATTAAAAATCATCGAAAGGAACATTAGCAGACTTTTATGATTACCTGAAGTAATCAGCCTAGCTATACCTAGCAACCTATCTTTACTGAGCCCTGATTCTATAACATATCAACAAGCTGTCAATTATGATTCATAGAGCTGGTTCTGATAGCTACTCTTCAGCTAAGATTACTTAAAATTTCTGGAATAATTTAGAAATAGCTCAAATCAAGTGTAGGACAATAAAACTGGAATGAATGAAACCGAAAAAATCGAAAAATTCTTCAATTTACACGAAAAAACCACGCAAGCTTCACAGCCATTGCAACATCCAAACCACTATAAAACCACGATCAGCTGTTCAATTCATCACCAGTTCCAATTCAAACATTCAACAGCAAACAATCAATTCCAAAAAAATGAAGTCAATTGTAGCATTTTCCCTCCTCATTGCTGCCGCAACAGCTTATGGACATGGCTCAAGTTATGTCTCACGTGATGATCACAACATTCCAACTGGATATCATCATCATGTAGATGAACATCATGACAGCAAGGATTATTATCATCATCCATCATACAAATTCGAATATGGAGTTAATGATCCACACACACATGACCACAAGAGTCAATGGGAGCATCGTGATGGAGATGTTGTTAAGGGTGAATACACATTGGATGAAGCTGATGGAACTAAACGTGTTGTCAAGTATCATGCTGATGATAAGACTGGATTTACTGCTCATGTTGAACGTATTGGACATGCTCATCATGAACATAGCTATGGACATCATTATTAAGTCTACCAAAGAGGCACTGAAATGGTTGAAGCTTTAAAATAAAATTGTAGAAAATTCGAAAATTAGAGTTTTTTTATTGAATTTTTGAGATTATTTGACATTTTAATCCATTGGACATTCTTCATCAAATATCAAAGGCTGCATTACATCCTTTGGCATCCCCTTGTCTCCAAAAAACACCTTTTCATATCCATAAATGTTCTTCCAGTCATTTAAAGCTGTTGAATTTTCATAAGTAAACTTCCACTTCTGACTCATGTCACTGACATTGCAGGCTTTCATCAAGAACTTGTGATCCTTAAAATCAGCAGTCAAGCAGTTGTTATTGCCATCAGATCCAGAATTAATCATGTTTGTAGTTTGATTGAGCTTCCAGAATTGATTTCCATAATTACTATAATGACAATTCCGGAAGTGGACATTATGAGCATCAAGGCATTGCTCAGTATATCCAGACACAATATTTTTGTAGAAATTAAGCCTGTAAAATTGAGAGTCTGGAAGTTTATCGCCTTTGTGACATTCCTTTAAAAACGCTGAGTCATTATTTTGACCTTTTACGTAGTACATGCAGTATTTCTCATCCTGTAGTGACTTGATCTGTCCAGACGCAAAATCTGGAACTGTCTTATTTGCTGGATACTTTAGAGTCATTTCAGGTATGACATTGTCTAGGAAATATTTGAAATTTTTGCAATTCAGCCTCTCGCGAACAGCTTTCGGATGGCTGAGATCACCAGGATCAATTTTATCGTACCTCTCTCGGTTCCTGTCATAAAATGTATCTTTAAAGTCATCAAACCAGACCTCAACAAGTCGTTTAAAGTTCCTGCCTAAGTAGTCGTATGGGACACTGGATCTGGATGGATTGAATGTTCGGAATGTGTGTGTGATGCGGCTGCATGGAACTTCATAGAGACCGTCAGCACACAGCCATAGTTTGAGGCTTAGTTCATAGTTTTCAGCTAAAATAAAAGCGATTTTGAGTAACAAAAGATCACAAAATTAAGGCACTCACCATTCCATATCCTAAAATCCCTGTCATATCCATCAAGTTCCTCCATGAAGAATTTCCTGTCAATTGCAAAACCACAGCCAAGCATAATTGGATTCGGATATGGCTTTAGCTTGTTATATCCATCCGGTACCTTTCGTTCAAACAAATGCCATACTAAGTTCCAGTCAAAACCTTAAAATTGGAGGGAAAAAAAAAGAATTTTTATAGCATGAATGGAATGAAATGAAGAAATGCAATGAGTAATGTGAAGCACTGTCGTAAATGTCTCATGCCATGTTTGCTTTTTAAGGTAGGAAGATTTAGGATTATTTGAATAAAAAACCAGTTTTTGGTCATAAAATTGAACATACCTCCACGATCACTGTAGTACGGTGCTCCATCAACCTTAAATGTTGTTGCTGAGAAGTAATCAATCGTTGGATTTGTGGCCAGCCTCCTGTTAGCTTTGATTGGTGTCAAAAGTGGAGGCAGCCAGTTGACATTGACTTCTGTATGGGAACTGGAAATAATTCACAGGATTAATTGTCAAAAGCTTTCAAGTTAGTGCAAAAACTTACTCAAAAAACACAAGAACCTCTCCAGTCGCAATCTCAGCACCTTCCAGCCTCGTCACAATCAATCCCTTCCTTTCCTTAAGATTCTTAATTCTAATTGTAGTTGTTGGGAAGTTCTCAGCAATGTAATCCTTTAATGGGTCATAAAGTTCCACATTTGAGCTCATGTCATTGACTAAAATGATTTCATGCAGCAGTTCCGGTGGAGTTCGATTGACAATTGAGTGTAATGTTCTTTTAAGGACGCTAAAGACTTCATTGTAGAAGATTATGATAATTGAGACATTTGGAAGTTCACTTGGGTATAAATACTTCTGACAATTTGGATGTCTTGTGTCTTTAATTGACCGATTGACGCTGATTTTATCAGAAATGACAACAGAATATCCAGTTTGATTGAATGCCTTAATATTCATCTCAATTTCATTTTTATCTGTCAAAATGACTTCAGTTCCATTTTCACCGACGCCCATCCTGACCATCTCCTTATACATCTGCTCATAATTATTCCAATCGCGACATTTTGACACCGAATTTGAGAAAATTTTAAAATTTGCAAAATTTATCAAAACATTTATGAAAATTAACAAAAATATCCCAAAAGTTGGAATTGAAAATAAAAAATATTTCACAGATAAATTCTTTAATTTTTTTATTAACGCCTTAACTGCTCTCATTGTGGCAACTGACTGCATCTGCATCTTAAATATGCACAAAAAATTTGTTCTAATCGAAATGTAGAAACTCGTTTTTTGGGGATTATTGAACTTTAAATCTTGTTATTGAAGGTGAAAGTTGGGTAGGTCAGGGATGAGCTCTGCTGGATATTTTGGATGGAATTCTACTTAAACCAGTTTTGGTGCTTAAATGTGGCCTTAAAATCTGATATTTTATTGCATTTTTCATTTGGTCATATTCTAAAATTAATGATTATTGCTTTTCAGATTTGCATCAAAACTGAATTCGAATTACATTGACCCCAACACATACTTACTTACTTCCTTGGCTTGGGCGCACGTGGGCCCATTGCCGCGCGATCCCAACACATGCCCAGCTTTAGTTTCTAACAAAAATCATAAAAATTATTGAATGTCATAATTCATACTCAAAACTAATTAAATCAATCGAAAACTTACACGAAAAAACTATGCAAGCTTCACAGCCATTGCAACATCCAAATCACTATAAAACCACGATCAACTGTTCAATTCATCATCAGTTCCAATTCAAACATTCAACAGCAAACAATCAATTCCAAAAAAATGAAGTCAATTTTAGCATTTTCCCTCCTCATTGCTGCCGCAACAGCTTATGGACATGGCTCAAGTTATGTCTCACGTGATGATCACAACATTCCAACTGGATATCATCATCATGTAGATGAACATCATGACAGCAAGGATTATTATCATCATCCATCATACAAATTCGAATATGGAGTTAATGATCCACACACACATGACCACAAGAGTCAATGGGAGCATCGTGATGGAGATGTTGTTAAGGGTGAATACACATTGGATGAAGCTGATGGAACTAAACGTGTTGTGAAGTATCATGCTGATGATAAGACTGGATTTACTGCTCATGTTGAACGTATTGGACATGCTAGTCATGAACATAGCTATGGACATCATTATTAAGTCTACCAAAGAGGCAATGAAATGGTTGAAGCCTTAAAATAAAATTGCAAAAAATTTAAAATTTTGAATCTTTATTTCTTTGATCTCTGGGATTTAGCTTTCACTCACTTTAGAGGAGGAAAATTTTCTTATACAGTGAATCAATAAATTTTTATAATGTAGCTTTTCAAAAAAAAAAAATCACACAACAAATTAAAGCCTTTCCGAGCGGGACATCTTTAACTACATTGCCTTACATTTCAATCATCTTTCTTATTGTCAGTTGAAGTATAGTTACTCCAGTTAAAGAAACTTATAAAAGCTGTTGTCCAAGAGATAATTTGTAAATATACTTTGATTGCTGGTTCAGTTATATAGCTGCGGATTAATGTTGGTCTTTGGGTTTCTACAATTAGTTCATCTTCAATCTTGGCATCATCAATCTCGGCACCTTCAACATCGGCACCTTCAATCTCGGCACCTTCAATCTCGGCATCTTCAATCTCGGCATTCTCAATTTCGTTTGGAATTATCAAAGCTTCTTCAGTGTCAGGCTCCAATTCAGCTTCTAATGGCTCTTCTGCATCTTGAACTTCTTCAACCCGAACATAGTCATTCTTTATACTGTCACAAACTGAATAATCTCCTGCACCCCATACCAATTTAAATTTTGTTCGTTTATCTTCACCAAATGTTTCTGGTTGGATCCAGCTTCTTAGGTCATACCTCCATAAATCACGCCCATCCTTACCATTTGTGCCATTAGATCCATCAGCTCCATTGGAACCGTCTCTGCCAGGTTCACTAATCTTTCTAATAATACCTTCGTAATCATCTTGATCGCATTGAATTGAAATATTTCCAGGAAGTCCACCCTCACCACCAATTCCTCCTTGACCTCCTTGATTTCCAGGCAAACCTGCACTTCCTTTCACCAACATCAAACCCCAATCTTCATTATTACTAGTTTGGACATAAATAAATGCAGTCAGTCCATCTTCTGTTGTTATTACTGACTGCGATGTGTTGTCTTGCCAAGAATTAAGTCCGAATAATCTATACATTTCGCGACTCTCCGCATATACTGGATTGTTAAGCATAAAATCACATCTTCTAATGATGAAACTGCGATCTGTTGCATCAATGCCGTTGGTTCCGTCATCTCCATTGCCACCATTCTGTCCATTCATTCCATTAGCTCCGTTCGAAATTATTGTTAAAGTTGCGCCTTTTAAGGCTGTGATTTTTTTGCATTTTAACGTGAAGTTGCCTGCATTTTCACCAGGACGTCCATTTTCTCCATTTCGTCCATTTCCTTGCATGTCACTTCCAGCGTCAGTTGTGTAAGGATTCTTTGGATTTCCTGACAAGTCGACTGTACATGACTGCTGGATTTCTGCATTATTTGTGTTGATTGTAAGACTTTTGCCACGAAATTTAGTTTGTAGATTTGACTTGAATTGAAAAGTTTTACAATTGATTCGAAGCTCAGATAAGTTGATTGGGATCTTCTGGATATCTGATGTTGAAATGACATCTTGGTTGAGTTCAAAGATTCCGTCGGATATTTCAACAAAATTTGAAGTTGCCATGATTTGTAAAGAATCTAAAAATAATCTGAACGAAATGATGACGTCAGAGCTTGATATAACTCAAGTTATATTTTAATTCTTTTAAAAATAAATTGTGAAATTCAATAAGTATAACATTTGATATTAGTGTGCAAAAATTAATGGGAAGGTGGGGGAGGGGGGGGGGGGGAGGAAGGTTCAGTGTAAAAGCCCTCCAACTAAAGTTCCAACCTAAAAGATGTCTGGAAACCCCTCTACTACCAGTGACTCAATGTCAAGCCTTGCGATATGCAAAATGTATGTTTTTAGAACAAAGGAACTAGGGGTCATTCACTTAAGCATAGATTAAAGATTAATAATCAAAATGGAACTTAATTATTGAAGAAAATTTCAATTTTTAACAAAAAAACATATTCAAACCTTTTAAATTATTTTATTTAATTGCAATCACTTAATTTCCCGAAAATGTATAACTATGTTCAACTATGAAAGAAGACGTGTTGTTTATCCGAAAGCCGAAAAAAATCTGATAATTGGCCGAAGAAAATGCTTTTTAATAAATGAGTTGAAAATGACACTCGAGAAGTTACACAAATGTTATAAATTAATAATCTTCGCAAAAGTTATATAGCGACACTTGCCGATGTGATTGTTGATTCCTTATCCTTTCGTTGCCTATAACAATTATCAAAATTTGCAAATGTATTCTTATCGAATAGCAAATTAAACCAAAACGTTATCAGTAGCCAAACCTCTTGTACAATATTTCCACCGTCGTGGAAATGACATCATAATAAAATTCTAGTCATTACGCTTTATTTGATGAAAATAAACCAAACAAAACTTTCAAAAATCCTGCAAAAACCAGCAAATATTTTTGGTTGTCAAAATGCATGTGAACTTAAAGTCGAATTAATTAATACACAAAACTGTTCATTGAAATAATTCGCAAAGCATAAAACTTGCAACATAATCGAAGTATAAATAACATGAACAGCTGTTCAGACTTGCATCAGTTCCAATTCAAACATTCAACAGCAAACAATCTCAACAGTCTCAGAAATGAAGTCAATTTTCGTAGTTTTTGTACTTTTCGGAGCTGCTTGTGCTTATCATGATGCCGGACATGCTTACGAAGTCAAAGTTCAGCATCATCATGTTGCACCAATTGTTCATCATGCAGTTCCAGTCGTTCATCATGCAGTTCCAGTAGTTGCAGTTCATCATCATGACGATCATGATGAAGGCAATGATTATTATCATCATCCATCATACAAATTCGAATATGGAGTTAATGATCCACACACACATGACCACAAGAGTCAATGGGAGCATCGTGATGGAGATGTTGTTAAGGGTGAATACACATTGGATGAAGCTGATGGAACTAAACGTGTTGTCAAGTATCATGCTGATGATAAAACTGGATTTACTGCTCATGTTGAACGTATTGGACATGCTAGTCATGCTTATCATCATTAAGAAGTTGTGGTAGATCAAATGTAGTCTGGGAAAGGATTAAACCTTAAAAATAAAATTGCAAAAAATTAGAAGATTAATTACTTGTATTTTTATTAAATTTGTGGATTAGTATGATAATTTTAGGATTCTTTAGTTCAGTAGTTTGGAAAGAAAATTTGATATTGGCAGCTTAATTTTGTTTTTGATGAAATTTCTTTCACATTCTTTTAAGTATTGTGAAAGATCAGCTATAATCAGGTCAATATCAATTGAGGTTTTTGGATAAGGTTTGGCATCTGATGATTTACTTCTTCTTGGGATTGTATCGTTCCTGATTTTCTCAGTTGATGGCTCAGCTATTATACAAACTTTTGTCACACTTACGAACTTTTTCTTTTCATTGTCGTAAATTGAATGTTCAGCATATTCGCCCCATTCTAATTTTAACTTGGTTGGAACATCTTGATTAAAGCATTCTGGATCTTGATTCCAGGTTGTAGAATGATACTTCCAGCAGTCACCTCCAACACGTCCTTTTGAGCCATTCAATCCTCCTATCCCATTTTCACCATCTTGTCCAGTATTTCGGACAATTCTGAAGTTCTCTGGATGATAGTTTTGTTCAATTTGGATTAAAATTTTACCAGGAAGTCCACCTTCACCTCCGAACCCTCCACAACCACTTGGCTTTCCAAGCATGGCTAGTTCCTCTCCTTTAACCAATATTAATCCAATCTCATCGTTATTATATGATTGGACAAAGACATATCCAGTCAGTCCATCATCAGTCGTGACTTTTGCGCTGTTTTGTGAAGTTTCAAGCTCAAAATTTTTGTAGAATTCACGGTTTTCAGCACACAATGGATTAAACATTTTAAAATCAAAACCTTTGACTTTAAAACTGTTTTTAGTTGCATCTTTGCCATTTCTCCCGTTCTCACCGTCTCCGCCATTTTGACCATCCATTCCGTCAGCTCCATTTGAAATTATTGTCAAAATTGATTCATTTTCAAATTCAATTGTTTTAGAAATTAAAGCAAAATTTCCACCGCTATCACCAGCAGTTCCATCACGTCCATCAAGACCTCTTCCATCAGAGTCTTTACCAGCATCACTTTTAAAAGGATTGTGTTGAATTCCTGATAAGTCAATTGTGCATGATTGTGATACAAAAACATTATTTGAGAATATTGTGAGCTTTTTGCCTCTAAATTGATCCACAAGATCAGATTCAAAATAAAATATTCCACAGATGATTCTTAACTCGATGAGATTTGGTGGAAGCTTTACTACATCTGTAGATGATATGACTTCTCCTTTAATACTATAGACATTAGGTGAAATGTAAATCAATTTTGTCTTTTCAGGTGTAAGTGATCGTCGATTTGGGCTGGATGGATTGGATGGCATGTTGAGCTTAATGGAGAATATAATAATCAATGGCAGTAAAGGAACCCGAGTGACAAAAAGTTTATTTTGACAATAAGGCGACACCTTGTTGAATTTTCTCCGTTTACATTGCTGTCTTATGACTCGTGGAAAAATCAAGGCAACACTAAGCCGACACAAGTCACAAGGTAGCCTTGCGGACGGAGATTTTCAACAAGATGTCAACATAAACCCAGCAGTTCTTGATGAATTTTTTTCATCTTCATTCACTCAGGGAAATTGTGATTTTTAATCAAACAACTATTATTGTTGAATTTTCTCAGGTGTTTCTTCAATGTTTGCTTTTGCCAGGCGCGTGGCTAAGAAGGTCTTGTCCCCCCTAAACCGATTTAAACGGCTCAAAACGCTTAAGGGGGGACAAGACCCCCCAGCAAGAGCAAACACTGAAGAAGCACATGAAGAAATTCAAAAACAAATTTTGTTTGTTTAAGAAAACAAAAATCAAATCCGCTTAAGGGGGACAAGACTCTTGGCTACGCGCCTGGCTCTTGCAATAAAGCGTTTTATGTTTACTAAGTTTCAATGTCGTTGTTCTGAAAAACTTAGCTTGATCATCAAAGTCTATATTACTGTTGTAGAAATGTCCCAAAATAATAATTTAAAATATTGCGAAATTGGTTGCCAATTTGAATAAATATAACTGTTAATGTTATACTCAGCTTTATGCTTATTGCTATATTTTGTTATATTTGTTATAATCTCTGTTATTTTTATTGGTGGACTAAAAACAACTTTTTGAATTTCAATATTTTTTAATAAAAATGAAAAGGTAGCCTTATAAAAGCTTTGCTGCTAATCTAAGAATCTAGATAAAGTTATACACTAAAGTCACCTAGCACTACCCACAAATTCTTAGGGTGACTAGATATTTTTTGAAAAAATAGAGGAACTGAAAGTAAAATAGAGGACATCCCAATTGTCTACCAATTTTATTCGTTTTCTAGATGAAATACAACAAAACAAAAAAGTTTTTTTTAAAAAAATTAAAATAAAAGAAGATTTTCCTCTGATAAACCAAGCTGGTAAACCAAGATGGTCAACCCACACATTCCATTCCTGTTTTTGGTGTTGACTCTAAAAATCTCTCATATTTTTTCTTTTTTTTTTTGTTTCATCAGAGATTCTTGACAAAAAAAAAATCATCTCCAATCACCTCAAATGAGGTGTAGCGAACAAGTGAACAAAGAGTGTACCCGGAAAGCACACAAGTAGGTTAATCTACCAGATATCTTACATCAAGCCAGTGTTACTCTGGAATAGCTTTAAATCAAGATCCATGTCAGAGTCACATCTGCTTGGTTTCGGACTTCTGATCGACTAATCGACTTATGCTATTCGAGGTAGCTAAAGAAGACGGTAATCTAATGTCAAAATATCCCGGATAGATGCTAAGATCCATTTTTCACAAAAATTGTCAGCCACAACATTTATTAAAATTTAATTAACTTACCTACGTAATTTCAGAATTTTTATCAACTTTCTAACACAAGACTTTAAATGTATAACTTGATGTCGTGCAAAACTAAAGACGTGTTTTTATTTAAAAGGTTTGAAGCAATCTGATTTAAATTCAGGAAAAGATTCGGATTTTTATATTTTTATAATGTTATATTGCTGTCATCAGATGCACAGAAATTGTTATAATCTTTTTTGAGGTTTTATTTATAGAATTTGCAGTGGAAATTAATTAAAAAAATAGAAGTTTATGAGTCATAAAGAAGGAATTTAAAGAAAATTACAAAAACAACAATTTATATGGGAACATTTGGTGGGATTTTAAGGTTTTTTTCATAAAAATCCTAGCAACATGAAGAAATTTCTGTTAACATCGGAGGATTTGTCACCCAAGTCCCCCCTCCCTCCTCTGGCTACAAGCCTGTTTACAGTGCCTCTTAACCAGATACACTCTCAGATCATCAAACCAGTTTAAAATGACGCACTCCTAAGCTTTCCTAATCAAATGAAAGGAAAAATATAAATCTACATATTTTCTAATACCACTAAGAATTCTCATTTTAATATGATATGATTCATTAAGCAACAAATATTTGTGAACCTTTTCAAGCTTTATTTTGTTTTTTTTTTTTGCAGAAAATCTGAAACAAATGAAAATATTTTTGGGTGTCAAAATGCATGTGAACTTAAATTCGAATTAATTAATACACAAAACTGTTCAATGAAGTAATTCGCAAAGCATAAAACTTGCAACACAATCGAAGTATAAATAACATGAACAGCTGTTCAGACTTGCATCAGTTCCAATTAAAACATTCAACAGCAAACAATCAATTCAGTCTCAAAAATGAAGTCAATTTTCGTAGTTTTTGTACTTTTCGGAGCTGCTTGTGCTTATCATGATGCCGGACATGCTTACGAAGTCAAAGTTCATCATCATCATGTAGCACCAATTGTTCATCATGCAGTTCCAGTAGTTGCAGTTCATCATCATGACGATCATCATGAAGGCAAGGATTATTATCATCATCCATCATACAAATTCGAATATGGAGTTAATGATCCACACACACATGACCACAAGAGTCAATGGGAGCATCGTGATGGAGATGTTGTTAAGGGTGAATACACATTGGATGAAGCTGATGGAACTAAACGTGTTGTCAAGTATCATGCTGATGATAAGACTGGATTTACTGCTCATGTTGAACGTATTGGACATGCTCATCATGAACATAGCTATGGACATCATTATTAAGTCTACCAAAGAAGCACTGAAATGGTTGAAGTTTTAAAATAAAATTGCTTAAAATTAGAAAATTTGAATTTTTATTGAATTTTTGAGATTATTTGACATTTTAATCCATAGAACATTCCTCATCATACTCTAATGGCAGCATAGAATTCCAATTTATCTCCTGACCAGCATAAAAATATTTTTCATATCCATAAATGTTCTCCCAGTCATTTAATGCTGTTGAATTTTGATAAGAAAATTTCCATTTCTGGTTTATGTCACTGACATTGCAGGTCTTCATGTAAAGTTTGTGTTCCTCAAAATCAGCAGTTAAGCAGCTTTTATTGTCATCTGATCCATTATTAATCATGTTGCTTTTTAAGTTGAACCTCCAGAATTGATTTCCAAATTCCGTGTAGTGACATTCTAGAAAGTTTATGTTATAAGCATCAAGGCACAGTTCAGTGTGTCCAAAAACTATATTTTTATGAAAAGTCATTCGGAAATACTGAGATTCTGGGATGTCACCTTCTTTACAGTTTTTCAGCCTTGCTGTTTCATTGTTTTGTCCTTTTACAAAATCCATGCAGTAACTGACATTCAGCATTGACTTGATCTGTCCAGATGCAAATACTGGAACCTTTTTGTCAATTGGATACTTCATGATAAGCTCAGGTATGACATAGTCTAAGAAATATTTGAAATTTTTGCAATTCAGCCTCGCTCGAACAGATTTAGGACGATTTAAGTCTCCAGGATCAATTTTATCGTACCTCTCGCGGTTCCTGTCATAAACAACATCTTTGTGGTCATCAAACCAGACCTCAACAAGTCGTTTAAAGTTCCTGCCTAAGTAATCGTAAGGAACATTTGATCGTGATGGATTTAATGTCCGGAATGTGTGTGTGATGCGGCTGCATGGAACTTCATAGAGCCCGTCAGCACAGAGCCATAGTTTAAAGCTTAGTTCATAGTTTTCAGCTGGAAATGAGAGCATTCTTAAGCAACAAAAGATCATGATATTGAGGTACTCACCATTCCATATCCTAAAATCCCTGTCATATCCATCAAGTTCCTCCATAAAGAATTTCCTGTCAATCGCAAAAGCACAGCCAAGCATTATTGGATTGGGATATGGCTTTAGCTTGTTGTATCCATCAGGGACTTTTCTGCTAAGTTGATGCCATATCAGTTCCCAGTCAAAAGCACCTCGATCGCTGTAGTGTGGAGCTCCATCAACCTTAAATGTTTCTGGTGAAAAGTAATCAATTGTTGGATTTGTAGCCAGCCTTCTGTTAGCTTTGATTGGTGTCAAAAGTGGAGGCAGCCAGTTGACATTGACTTCTGTATGAGAACTGGAAGTAAATAACAGGATTAATTGACAAAAGCTGTCAAGTTAATGCAAAAACTTACTCAAAAAATACAAGAACCTCTCCAGTCGCAATCTCAGCACCTTCCAGCCTAGTCACAATCAATCCCTTTCTTTCCAGAAGATTCTTAATCCTTATTGTCGTGTTTGGGAAGTTGTCCAACACATAATCCTCAAGTGGATCATAAAGTTCAGAATTAGAACTCATGTCATTGACCAAAATAATCTCATGCAGCAGTTCCGGTGGAGTTCTGTTAACAATTGAATGCAATGTCCTCTGCAAGACGCTAAAGACTTCATTGTAAAAGATTATGATGATTGAAACATTCGGCAGTTCCTCTGGGTACAAATACTTCTGACAATTTGGATGTCTTGTGTCTTTAATTGACCGATTGACGCTAATTCTGTCGGACACAACAACACCAAATCCAGTCGCTGAGAATAATTTCTTATTAAGAGCAAGTTCATTATCATCTGTGAGAATTACGGCAGTTCCATTCTCTCCCGGTCCTTTTCTGATCATTTCTTTGTAAATTTGCTCATAATTGTTCCAATCGCGACAGCTTTTTTGAGCATTTTTTGTTGATATTTTGATACTTTTGTCACTTGTGAGGTTTAGTAAGGCACTTAGAGCAATTAAAGCAATTATTCCAAATATTGGAATTAAAATTATAAAATATTTTATTGAAAATTGTCGAATTTTCAGTTTTAATGTCTTGAATGTCTTCATTGTACTGACTTTTAGGATGTTGATGGTGAAATTAAGTTTTTATTTAAAGAATTTTGATCCAAAAACTTGATTTTATGGAAATTAGTAAGTCTTTAGATTTGATGACGTGCTTGATTATTGGAAAGGTCAGTTTTTGCTGTTTTAGATTGAATGTTAATAAAAGTTTGAGCTTTGCATCATTTTAATATATTTTCTTACTTTTCAAAATTACGCTCTGGTCCACGAAATGAGAATTTAAGAGATAAGAACATAAAAATCCATCCAGTCACAATATTGACATGTCACAGTAAAGTTTAAAATGTCGAATCTTAAATATTTTAGGTAAAATAATAAAAAAAAATTTACTTTGTCAAGCTTCATACTTCTTATTTTATATATTCCAGAATTCTGATCATATTGACAACCTTAATTCACCAAAACCTTGCAAATTCATCAACAATCAACTGCGACTTCAAAAAATTTGGCTCTGCTTATCAATGCGTAGTTAAAAATGTCGAAATCTTCAAAACTAAAAACACTTTGACTGATGCAATTGGATCACATGATGGATTAAAGACCAACGATGATGTCTCGTGGATCATTATCAGCCATGGCATCATTAACAAATTCCCAGCTGGAATTGACAAAATCTTCAAAAATCTCGAAGGAATCAGAATCACAAACATGGATTTAAAGTCAGTTAATCAAGAAGATTTAAAAGCTATCAAAAAATTAAAGTTTCTGAATCTTAGTTCCAATAAAATCACGAGAATTGATGCCAATTTATTCCAATTTAATCCACAACTTGAGCACATTTCATTGTCAAATAACGAAATCAGTCACATTGACCCTCAAGCTTTTAGTGGCTTGAAAAGCTTAAATCAACTTTTTCTGAGAGGAAATAAATGCAAAAACAAGCTACTGTTAAGGTCTGCGGAAGATAAAGAACAAGTCAGAAAGCTTATTCGAGATATTGAAGCTGGAAACTGTGAATAAAAGATTTTTTTTTTAAATTTTTGCTAAATTTATTGTTTTATTTTATTTACACGAAAATTAAACGATTTTAATTAAACACAGCATTTAATGATGATAAGCATGAGTAGCATGTCCAATACGTTCAACATGAGCAGTAAATCCAGTCTTATCATCAGCATGATACTTGACAACACGTTTAGTTCCATCAGCTTCATCCAATGTGTATTCACCCTTAACAACATCTCCATCACGATGCTCCCATTGACTCTTGTGGTCATGTGTGTGTGGATCATTAACTCCATATTCGAATTTGTATGATGGATGATGATAATAATCCTTGCCTTCATGATGATCGTCATGATGATGAACTGCAACTACTGGAACTGCATGATGAACAATTGGTGCTGCATGATGATGATGAACTTTGACTTCGTAAGCATGTCCGGCATCATGATAAGCAAAAGCAGCTCCGAAAAGTACAAAAACTACGAAAATTGACTTCATTTTTGAGACTGAATTGATTGTTTGCTGTTGAATGTTTGAATTGGAACTGATGCAAGTCTGAACAGCTGTTCATGTTATTTATACTTCGATTATGTTGCAAGTTTTATGCTTTGCGAATTATTTCAATGAACAGTTTTGTGAATTAATTAATTCGAATTTAAGTTCACATGCATTTTGACACCCAAAAATATTTTTTCATTTGTTTCAGATTTTCTGCAAAATACAAAATAAAGCTTGAAAAGGTTCACAAATATTTGTTGCTTAATGAAGCATATAAAATCAAAGAGAAATTGAAACAAAAAGCTAAACTTGAGCATATTTGAACTTGAATTAGGTTTTAAGAAAAACTGTATAAATACCCAATTCAAATCTAGCAAGTCATGTCAGTTTTTCAGTTCCATTCAAGCTTAAACAAACAATTTTTCTAAAAATGAAGTCAATTTTCGTGGTTTTTGTACTTTTCGGAGCTGCTTGTGCTTATCATGATGCCGGACATGCTTACGAAGTCAAAGTTCATCATCATTATGCAGTTCCAGTCGTTCATCATGCAGTTCCAGTAGTTGCAGTTCATCATCATGACGATCATCATGAAGGCAAGGATTATTATCATCATCCATCATACAAATTCGAATATGGAGTTAATGATCCACACACACATGACCACAAGAGTCAATGGGAGCATCGTGATGGAGATGTTGTTAAGGGTGAATACACATTGGATGAAGCTGATGGAACTAAACGTGTTGTCAAGTATCATGCTGATGATAAGACTGGATTTACTGCTCATGTTGAACGTATTGGACATGCTAGTCATGCTTATCATCACTAAAGACCAAAGATTTTGATTATTTGCTGCTTAAATGCCATTGTTAAAAATTAGAATAAATAAATTAGAATCAGTTGCAGAACGAACAGGCTTGATTTGTTTATTTTATTACAGAATGTGAAGCTGCAGGCTATAAAGTCAGTTGAGGAGGATCAAATGTGATTATTCTGAATTTAAATAAATTGAAATGTGAGTCTTAAAATCAAAATTCATTAAAAAATCATTCAAGATTCTTCTAGACCTCCAGTTAGACTTTAAGTCCATAAATATCAAAAAATTTCGTTCCTTTCCGGACCAAATTCATCAGAATTAAAATTAAATTCATCACAACAAATTTTTATTTATTTACAAAAGTCCTCAAATTACACAAAATCGCGCATCGCTGTGACTAAACGAAAGGAACCAAATCATGCGCTCACATTGTGACATAATTCTTCTGTAGCTCCGATAAATTACTCCATAAAGTAAACAAATCTGAATGAAGTGAGAAGTAAGTCAAGTTTATGCTCATTTGCATTTAAGATTCTGAAGGTTTAGGTCATAAGGAGTGAATTGTAAAAATTATTAAGATTTATTTGAGGCTGATAAGTGAAAATTTTGACTGATTTTGTGAAAAAGTGCAAAATAAATTATTAAAAAAATTGATTTTTTGTTAAATTTTTATCATCTTGTGAGAAATGACAGGATATAATGGTTAGTTTTACAATAAAAATTGAAAAATTGAATAAACTTTCAAATTTAAAAATAAAAAAGACATTAAAAAAATTGAAAAAATTGAAAAAATTGAAAAAATTGAAAAAATTGAAAAAATTGAAAAAATTGAAAAAATTGAAAAAATTGAAAAAATTGAAAAAATTGAAAAAATTGAAAAAATTGAAAAAATTGAAAAAATTGAAAAAATTGAAAAAATTGAAAAAATTGAAAAAATTGAAAAAATTGAAAAAATTGAAAGAATTGAAAAAATTGAAAAAATTGAAAAAATTGAAAAAATTGAAAAAATTGAAAAAATTGAAAAATTGAAAAAATTGAAAAAATTGAAAAAATTGAAAAAATTAAAAAAATTGAAAAAATTGAAAAAATTGAAAAAATTGAAAACATTGAAAAAATTGAAAAAATTGAAAAAATTGAAAAAATTGAAAAAATTGAAAAAATTGAAAAAATTGAAAAAATTGAAAAAATTGAAAAAATTGAAAAAATTGAAAAAATTGAAAAAATTGAAAAAATTGAAAAAATTGAAAAAATTGAAAAAATTGAAAAAATTGAAAAAATTGAAGAAATTTAAAAACAATTAAGTTAAAATATTTTAAAAAATCATTAAAAATACCAAAAATCTAAACAATAATTAAAAATCAAATTTTCATCCCATCCAGGTCTTTTTCAAAACCTCATGCCAGACCTCTACAGTCCAGGCAGAAACAACGATGATCATCGAAATCATTCAACAGACTGGACTTCGTCCGAAAGACGTGAGTCAGACCATCGCTATACATCACTCAACAACAGTGACTTCAACAACAGCAATTCAGGTCGATATTTACACAACAGCAGCAACAGCCACAATTATGGAGGAAACTCATCAACAAGTAACAGTTCAGGTTCATCAAATGATGACTCAAACAGTGGTTCTGGATCAGGTAGACGGTCATGGCTGCAATGTGATTATGAAAGTGAAAGAAAGTCTGGAAATCAAAATTCACTTCCTTATACAAGATATCGTCCGCCGAGTGATGAAAATAAGAAAAGAGATCGACTAAGTACGCATTTTAGAATATAAATATTTTTTTTTTGGATTTTTAAAGATTAATTCGATCTCTTTAGTTTTAAGTTTTGGTTTTTGGCCAGCATTAAGTTCGCATTTTTAAAATTAAATTTGACGTAAAAATGTTAAAATATCAAAAATAATTACAATCGCATTTCCTCAACATTGCAGGATGTCCTTAATAGACTTTTCGTTGTAAATAAGGATCCTTGATCCTGCCGAAGAGAGTTCAAATGGACATCCTCAAACTAGCTTTAAGAATTATCAATTTTTTGGTAAAATTTTAAATAAAGTTAATTATTTTTAATTATAGAAATTAATTTTTTTTAATTTTTTTTACAAATTTTTTAAACATTTTTGAAGTTTTTTAAAAAATTTCAAAAATTCTCTTTTGGAAAAAATCAAAAAAAAATTTAATTCAAAAAACAAATTTTTTCAAAAATTCTCTCAGCCCCAAGCCACCCTCAACATCGCTTTCTAGGTCACATTCAAAAAAAAAGTTCTCAAAACAACAGGAATCAACTTTCATTCAACAATAACAAAAGACTTAATCATATCCAGTCGATTTTCGTAGAACTGCTCATAATTTTTATTGTTGTTATGCTCGAAGCCGCCCAAATCAGTTTGTTTAAAAATTCTTTATTGTAAATATATAAAATTAAAATTGTTTCACTTCTCATGGCTGTTGATTATAAATATTGAGAATTGTTTATGTACCCGCAAAGTGCCATGGAAATTTGATCACGGTGACGCTATGAAAAAGTAAATAATGATGGATGCATGCGGTTGGTGAATTGTTTTGGTGATTTGAGATGTGAAGTTTATAATAAAATTAAATTTCTGACACGTGCAGAGGTTTTGGGTTGGGTTGGAGGTGAAAAAATGATTGAATTTGTTTAAGATTTAGGGATATTAGCCTGTCTGTCTTGCTGGAAGCTTACCAATCATTCAATTCATGAAAAAACACTTCCAGCCACTTGTTTGCCAGTCATATAAAGGATGACTAGATATTGTTATAAGAAATAGGGGACCTGAAAGTAAATCAGATGACATCTCACGTGTCTTTTAATTCTTTTCGTTTTCTGGACGAATTAGAACAAAACAAAACTTAAGGAACTGAAGGACAGTCCTCTGAAAAACCACGCAGATGGTCAACCTTGTCATGTTTGACCTCCTTAACACTATATTTCCTATATTTTCTTAAAAATCATTAAAAATTAGGCCAAAGCTACTCTGTTCCATGTTATACTTAACAACAGCTGAATCCTTAATCCACTGGAACAGTTCCTTAAGTCAGTAGCACCTAACCTTTAACAATAAATAAGAAATAAATCGTGAAAGCCATCCAGCTTTTCAATTAGAGCCACTGCAATTCAATTCAACCTCCAGAAAAATGTTGTAGTTTCACTAATCGACCCTCCTCCCTCCTTCAAAATTGCAAAAATTATTGCACCAAAAATGATCAATGAGCCATAAAACCAAATCTTTATTCAACATAACAGCACACGCATGCTTTGCCTGTCTTCTTCTTCTTGCGTCAATTCATTTCTCTGCATCGCAATCAAACATTTTCTCTCCGAATTCTTCTCACATTTCAATTCACACGAGAACTTGCTCTTCTCATGAAAATTAAAAAAAATTGAGCATTTATTGCTGAGAGCCGAAAAAAAAATATCACAAAACTGAGAAATTAATCGAAACCAAAACAATCAAACGGCCTTGACATTTTTAATATTTTACTTTGTCGCTTTATCTTTTTCACTATTTTTTTTTGTTGTTTTGTTGTGTGTGCATTGAAGATGTAGACACTCACGTGTGTCATAATTTCATTGATTTTGACTTCTTTTCTCTGTTGCTTGTTGTTGAATAATTAAGTGTTTACCTGCTGCAGTTTGTTTTTAGGAGTCAGAGTTGTGTTTTAAGGGCCTGAAAGCTCAACTACGGAAAATTACGGTTGTAAACTATACTAGACTAGACTAAACCTAAACTATACCTAACCTATACCTAACCTATACCTAACCTATACCTAACCTATACCTAACCTATACCTAACCTATACCTAACCTATACCTAACCTATACCTAACCTATACCTAACCTATACCTAACCTATACCTAACCTATACCTAACCTATACCTAACCTATACCTAACCTATACCTAACCTATACCTAACCTATACCTAACCTATACCTAACCTATACCTAACCTATACCTAACCTATACCTAACCTATACCTAACCTATACCTAACCTATACCTAACCTATACCTAACCTATACCTAACCTATACCTAACCTATACCTAACCTATACCTAACCTATACCTAACCTATACCTAACCTATACCTAACCTATACCTAACCTATACCTAACCTATACCTAACCTATACCTAACCTATACCTAACCTATACCTAACCTATACCTAACCTATACCTAACCTATACCTAACCTATACCTAACCTATACCTAACCTATACCTAACCTATACCTAACCTATACCTAACCTATACCTAACCTATACCTAACCTATACCTAACCTATACCTAACCTATACCTAACCTATACCTAACCTATACCTAACCTATACCTAACCTATACCTAACCTATACCTAACCTATACCTAACCTATACCTAACCTATACCTAACCTATACCTAACCTATACCTAACCTATACCTAACCTATACCTAACCTATACCTAACCTATACCTAACCTATACCTAACCTATACCTAACCTATACCTAACCTATACCTAACCTATACCTAACCTATACCTAACCTATACCTAACCTATACCTAACCTATACCTAACCTATACCTAACCTATACCTAACCTATACCTAACCTATACCTAACCTATACCTAACCTATACCTAACCTATACCTAACCTATACCTAACCTATACCTAACCTATACCTAACCTATACCTAACCTATACCTAACCTATACCTAACCTATACCTAACCTATACCTAACCTATACCTAACCTATACCTAACCTATACCTAACCTATACCTAACCTATACCTAACCTATACCTAACCTATACCTAACCTCAATCACAAATTAAATCCTTAACCAAAAAAAATCATCTTGCAGACCGCAACAGCACACAAATCTACGAAAAAACCATCAAAAAATCAAGTTTCTCAGTCAATTCCCTTTCGCAATTCACATCTCTTGGACATTAACACAGCAAAGTAGCCAAATGTCTTCAGTACAATGTTGTCATTCAAAGCATTGAAACTAAAACTTCGTCAGTTGTCGATTCGATATTGTCTAGTCTTAATTCCATTATCCGGTATCTTAGTTCTAGTGACTTTAAGCATTTTATTGGATCTCTCAAGTGACAACAAAGTCACAAATTTCACCGAACAAAAATTAGCCAAATTTAAAGCACACAAATTTTTACGTAAATGTCGTGACTGGCACGATTATGAGCAAATTTATAAAGATCGCGAGAGAGTCGGTCCGGGAGAGAATGGAGCAGCTGTGCGACTTACAAATGAGACTGAAATTGCTCTCAATGATAAATTGTATAAAGAGACCGGCTTTGCTGTTGTTGTGTCTGACAAAATTAGTGTCAATCGGTCAATTCAAGACACGAGACATGCTGACTGTCAGAAATACTTATATCCAGAGGAACTGCCGAGTACCTCAATTATTATAATTTTTCATAATGAAATTTTTAGTGTCCTTAAAAGAACAATTCATTCAGTTGTGAATCGGACACCGCCGGAACTACTGCATGAGATTATTTTAGTCAATGACTGCAGCACTAAGGAAGAGCTATATAAGCCACTGCAGGATTATGTCAAGGAGAACTTTAGAAGCACAACAATTCGGATTAAGAATTTAAAGGAGAGGAAGGGATTGATTGTGACGAGGCTGGAAGGTGCTGAGATTGCGACTGGAGAAGTTCTTGTGTTTTTTGAGTGAGGTTTTTGGACTGACTTGGTCTGCTTTATCCATTAATTCTGTGAATTCTTTCAGCTCACATATTGAGGTCAACATCAACTGGCTACCGCCACTATTGGCACCAATTAAAGCTAACAGAAGACTTGCTACAATGCCGTCAATTGACAATTTTGAACCTGACACATTTGAGAATATTCAGCTACTGGTTATTGGGGATCGTGGAGGTAAGTTGTTCTAAAGACTTCAGCTACAGCTTGAATAAACATTTCATCTTGTTGATGGGTTCCTATTGCTCCTCTATGAAGCGTAAGGCGTCTACAAAGGATTTGAATCGCACTCGATTTTGGGCCAAAGCTGCTATTTCCTTCAGCTTCTTGTTCTGTTGTTCCGCCTCCCGTTCAACAGCTGTACGCAAAGTAATTCTGTTTCGGCCCCTTAGATATTTCAGAAGATCGCCAACATTACTTCTTAAGATACAACTAAGATGTAGTCTTGCTACTTACTAGAGTCACTATGCCTTAAACTAGTAAGGCCCAACCTCTTTTGTGCCACGGAACACTTGGTGGTACGTCATGACTAAAACAGCAATCAGCATACGGCTCATGGGATAAACCAAATTTTTTTCGACACACGGGTTGGGCATCACTGCCTTAAACTAGGACATTGAGTGGATATGGACATCCCATCATCTCTAGCCTTAGATCCGTGTGAATTGTGACTAACGCAAGATCTTTTCCTTAAATTCACAGCAATTGACTGGGAGCTGATCTACAGAAGATTCATGAGGACCATACCCGATGGAGTCAATCCTCTCAAACCTTATCCGAATCCAATCATGCTTGGCTGTGGCTTTGCAATTGACAGAAAGTTCTTTATGGAGGAACTTGATGGATATGACAGAGAGTACAAGATATGGAATGGTAAGTTCCTTAATCACATGCTTCTTTTACTAAACATTGTCCCTACTTCCAGCTGAAAACTACGAACTAAGCTTTAAACTCTGGCTCTGTGCTGACGGCCTTTATGAAGTCCCATGCAGTCGCATATCCCACACATTTCGGATGTATAACCCATCTAGGAACAACATCAAAGAAGATTATTTAACAAGAAACTTCAAAAGACTCGCGGAAGTGTGGCTTGATGACTACAAAGAAGTCGTTTACAGTCGAAGTCCTGAAAAGTTTGCAAAAGTTGATGCTGGTGACTTGAGTCGTCCGAAAGCTGTCCGTGATCGTCTAAAATGTAAGAACTTTCAATACTTTTTGGATAATATAGCACCTGATATTTTGCTGAGATATCCAACGACTAAGGAGACTCCAGTCTTTGCATCTGGTCAGATTAAGTCTGTTGTTTATGAGAACATCTGCATTGACTTGCTTAATGGATCTGAATTTGATCCAATTGGACTTTACAATTGCGAGGAAGTTGATGATCCGAAGAAAATCCCACAAAGTCAATTTTTCAGGCTGAACTTTATGAAAAACATTGTTGTTGGGCACATGGAGTTGTGCCTGGATTCCTACAAGCTAGCAACACCTCAATGTCATTATGCTGAAAGTGGTAATCAATATTGGAAGTACGATTATGAGAATCACATGCTGATCAATTCATATGACGTTGGGAATCAATGCCTGACTGCTAATTTTTCTGGACAGTCAATTTATATGAAGGAATGCGATCTTGAGGACGGCGATCAGAAGTGGAAGTTCACATATGAGAATGAGACAGCATTGAATGACTGGAATAATATTTATACTTATAAGAAGTTTGTGTTTGGTGATAAGGAACTTAATTGGGATAGTTTGATGCCATTGAAGTATGATGAGGAATGTCCATTTGTAGCTTGATGTGTGCTTATGTTAATTAAGCTACAAATTGAAGGTAGACTGAGGTTGTGCAACATGTGTAATAAATTATGACATTTTCAATATAAATTGTAATTAATTCCATTTAAAGTACTTCCTCTACTTTATCTTAGTAACACAAAAGGGGCAGTTTGTAAATGACGTCTGATATTTTGGGGGGTCTGGAGTTTAGATAATGGTTTAAACAATAGAAATTCATTTTCTTACGAGGTTTGTGGCGAGGGGGGGAAAGAGGGGAAGGTTGAAGTTAACCCCCCCCCCCTCAACTTCCTATGCTAGAACTTTTTTTGAGACCCAAACCCTCCTTTTCAATTTTCCTGCTTATAAAAAAATCATTTCGAGCCCCCTTGAGAGGCGGGGGGAGGGGAGTCTAGATTTCTCGAGTTTTAAAGACGTCATTTATGAATCGACTCTGAATTCTTATGAAGCAATGGATTATTTTAATTTATTACAGGTTTTATCAGCGTAGCTTTTACAGAGGCAGTCCGAAACTTAAAATCATCAATCAATGCTTATCAATTTTTTTTAAAAAGTTATTAAATTTTTAAGCTTTCCGAATTTGTAAAATTACGAAAATCTTTAAACAAAAAACAAAATCGGTACTCAAAAAATCAGTCAGTTTAAAAAGAAATTTGAGCAGTGCTAGACTTAAAGAATTAATCATGCAGCTAGCAAAGTTATCAAAAACAGTACTTCCAATTTATCGTGATTTATTCAAATCTAATTGGCCAAAGTACATGCCGTCCTACTGTGTCTTACAACATTTCATTAATCGCTTTGGTCAGCATCCAGAATGGGAGGAAAAAGTCAAGTTTTTAACATTAAAGGATACTTTGGATGGAACTTATGCATTAATATATGGACCTTATATTTGCATTGATTCCATTGAAGCACCTCCATATCCAAAACTTGAGAAGCTGCTTTACAACATGGACCTTAAAAGTGATCAAATATTTGCCAATTTTCGTGATGATTTTCGACCTTTGGTTTTGGATTTATTGCGGATTCGAAAGCTGAAGAAGACTTTTGATGTTGGCTCTAAAATTTGCTTTTTTAATGTCGATGAGGATTACATTAGTGGCATTTGGAAAAGGTTTGTTGTTGCCCACGCTTCCCTTAAATTCTTTTCAGAACATAACCTTAAAATTTAATTTTTCAATATTTCTTCCAGCCCACCAGCAGGTCACCACTACGCCTCATTGACTATTCAAGATCTTAATCAAGTTCTCTCAACAATCCCCAATCCGACTCCAAGATCCATCGAGTACCTTAAAACAGTCATAAAATACAACACAACAACGGGATTGTACAGAAGTGATGGACTCTTAATAAGTTGGGTTATGGAACATGATACAGGTGTACAAGGCAATGTCTGTGTTGTTCCTGAATTCTTCAGAATGAATTTCGCTAGAAATGTTTTAGTTGAGCATGGATTAAAAATTTCAAGGAAAAAGCCTTACTTTCCTATTTTTACAGACGCAGTTCATCACAAGCTTTTAATTTGTTTAGTAAGTTTAATAATGAATGGCTTCATAATATCTCATCAATTGGATTTATTAAGGAACCTGAGCAGAGTTATACTCCTGCTTGGTATCATGTATAAGTGATGATAGGAAGGTTAGGTGTGTGTGTGAGTTTTAAAGTAATACCGAGAACAAGACCAAGATTACGATTTAGATAAAGCTTATGATCTTGATCAAGGAATAGACAAATAATTATAGACAATTCTATGGAATTGTGGAATTGCCCATAATCTGAAACCAAGAATAAAACTAAGATCAAGATCATGATCAAAGCCATGGTTAAGATTAAAGTTAAGATAAAAATCAATTTCAAGATCGAAATCAAATCAAAATTAAGATCAAAATTAAGATCAAAATAAAGATTAAGAACAGAATCCAAGATTAGGATCAAGATCAGAAACCAAGATTAAGATCAAGATCAGAAACCAAGATTAAGATCAAGATCAGAAACCAAAAAGATCAAGATCAGAAACCAAGATTAAGATCAAGATCAGAAACCAAAATTAAGATTAAGATCAGAAACCAAGATTAAGATCAAGATCAGAAACCAAAATTAAGATCAAGATCAGAAACCAAGATTAAGATCAAGATCAGAAACCAAGATTAAGATCAAGATCAGAAACCAAGATTAAGATCAAGATCAGAAACCAAGATTAAGATCAAGATCAGAAACCTAGATTAAGATTAAGATCAGAAACCAAGATTAGGATCAAGATCAGAAACCAAGATTAAGATCAAGATCAGAAACCAAGATTAAGATCAAGATCATAAACCAATATCAAGTTTAGAAACCAAGATTAAAATCAAGATCAGAAACCAAGATTAAGATCAAGATCAAAACAAAGATCAGAAGCCAAGATTAAGATCGAGATCAAAACAAAGATCAGAAACCAAGATTAAGATCGAGATCAAAACAAAGATCAGAAACCAAGATTAAGATCAAGATCAGAAACCAAGATTAAGATCAAGATCATAAACCAATATCAAGATCAGAAACCATGATTAAGATCAAGATCATAAACCAATATCAAGTTTAGAAACCAAGATTAAAATCAAGATCAGAAACCAAGATTAAGATCAAGATTAGAAACCAAGATTAAGATCAAGTTTAGAAACCAAGATTAAAATCAAGATCAGAAACCAAGATTAAGATCAAGATCAGAAACCAAGATTAAGATAAAGATCAGAAACCAAGATTAAGATCAAGATCAGAAACAAAGATTAGAAACCAAAATTAAGATCAAGATCAGGAACCAAGATTAAGATCAAGATCAGAAACCAAGTATAAGATCAAGATCAGAAACCAAGATTAGAAACCAAAATTAAGATCAAGATCTGAAACCAAGTATAAGATCAAGATCAGAAACCAAGATTAAGATCAAGATCTGAAACCAAGTATAAGATCAAGATCAGAAACCAAGATTAGAAACCAAAATTAAGATCAAGATCAGAAACCAAGATTAAGATCAAGATCAGAACCAAGATTAAAATGAAGTTCTAGATCAGAAATCAAGATCAAGGCTAAATTCCAAATCGAGACTGATACATACCAAAATCGAGACTTTATTATGACTAAGCCTTTATTATGATTCAAAAAACAAATTCATGTGATAAATAAATAAATGAAAAACAATTTATATTGTAATATAAAGCATAAATTTGATAAAATAAGCTAACAAAGTTTGTTTCTAGCACTTTAATTTAAGGTATTACAATATCGATGGTGTTCCTGCTTGCCAGCTGTATAGACATCTTCTCAAACTCCTTCATCGATCCAACTTTATTGCTATCCAAATAGTGTGAATATTCATTTTTCAACACCGAAATATCGAATGACGGAACCTTTTCTGGTGTCTCAATATTGAAGTCCTTAATAGATTCATTCCTTGTTGTTCCTATCGGAATCTCAATGTCATAATCCTTCTCAACTCGAACATAAGAATTTGCAGCACCATCCCAGACTGTATAATCAGCACTTTCACCCCAAACTAGTTTAAACTTTGTTGGTCGATCTTCACCGAAGCATTCCGGATTTCCCCAAACTCTTTGGTCATATTTCCATAAATCACGTCCTTCACGTCCATCAGCACCGTTTGCTCCATTAGCTCCATTCTCACCATCAGTTCCTGGATTTGCTGTTGCTAAAATATTTTCTGGATGTGAACTTTGGTCGCAATGGATGAAAATTGATCCAGCTTGACCTGCTTTACCTCCACAGCCACCAAGTCCTCCAAGTTTTCCAGGCTGTCCTTTACCACCCACAACAAGCATCAATCCCCAGTCATCAAGAATTGAGATCTGTTTGAAGACAAAAGCAGTCAATCCATCTTCAGTTATTAGTTCCGATTTTTCAACGTCTTCAAGTCCAAACTTTGCATTCATTTCCCATTTTTCATTAATGTCAAAGCTCATTTTCCAATTAAATCCATCAACAACAAAGCTTCTTTGCGATGCATCCTTGCCATGAACTCCATCTTCTCCATTTCCACCATTCTGTCCATTAGTTCCATTACTTCCGTTCGCAATTATTGTCAATTGTGAATTATTGTTGATTAATCTGCAATTTAGAGCAAAATTTCCACCACTTTTGCCTGCTACACCATCCTGACCATCAAGACCTGTTCCATGTTCATCCTTGTCACCATGAAAGTCAAAAGTTGGAGTTACAGGCTCGCCTGACAAGTCAAATGTGCTTGGTTTAGTCACTTCAACGTAATTTGCAAGAATTGCGAGATTTTTGCCACGAAACTTATCAGAAAGGTCCGATTGGATGCGAAAGACATCAGCAACAGCATGTAAATCTGTGAAATCATCTGGCACTGACTCAAGGTCAATTGATGTTAAGAGTCGGCCTTTCAGTTCGTAGACATTGTCACTCTTTTTCTTAAATTGCAGCTGTTCAAAGGCCATCACTGGATCTTAATTTTGTGAGAATTAGTCAAATTAGATCTAAAAATAAAAAGAAGAAAATGTGGAAAAATTGTTTCGGGGATTTTTAGATTACTTTCGAGTTACTTGGACTGTCTTTGACTATTGATGGCAATGAATAGATCGTCAGCTAGTTCTGATGATGACAATTAAGTTTCTAGAAGCTGAAATGACTCAATATTATTTAATAATCTTTAAAATTTGCTTTAATCTCGACACAAACAATGAACGACTGTTGACTGAGTAAATGAAAATAATAAAAAAATACAAAAACAACAAAATTCTCTCAATTTTTGGCTCATATCATTTACTCTCTTTTTATCATATTTTGAGAATTTAGCCTCCTTTAGACTTTTGAGTATGTGCCGAAATAAATAAAAAAATCAAATTTTCTAATTTTTTGCAATTTTATTTTGAAGCTTCAACCATTTCATTGCCTCTTTGGTAGACTTAATAATGATGTCCATAACTGTGTTCATGATGAGCATGTCCAATACGTTCAACATGAGCAGTAAATCCAGTCTTATCATCAGCATGATACTTGACAACACGTTTAGTTCCATCAGCTTCATCCAATGTGTATTCACCCTTAACAACATCTCCATCACGATGCTCCCATTGACTCTTGTGGTCATGTGTGTGTGGATCATTAACTCCATATTCGAATTTGTATGATGGATGATGATAATAATCCTTGCTGTCATGATGTTCATCTACATGATGATGATATCCAGTTGGAATGTTGTGATCATCACGTGAGACATAACTTGAGCCATGTCCATAAGCTGTTGCGGCAGCAATGAGGAGGGAAAATGCTACAATTGACTTCATTTTTTTGGAATTGATTGTTTGCTGTTGAATGTTTGAATTGGAACTGATGATGAATTGAACAGCTGATCGTGGTTTTATAGTGGTTTGGATGTTGCAATGGCTGTGAAGCTTGCATAGTTCTTTCGTGTAAGTTTTCGATTGATTTAATAAGTTTTGAGTATGAATTATGAAACTTAATAATTTTTTCGTAGAGTTTCTAGGGAATCGATAAAAAAGTTAAGATTTTGGTATTTTGAAGCAGACTTTTGAGCGTTGGATGTTCAGCAAAAGTTCATTGAACTCTTGAACACCTGTTTGAACTTGAGAAATTCTTGGTAAATTCCAATTGCAGTTGCTATGCTTGATATTGATACATTTTGGAAGTTAGAAAGCTCAAAGTTCTTGACCCAATCAACTCTCTATCAAAAGAGCTAATTGGCTATACACCCAGCAACTTTATTTGAGTATAAAAACCAGAACTGCTGATTCGTCTTCAAGCAAACAACTCCAACCAGTTCTAGGTACAACAAGTAATCAACAGCAATCAAAATAATGAATTCAATTAAGGTAAAAAGTTTCAAAAATTTTACAACCCAAATCTATAAAAATTTCTATCAATTTCAGTTGACAGCAGTTCTTGCCTTCATCTCAGTCGTCTCAGCTGGCGCAATCAGCTACGCAAAGAGATCCGACAAATTCAACTCTGAACTCAACTTCAATCAAGGATCATCATGGGGTGAAATGGAAGCAGATTCAGGCTTATGGAACGGTGACATTAAAGGTGACTTCCATGCCTACCCAAAGTACAAATTCGAATATGGAGTCAATGATCCACACACACATGACCACAAGAGTCAATGGGAGCATCGTGATGGAGATGTTGTTAAGGGTGAATACACATTGGATGAAGCTGATGGAACTAAACGTGTTGTCAAGTATCATGCTGATGATAAGACTGGATTTACTGCTCATGTTGAACGTATTGGACATGCTAGTCGTGCTGTTAGTTTGGCTTATGGAAATGGTTATGGAAGATTTTAAGGATGTCAATTGAGATTTTTTCATTTTTTTTTTAAATCAAGCTTCATTTTTGCTTAATTTTTAACACTGACCATGAAAATAAAATTCAATAAATTTTCAAAATCAAATCACATAACCGGCAACTCTCAAAAATTTCACAGTCTGTCCATTACTCAAGCAAATTCCACGCACAATTAAGCTCAATAAAACAATTCAATTCCCGAACATACAATGAGCATGCTCAGAGCACATTATTTGTGAGCCTATTAGCCTTTGTGAGAATGTGCTCATTTTCATACATTTCAGTGATGCGCTTACGGTACCTTCTTGAGCATGCTCAGTGAGCACATTCCTATGTGACATGTAATAAGATCATTGAGTAAACTCATGAGCATACTCAAATGAGAAGGTAACATGTCACATGCAACATTTTTCTCATGTAACATTTTTATTGAATATACTCATGTACATTCTCAGAGAGCATATACTCATAAATATTCTCAAAGAGCTTATACTCATGAAGATACTCAAAAGATATATGCTCAGTGAGTATATTTATGAGTATATGCTCATCTGAGCACACTCATGAGTGCACTCAAGTGAAGTTGCAAAATTCAAAAAATTAATTAAGCTAAATTTGAATATTATAGGTTAGCTGGAATCAAGTACTGTTCCGTTTATTTCTTTGAATTTCTGTGAATAATTTTGAAAGAGTTAGAAATTATTATTAATATTTTATCTCAAATACTTAGACGGAAACATATAAATCTGGTCACCCATCTTTGTTGAAATATCTTCTGCGTTGCTTAACTTCTGTCATCTCACACTTTTCCTTGGAGCTATTGTCTGTAAATATATAATAACTTATATATGGCATAACACATACTTAAATTATTATATTTTTACAGGCGAACTAAGTTCTTTGAAGTTTGAATCTTATTGAGCACCAATTTTAACGTTTTCGATTTAGCTGACATTTTTAAAAAACGTCAGCTTCCTTAAAAAATCATTTTTTTAACGTTTTCGATTTAGCTGACATTTTTAAAAACGTCAGCTTCCTTAAAAAATCATATTTTTAACGTTTTCGATTTAGCTGACATTTTTAAAAAACGTCAGCTTCCTTAAAAAATCATTTTTTTAACGTTTTCGATTTAGCTGACATTTTTAAAAAACGTCAGCTTCCTTAAAAAATCATTTTTTTAACGTTTTCGATTTAGCTGACATTTTTAAAAAACGTCAGCTTCCTTAAAAAATTATTTTTTTAACGTTTTCGATTTAGCTGATATTTTTTTAAAAAATCTCAAATAATGATTTTTTAAGGTAGCTGACGTTTTTTTAAAAAATGTCAGCTAAATCGAAAACGTACACAATTTGCTCTTGAATAAACTCAGTAAGTGCACTCATATGAGAATATAAAAAAAATTGTGTGACACAGAAGTGAGCTTGCTCATTATATGCTCATGAGTACATTCAGTAAGTGCACTCATATGAGAATATAAAAAAAATTGTGTGACACAGAAGTGAGCTTGCTCATTATATGCTCATGAGTACATTCAGTAAGTGCACTCATATGAGAATATAAAAAAAATTGTGTGACACAGAAGTGAGCTTGCTCATTATATGCTCATGAGTACATTCAGTAAGTGCACTCATATGAGAATATAAAAAAAATTGTGTGACACAGAAGTGAGCTTGCTCATTATATGCTCATGAGTACATTCAGTAAGTGCACTCATATGAGAATATAAAAAAAATTGTGTGACACAGAAGTGAGCTTGCTCATTATATGCTCATGAGTACATTCAGTAAGTGCACTCATATGAGAATATAAAAAAAATTGTGTGACACAGAAGTGAGCTTGCTCATTATATGCTCATGAGTACATTCAGTAAGTGCACTCATATGAGAATATAAAAAAAATTGTGTGACACAGAAGTGAGCTTGCTCATTATATGCTCATGAGTACATTCAGTAAGTGCACTCATATGAGAATATAAAAAAAATTGTGTGACACAGAAGTGAGCTTGCTCATTATATGCTCATGAGTACATTCAGTAAGTGCACTCATATGAGAATATAAAAAAAAATTGTGTGACACAGCAGTGAGCTTGCTCATTATATGCTCATGAGTACATTCAGTAAGTGCACTCATATGAGAATATATAAAAAATTGTGTGACACAGAAGTGAGCTTGCTCATTATATGCTCATGAGTACATTCAGTAAGTGCACTCATATGAGTGAATTCACATGAGTATGTTCTTAATATTCTCAAGAGTATACTTATTGAATGCACTCACGTGAGCTTATAAAGTTGTTGTAAAAAATTTAAGTGAGCACATTCATAATATTCTCTTGAGCATGCTCAGTTGAATGAGCTTGGATGAGTACATTTTTTGAGTAGACTCACTTATATGCTCACTTTTCTGAGCATGCTCTTTGTATGTTCGGGATTCAAAGCGAAAAAAATCGATTTTTACGCAAAATTTCTCACTTCGTTTTCAATTACAAAATATCAACAGTAATTGTTCGACTGCGTTTACATTAATCAAGTTACAATTAGCTTTTATTGGCTTTTGTTGGATGTTGAATGGGAATTTAGATGAGCTTCGGTTGTTGGATTGAAGATGGCGCTGAATTTTGAAGTAAAAGATTTTTTTTGTTGAATTTTTTGAAATTTTATGAAATTTATTTAATTATTTATGATATTAATTTAGGTGGGTTGGGATTATGGATGCTGTCTGATAATTTTTTGGGACTATTTGGGGTTTAATGACTTTGGACATCCTGTTTGTAATTCTATAGCCAGTTTCTAGGACTTGTTGGGATGATTTTTTCTGGTTTCAGTCGATTTTTAAGCACAACACTAAATGTAGAACATTAATTCTTGATTCTAGGGAAGATACAACAAGTAGCTACTAGGAACTGACCCTAGACTCAATAGTACACATTAATATAGTGTGTATCTTAACAAATCAGGCCTTCAAGAATTACTAATGGCTCTACAAATAGCTAAAATATCTCACAGCTCTTAATATCTACAAATAAGACTTAAACTAAGCATTGCATCCTCTCCATTAATCTAAACATCCGACATCATCCTCAACTTCTAGCTCTCATGTGAGATGCAAATTAAGGAGCTTCCTAATGTCACTAAAACCCCTCCAAGGAGGATCCTTAAACTTATTTTGTGATTTTCTAGGACTATTGAAGTCACACTTGTGATGAGCATTGTTAGAGAGTTTGTGAAGATTACAGCAACTGAAAGGCTTGACAGCTTCTGGTTCAGTGCATAGAAGTATAGGACTGATCCAAGTTGGTTGACACCGAATGTTGTGAAATACTAAAATTGATATGAGAAATTGTTGAAAAATTAAGCAAAATTTTCTAACATCTAGTCTAAGTAGCTGGAGTCAAGTTCGCATCATGTGCCCATATCCAACGATTAAACTAGGACGCAAAGATTCATATCAGTAACTACCTCCTTACCTTCCAGTTTGTCGCCAAATACTTTAATTCTGCTAAAATTTGATTCACTTTTGAATTTTCAATTTTTATGTCTTTGATTCCTTTTGAATTCCTTTTCAGCAAAACATTTGTAACACCCCAAAGGACTGCAGTCATAAAGTAAAGATGTAATGTCATTTGACTTTTGTAAAAACTTGAGTTTCTCTGTCTGGAAAAAAAATAATTTTTTGCCGAAATGAAAACAAAAACAAATTTGTTGATTTTGAGAGTGAGTAGCGTAGTTGGTTGCCCTTTCTGGAGATTTTTGAATTGTTGAGAATTAACGGAAAATTGACAATGCTGGAAAATTGTAATTATTTTAAAACAAACCTAATAAAGCTGAATTATTTCAATTTGACGTCAAATTTTATTGAATTTTAAAATATTTTTTTATAAATAAATTTAAAAATTTTGAAAAATTTTAAACATGATCATGAAGTCGTTCAAGATTCACGTCAGAAGCGGGTTTCTTAATGTACATCAACACCTACTGTCTGCTTCTAAAGCAGTGTTGTCCAAACTTTTTGAGCCACAGCACATCTTAGGGGTTAGTCATGACCGAAATCGCATGCAACGTGTAGCTCGCGTCATTACCAACAATTCTACCACACATCAGTGTGCCACGGCACACAGTTTTGACAACACTGGTCTATCGTTTTGACTAATGCAGTGTTTCTCAAACTTTTTAAGGTTGTCAAGAAGATAAAAGTCATTTAACATTCTTATACCATAATTGACAAACCTAGAACTTCTTCGCAGAACAGTAAAGCTCCGCAGATCACTGCTTAAGAAACACTGTTTTAAAGTACGCTCGCTAATAGGATCAGGATAGAGATAAGTGTAGCTGTATAACAAGAAATCCGCCCTAAATGTTATTCAATCGTTTATCTATAAGGAATTCCAGTTGAGTCATGAATGAAGCTCAAGAAGCCAGCAACTCTTGTCGATCCTTGCCAGACATTAGATCCAGATGTAGCAACAAAGACATTAACACCGATAAGAGTCAGAGTTCCATCGACTGTATCAACAAATGGTCCACCTTGAATTTAGATTTGATTTATATTTTACAGAATTTATCATCGTTTTATTAAGTTTCTCACCTGAATCACCACCTTGAAGAGACGAGGTTCCACTTTGAGGTTGACTGCATAGGATATTCTCACCCAAGTAGCACTGATTACGATTTAAGACTCTAAATTGTGTGTATTGTAAGTATCTCGGTAGCTGACCACCTCCAGTGCCTGTAAATTTAAATGTTAATTGTCACATTTTACTGCTAAAGTCATTGTCTCACCCCCAAATCCAATAGCAGTTCCAACATTACCCTCAAATAATGAATTTTGACGTCCGCGACTAGGCAAAGCAATAGGCTTGACTCGATTGTTGTTCGGAGCATTTTGAGCCAATCGGAAGAGTGCAATGTCTGGATGATGTCCATCTCCAGCATTCAACCAAATAAACATGTTTGAATAAATCCTAACTGTTGGATTTTGACGATCAGCTGAGCCGAGTGAAGCGAGAACTGACTTTGCATTAGTGCTGCAAAGTTATGAAATTAATTTCTCTTGTCTAAAACCTATGCAAAGACTTACTCAGCAATGCAGTGCCTAGCACTTAGTATCCAGTTTTTAGCAATTAAGCTACCAGTACACAATAGTCCACCAGACTGAAGATTGATCGATATTTCAGCAACAAATGGGAATTGTCCATCTCTAGCTTGTCTGCCATTTGAGATCTTAATTACTGGTCGGGATGAAGGTGGTTTGGTGACATTTCCATTGAAAACAAAGTCATCGACGCTGTCCGGATTGACAATTTCACGTTGGTGGGTTGTGAAAGCTGGAAATGAAGGCTGATCGTCAGCTAAAGCAGCTGTTAATAAAATTGAAATTATTATGAAGGTTTTCATCTTGGCTTGTTACTTTATAAACTGTCAACAGCTGTTTTAATTGCTTTTTGTTAAGTTTTAACTTTGAAGCTTCAAGTTTGAGTCGAGAAACTGAGACTGAATGTTAGGAGACTGAAATGACAGCTTTTATAGCTCATCTAGGAATTGAAAATTCAGATTTTTATTTGCACAGATTTTTAATTTTTATTTCCTGGTTCTGGTTTTGTGCTGTGTAAATATTTAAACTAAAACAATGAAGTAGTTCATGACAAGGCTGACTAGCCATTCCTTTTGGAACCAAGTTGATGGATAGACCATTGCTGAAATAATCATATTTTAACTTAAAATTTCATCCCATCGACTCCTTCAACGGCGACTTGTTTTGAAAAGTCACATTAAATCTCCAAGGCACGTCACTGAATCTCGTATGACTGACCATTGAAAATTTGTAAAATCCATCCGGAAAAAGACCAAAAGCTTTTGCTTCATCAAGTGTCAAATTTTTAATATCAATATCTCGGTTGTATGGACACTTATGCAATGCATCACCAGCTAGTGCCTTAATTTGTTCAATTGTTGACATCAAAAATAGATGACTAGACAGTCCGTCCATAACTGAACAGAATTCAATCATTTTTGTGTCAATAACTTCTCTGTAGATGTTCCCATAGCGATAAAACAGGATCAATTGGATATAAATTGGTTTATTGATGACTTGAGTGAAATGAATGCCTAGATTGAAAGTTGTGACTCGTCTTGAGATAGCTTTAATGTAGCAATATTTGATTATTGATGTCTTATTGTCAGCATCGCATTCAATTGATCGAAATCTAACTCCACTGTTGAAAGTTTGAACTTTGTTGTCTACAGTTGCTAAACTGAGGTGGAAAATTATAAGAAAAATTGCCAAAATTTTTTTCATTGTTTTATTTGTGCTGTGGCTTGTTACAGTATGTTTAATGATTGGTTTTAGGTGTTTTGTTTTAGGTTTGTGGTTTTGAAATTAGACAGCAATTTTGATAATTTGATATTGGAATTTTTATAAATAATTTTAATTGTTTTGAGAGCTGTCAAGACTATTAAAAGACCAAAAGTTGGTTTAATGGGCAACTCGGGGTATGGTTGAAATAAAAACTGCATTTTGAAGCACTGTCAAAGATCCAGGAAGTCAGAACTTTTTTTTTATAATTCTAACAAGTCCCCAACATTCTGTTTTACTTCCCCCAAGATTCTTTATACGGCGACTTAATAAAAAGTGATGTATTCAAGCTCCACAGGAACTCATGACTCTTTTTATTCATTGTCATCCATGAAAATTTATAAGTTCCTTCCGGAAAGATGTCGTAAGCCTTTGTTTCATCAAATGTTACATTGGTAAGCTCAACATCAGTCTCGTATGGACACTTTCGCATAGTATTGCCAGAATATTGCTTAACAAAATCAATGACTTGCATTAAAAATAAATGATTTGCAATTCCGTCCATGATTGTGCACCATTCGATGACTTTTGTGTTAATTACTTCCCTGTAAATGTTTCCGTATCGATAAAAAAGTATCAAATTGACATAAACTGGCTTGTAGATGACTTCAGTAAAGTGTATTTTAACATTAAGAGTCGCATGCTGCCTGGAAACTGGTTTGATGTAGCAATACTCAACAATTGCTGATCTATTGTTAGCATCGCACTCAATTGAACGGAATCGACCAGAATATTGGTTCAGTTTACGGCATTGAGATGCATTAAAGTAGCCGATGATGAGAAATATAAGCCAAAGTTGCTCCATTGACTGATAAATTGTTGAATTGAATGGAATTTCCAGTGCAATCTTTATTTTATACTTTGCAAAGTGGCCAATTTAGGAAGCATTTTGCAGACAAATATAACTCTGGAAATTAAAAAATTACTTTTATTGTAATTGAGACTGTCTTTATATTTTATTTGGTCTGATGACTGAATTTGCGACAATTTTCCTATTTTTTAATTACAAGACAACAGTTCAATTTTAAAGCAACGCTTAATAGTCATTAACTTATTTTTAAAATCAAAAACTACGTTCTGTCTAATCCCATACCAAACTCTATCACCAAACCTTTCTTTATGTCACTTTTAGTGACCATTCCTGTCGATCTACAAGACATTAAAGCACACATCACCCCATCGACTCCTTAACAGGAGATTTAACAAAGACACTGACATTAAACCTATAAATTATGTTCATTTTATTTCCATAGCTGATCCATGATAACTTGTAAGTTCCTTCCGGAAATACATCCAGTGCCTTATTGTCATCAAGTGTCAAATTTTTAACTTCAATTGAATTTTCGTACGGACATTTGTGAATAACATCGCCTGCAACTTCCTTAATTTGCTGAATTGTTTGCATCATAAATAAATGTCCAGTAAGTCCTGCCATAATTGAACACCATTCTATTGGTTTTGTGTCTATTACTTCCCTATAGATGTTTCCATAGCGATAGTAAAGGATCATTTGGATGTGAATTGGCTTGTTGTAGATTTTTAAAAGTTTTATTTTTAAATTTAAAGTTGCCGTGCGTCTTGAGACTGCCTTGACATAGCAACTTTCCATAACTGCTGTATTATTGTCAGCTTGACACTCGATTGAGCGAAATCTGGTCAAAACTTGATTTTTATTTGCACATTTAATGAAATTTAAACAAAAAATTGTCAGAAATAATTTAAAAATTGTGTTCATTTTGGATGAAAAGATAAAAAAGTTCTGATTTTTTTTAACGTTTTGAAAAATTGACTTTAATGATTGAAAATAATTACGGCAATCAAAATGTCAAAAAATTAGATCACTACCTTCCCATGGACTCTTTTAACGGCGATTTAATGTCCAACGTTGCATTTAATTTCCACAAAAATTCTTGACTCTTTTTGTTCATTGTGATCCATGAAAACTTGTAAGTTCCTTGTGGAAAAATGTCCATAGCTTTTGTCATATCTATCGTTATATTATTCAACTTTATGTCTGTATTATATGGACACTTTCGTAGTGAATTTCCAGCAAATTGCTTAATTAATTCCACAGTTTGCATTAAAAATAAATGATTTGCAATTCCGTCCATGATTGTGCACCATTCGATGACTTTTGTGTTAATTACTTCCCTGTAAATGTTTCCGTATCGATAAAAAAGTATCAAATTGACATAAACTGGCTTGTAGATGACTTCAGTAAAGTGTATTTGAACATTAAGAGTCGCATGCTGTCTAGAAACTGGTTTGATGAAGCAGTGCTCAACAATTGCTGATCTATTGTTTGCATCGCATTCAATTGAACGGAATCGACCAGAATATGAGCTTCTTTTGTCACATTTCATGGATATTAAGCAGATGATGTGCAGAAAAGCGGCTAAAACCAGCTTCATTGATAACAAAACTGACAAAATTTATGAATTTTGGAAAGACAATTTTAATTTATACAGCAAAAGATAATTGCAAAATTATTGTCTAATCATGAACATGATCGACTATTTTGCAATAATTAAAAAAATCAGTTTGAATGGTTACCCGGGTTAGGTTAAGGCTACTTAAGGTAGGTTGCGATAGAGGTTTGGTCACACTGGGGTGTCCTAAGGCTAGGGTAAGTGGAATGATTTAGAAAAACCTTAAAAATATTCTGGTTTAACACATTTGCCCTGGAGCTGTATTATTAGGACAGTTTAAGGTAATTCTAGGGCAACCTAGGTTGACCCGGAATATTCCAAAAGTAATTCTGACTCCAGGGGTTACGAATAAAAAAAAATCAGGGGTTTAGATGCTTAAAGTTAAATTTAAACATTTAATTATACTTTATTTATTTTTTCAAAAGTTTTGGAGTTCTGCACCACAACCCTATAACCTAGAGGAACCCTAATCCAGTGTTTCTTAAATTTTTTTATCCAAAGGGCTGGAAAGGCGCAGATGATCATCGGTTCATGTTTAAACTCCACGCTAGCAACCACTTTGGGCACATCTATATTTTTATCGCAGAACATTAAAGCCCCGGAGAGCATAGTTTGAGAAACACTGTCCTAATGCTTCCCTCACATTCCCAAAGTCTTAACCAAAAGTCTCCTTAATTGGTGACTTTATGAATAGCGTAACATTAAAGCTATAAATGACTTTTTGACTACTATCATAGCTAATCCACGTGTGCTTATAAGTTCCTTCCGGGAACACATCAAATGCCTTTGTCTGGTCTATTGTCACATTTTGTGCCTCTATATAATCTTCATATGGACATTTGTGAATTGCATTGCCTGTAAATTTTTTAATTTGCTGTATTGTTTGAATCAAGAACAAATGGCTTGTTAATCCGTCCATAATTGAGCACCATTCGATGACTTTTGTGTCGATGACTTCTCGATAAATGTTTCCATAGCGATAAAATAAGATTAATCGGACATAAAGTGGCTTGTTGAAGACTTTCAGCAATTTTATCTTCAAGTTGGCAGTTGCGACATGTCTGGACACAGCTTTTACATGACAAATCTCAATTTTTGCTGTCATATTGTTAGCATCGCATTCCATAGAGCGGAATCTGGATGTTACTGAAGCATTTTTACTACGTTTTTCTTAACTTGCTTTCTTGTTTGTTTGTTTGTTTGTTTGTTTGTTTGTTTGTTTGTTTGTTTGTTTGTTTGTTTGTTTGTTTGCAAAAAATTTCAAATCTTGCTATCAATTTTTCGACCACTTCTACTGCTCCAATCGAGCTCAAATTTTTAATGCACATGTATTCCCGGTGACAATACAATATTTTAACACTTTGGAAACACAAAAATGCTTAATTATAGTACAATTTATGTAAAACTTTTTTATATGGGAAAAAATCCAATGTCAATGATAAAAAATTTTGATTTGTATTAAATATTATACTTGTGATGCTCTAAAGTCATTTATATGATTCATTATAGTTTAATTAATATTACTAATTATTAATTATACCATAAATTTGAGCAGCTAAAGATATTCTGGTAAGACAAAAAAATTGACATGTAATTTTTTCATGAATATTCGT